AAATGGTTGACCTCGAGAAGATGAGTAATTCAGAAAAAAGCTCGGCAATTGCACTGCATGGATGCATTAACACCCAACCGCACAATAGGGTGGGTGGGAGAGGGTTCGAATTCTAAAAAGTAATCTATGTAGGTGGAGAGAGAGGTTGATTACTGAATCCTTGTTCATCGAGTCTACACCAAACACATGCAATAGGAATGATTCATCACTCATACCTGAAATATGGAAAATACTACTACCAATCGAATCAAGTGAAAAACAATGAAACTATATGAATGAAGTTAGGAAGTCGTGTGAATACCTTGATATGATTATGAGCAATAAATTGTGCTCGAAACGTCATCAGTAAACATTACTGTATAACACTGTGAGACTTTATCAAAACAAAATTTACCCATAATGGAATAGCAGTCTCTGTTTCTACAGTTTTTTTTATTCAACAGGAAGGTAGGCAAGACTTGTGTATACTGTTAAGTGAAATAAATTTGGTAGTGATAATAATAATAACTGCTTTGTTCCAAACAGTATTTTGGTACAAATATGGAATTCTCAGCATGCAGTTCAGTATTGCATCTATTTTTCTCATAACAGTTAAAATAGGGCATTAACATTGATAATATTATGCGATAAGAATATGAATACGAAGTTTAAGTGAAAATTTTGATAGTGATGTAACAATGAAAGAATAAAATGACCGTTTGCTTAGTGTTCCCCAGTAAGTTAATAGTGTCATGCCTTGCACTTTACCCATCACATAAAATTCGTGCCGAATAAGGCCCTGTTGAGTTTTATACTGAGTTATTCGAGCATAAAGTCTTCTATAGCTGCTATTTGTTCTACCTGGTGAGATGCAGGGAGAGAATTGTGTATGCAGAGGATGCTGAGGGTCTGACAAGATAATATTCGTTAATTTCTTGCATGAATCCATATTTTCAACTACAACAGTATTAACGAGTCAGTTCAACGACACCCCACTCACCCTACTGACAGGTTTTAGTACTCTTTGCAGTGTGACAAAGTATTTCTTAAGTAGCCCAAGAAAAATTAGGGGGCGCAATACAGAGGGCTAAGTGGAATACAAGAATTAAAAAATCTAGAAAGTAGAAACTGAGTGATACCAGGTTGTCTTAACTTCCGTACATTGAAGGTTAAGCGAAATATCTTTCTAGAAAATAACATGATGTTAGGAGACCAGGAAAGATCAGAGGAAACTCACAGCCCAATGTATTTAATATTTAACTTAATTTCAACTCCTTTGCCGTGTATGATAGTGGAATCATGCTAAACAATCAACCCAGAACACACAAAATTATATGAAAGCTTCGTAAGAGTAAGCAAAAATCTTATCAGTATATATATATATATATATATATATATATATATATATAAAGAGGTCGCGTACGTGACACTTTACAAGACAAAATAGACTTAAAACCAAGGTGAAGTTATTTCGGCAAATATTTCGTAAGATAAACGACCATTTTTAGACACTGTAAGAGCAGGATTACAATAAGAAATGTTTTCAGCAAACATTTTTTTTTAAATTTTTTATAACACATTTAGTTTTCCGTGGGTACATTCAAAAATAAATGCAAACAATTCTGAAGATAAATGGTCAGTTCATGTTTACACTAAATAAAAGTATTTTCCCAGAATACCATATTACAAATGTAATCAACTACTATTTGCCACAGTGGACAAATTCACATGATTTCAACAACAAAACTGGTGGGGAATAAGTTAGCTTTACAAAATACAGCCTTATGACAGCCACTAAATGTTGGCATGGTCCGAGGTTCAATCCCCTGCCGACGCACACCTGATATCTATGGTCGGCGTGTAAAATTTGGGCTACCGATATCCATGCTGAAAATTCCACACTTGTACCAAAAATAGAGTGTGGAATCAAGCTGTAATCAAAAAAATAAAATAAAATAACTTTAATAATCTTAGTTCACTATGCTTTGCTGTTATGCGTTCGAAATCCAATATGAGGTCAAGCGTACTACCAACGAGTTTCAAAACCAGTGCGTGATCATTCACACAATGAGTCATTATTTGATGACACACACTTCTCAAAGTTTACAAATTCGTGATACGCAGAGACTGTATTTAGTGTAAGTTGTCAGTAACTATCACCACATCCATGTTTACTTAGGAAGAATGGGTTGTTAACTGATTAAGGATATTAAACTCCTTGTATCTAACTATACAATATTCAGATTGAAGCGATGGACATTCTAATTTAGGAATACTCAGTGGGAATTATTATGTGCACAAGTCTGAATCTGGATATATAGTCATTTGATATATTTTTTCTCTCATGTTCACAAACTTTATATTGGAGTGGTTTGTGATATCACTCTACAACGAAACAGTTTCAGCCAAATGACTGTACAAAATACTATACTCTAACTAGTTTTCCGTAATTTTGTCCCTCAATCACTTTATTCTAAAGCAAAAATCACCTTCGAGATTCATAATCAACAGAGAAGGAGGTTTGGAGGACGAGTTACATATAAACAACAGAAACTGGGATATTTAAGCAAAGCGCTTCTATTTAGAGTACTTCGTTTGACACCATTAATTTATAGAAACCTGTATACTTCTTTCGAGCTCATGATGTTGTCAGTCTAAATATAAAATGGCGTCAATGTAATAAGAAATTAGGTGACGCATTATTAGTTTTCTGCGGAAAGTGAACGACAGAAACCAAGAAGTAAAACTGTTGGAAGTGAGAAGATACTGCTGAAGCATTCCAAAGTGGAAGGAACCTGAAGGTTCAATAACTGATGTGCATAAAGATTATTCTGTTATCCAATTAGGCCTGAATGTCTGATTTAACTTTAAGCACACTGATTCAGAGAATTTGCCTACATTTTAAGATAAAAGGTAATAAGCTAAACGGATTTAGACAGAAAAATAATTCATTATAATAGAGGTTTTTGTATTTCCCAATGAATGAAAAAACAAAACGAGATTGTTTTTACTGACGTTTCGCTATTTAATGCTAATAGCTTTCTCAAAGTATTATTAAACCGGAATTTACAAAATCTCAGCATATATAACAAAGAGTTAAGGGTGAGAAAAATATAGACTTAGTTCAACTTAAAAGGACATATTGAAAGTCAAAATAACAATGAAGATCGTTCAAACCAAATATCAAAGGTAATAGTATATCTGTTATTATATCAAAATAAAGTTTACTAACTTGATCATCGTTCGTTAGTCTGGGGTCATTTTTGGCAGCTTTTAAGTTTGATAAGTAAATGACTTCATTTAGCGAACCATTCAATGTCAGTTAGCACTGGAAAGCTGGTTCTTGCTTCTATGGGATTCAAGATCACTCTAAATACCGTGGACTAGAGAAGTAAGAATTGATGGGCTAGTGCATTCCATCCCAATAGCTGAATTCTCAACGAGCTCGCATTCTTTGATGAAGTATGGTTATTACTTAAGATTCCCAAGCAAAGACGAAATAGCATTCCACTACGTCCTGATTTGCATAGGTTCTCTAGCGGAACTCGGTTCCTAATCGAACTCTCAGATAATTAATCAGAACACAACATCTGCTTGTGCAGTAATCTGCTACAAAATATACCTACCGCTTGAAAAGTAGCGCAGAATTTCATTTACAATAAACTTTTCAAGTGCTTAAAACATCACGATACTAATCGTGCATTTATTTAGTTTCCACAATGCGATTATTAGTATCCTAGAAACGATGTCTATTCAAATAATGATTGGAAGGTTTTAGGAAGATAAATTTGCATTTCATACGTGAGGATACGCTCAGTGGATTTTAATATGTATAATATAATCTCGAGTGTTTTTATTGTTTTGAATAACCAAGAGTATTATCCGAAAACATACACACTGGCATCCTATGTATAGAAATATCCCAGGATACGGCAAATTTGTGTGAATGCGTGTACATCATCAATTAAAGAGACAAGTCAAGCTGATAATAGTCGATTTTTGCATTTACTGTTCAGATAATTTGAAGGTCATGTAATAACCTACTAGTAAAAATACAAGTAGTATGATGCCTTGCATAGAAAATAGAATGGAATGAAAACTGCTCTCTTGTTGGTAAATGAAGCAGCAAGATAAGCAGAATAAAATTCCGCTATTCTTTCTATTTATGCGTCTTCTGTTAAGAAACACACTGACCCGCAACTAAAATTTCAGCACAGTTGCATCTTGTGAAGGTGGTTTACATCATTTGATAAACAGCCGAAGGTAAATAACACATTAGATTGACATCCAAGCTATTACAGTATTCTGTGTCCATAATTAAGCTACGCGCTGAAAATCGACAGCACTGGTGTGAATTCGTTCACATATTATCGTCATTTTGACTCCTATTTTGTTACACAGTATAATGAAGCCTTTTTTTATAAGCCCCTTATGTATTTGTTCGTCTTTCTGATGACATCTTGCATCACTACTTGACAGTTCTAGTTTCTCTGTTAATGATGCAACTTGATAAGACCTTAATATGATGTCTGAATACCTCATAAACACCATATACCTTATAAACACTGAATATCAACTGGACTGTCAGTGAGCAAAATATTTGAAAAATTCGAAGTAGAAAACTGAGCTAATGATAATAATAACCCTAAATGAAGGTTATAACCACAGTAACAGTGTGGCTACCACACTTCCTTAATATATTTGCATTGGAAAATTCCGAGCATTCTGAGATGATATCTGCCTAATATATAAAAATAGACTAGTATTATTTATTTTCATCATATTAAGCGTGTTCATTGTTCACCAAACATTACCGAAACAAATTACTAACAAACGCAAAAAACTACCTGTCTTTCAAATGAAGCGGAAAGATATCTTGAGTGGTGAATTTAAAGATTTATCTAGACTCGATGAAGTACACATTGTGGTTTTGTTATGTTTTGCCAAATGAGTACTTCTCACGTTTTATTATTCTTTGTTTATATGTCCTCATAAACTCTTTATATTTTTTCTTACCACAGCCTGATCGTTGGTATGACTACACAATGTTTCTTTTACATTTGGATAATCTAATTAATCATACCTCAGAAATAGCCTCTCAGGATACCGAAATATCATTCAGTCTCACTGTTCCAGACTCTCTGAAAACAAAACAAACTTCACCCACTGACCAAACAGATTCATATCCACAGCCTTACCAACGCAACAGTGTCTCACTTAGAAATATTCTAGATCTAACAGATGTTCCACGAAATCGATTGAATGCATATTGTGGATTACTGAGAGATATAGCAAGATATATTGCACGTGATGGTTCATCCACAAAAAATCTTGAACTGGCAATGACATATGTAACTAGATCCCAGAGACGAGCAGAAGAATTTGCTCACTTCTGGTCTCGTGTTGATGCAGATTTCAGTCAAATATTTAGTTCAGAAAATTTGTATGAAGATAAGTCATTGTTCGGAAAGATAATACCACCACCAATAACTCGAATGGTAAGTTATTCAATTACTTTAACATTTTGTCATACAAACACTTATCGGGCTTAAATGATTTGTGTTGAATAAGATGTTTGACCAAATTACCTGATATTAGTTGATATGAGTACTTTCCACGTATTCATATCAATCAGTAGTATGTACCACTGTGAATGACAGTAAGTTTTTCACCGTAGAATCACTCAGCATCCAAACATTGTGTGCTTTAAATCAACACAGTAATCATATCGAATGTGCTTCCTTATTATCTAAAGACAGCTAATGCTTTGAATTCTATGTACATCATACAAAATGAATTACTCCTCCTACTCACAGTGGTTAAGACTCTCGCCGACCATGCACATGGTCCAGGTTCGAGCCCACGCCGACGCACACCTGATATCTATGGTCGGCCTGCGAAATTTGGGCTACCGATATCCACGCTGAGAATTCCATACTTGTACCAAAAATACGGCGTGGAATCAAGCTGTAATAAAAAATAAAATAAAATTAGAAGCTGCTAACCTGAAAAACAGAAAACTTTTAAAAGGAATCAGAATCATTTTCGGTTCTGAATTATAAAGCCTATGCTCGGAAAAGCCTACTGGTCATTCCCGAAGTCACATCATATTCTTCCCATACATATAAATGCAAATGACATTTGTTAACAGTTTTAGAATGGTAAAATACCGATTAGTTAAGATACAAAAGGTTGTTTTGCACAAAAGGCAAAATAAACACATTAGTCACATTGTTCGTTTATTTTACCATGTTTTACTCAGAACTTCACTCAAAGCTAAACAGTAGGAATATCAAACTTTTCTTTCTCTGCCTAAATGAATGTAGATTTACCTCCATCTTATGGGAAAGTATAAAATATCTCCTATTAGATAACAAATTGTTTGATTCATTATCCGTTCGTGGTTCTTAGATGACTTAGACTTATGAAACATTCGTAATTTCCAAATCAAATAATGATAATAAACAACATGACACCGTGGAGTTATCGGTATATGATGCAAAATGTTCTCTTCACATTTCATAGCTAAGCAGTAAAATGATTACGCACCTTCATGACGTATACAGTCATATTAATGTTCAGTTAACTAGTAGTATAAATGATAAGGATAATGACAGTGTATTAATGAAGGGAAGAATGGAAACAACTGGTTTTTGCAATTGCAACTCATTTTTCTTCAAACAGAATGCATATTAAATAAGGTATCATCGAGGTTTATAGATATTTGCTCAAATTAAAGTCTTTTGAAATTGCTTCTTGTCCTGACTGAGGAGGTGTAAATTGAAAGTTGTGGATGAAGAGGGTGATAAGAGTCAAGTAAATTGAATTCCACCAATTTTTGCAAATGTATAAGCGCATAACCACTGCCTTTATGGAGTATTTCAGTGCAACGCTGAGCACGGTGAAAAAATTGCAGTTTTTTTATTGGATTCGCTTATCTGACTTCATGCGTTAAACAATTATATGCAGCTATCCAAAAAACAGTTAAAGTTAACACTCTGAACAAAGCAGTAATCAAACACGGTGCAAGATAAAACGCATTCATTGTTTATTTCGTTGGCATCCGATCAGCTGTCTACAACCCAAACAGTTGAAAAGCTGTTGAGTACACAAGGATTAGTTTGTGGGAATTTGATCTATCTGAGGTTCGACCACACACTGATATTGATTAGACAACCACTAAGCACCAAAGAGTACTGGACATCTGTTTCGTCCTAGTTTGAAACTTGTTGGCAGTACACATCCAGTGGTTTGGAACGAATCAAATTTCTAAAAAATAACCCTGGAAAATTAATCTGATGCTCACTGGTCAGTGACTACGCGACGAAGCTGACTGGACTTCTAATGGGAAGTCGTGACTAGTGAGGTCCAGACATCGTATCAGACATGAGGACAAATATTCACCAATCATATCGGTTGGTGGTTGTATCAAATCACCAATTCGTAGAAGTTGAAATTCACAGATTAGTGAATCGGCTTTCAGTAGGTCAATGTTGTTCAAGCTTGTCTTGTAACCAGAAGGTAACGGGCTGGAATCCCGATGGGTGCCTTCCTCTGGAAAGTCGGAAACTAGGACGAATTCACTTTCCAGTTCTCTCTGATTTCCAATAGTTCCCTAACTGTCCTCCATCTGTCAACAAACTTGAAAGGTTTTAGTTTACTGGAGACAAAATGAGGCGCAATAATCAAGAGCAGTCATGGCAAAATGTAGAATATTGCTGTAACCGTATGTGTAATGTGATCTGATTTTCTCGAATGAAACAAAAAATTGGGGAGAAAGGCTAGCAACTAGATAATGAGATATTGATATCACTACATTACCCTGAAATTTGCCTATATCAATGCCTAGTTGTTAGCCTTACTCCCCATTTTTGTTTCATTCGAAAAAATTAGATCACACTAGGCATATAAGTATAGGGATATTCTATATATTTTACCAAATTAACATTTGGTTCATCTATATGCCATGATCATTCTTATTTATTGTGCCACAACTTATCCCCAATAAACTTAAGTATGTTAAAAGAATAACAGAACTGTAGAACTTCATTGCCAGGTTTGTGCACAGCCGACAAGATTACAGCTAATTAAATAATGGATCCGTTTTCTCATGCATCATGAGTTATTACCACTTTGTTCAAATGTATGAAGGGAATTCACGTATGAAAGTCAACACTGATTAGTCACATACTTTTAAAATGTGCAAACTCCAAACGAAGCTTCTATTGATGTATAATTTCTCTTATCATATGTGTCAGAGGCTAACAAACGAGATTACCGACGGTTTTATTATCTACCCTGAATAGTTTGTATCTAATTCTTTTTGAACATCTCTGAAAAGCGTTCATGCTAATGAGTTCAAATACTGTTACAGAAAAGACAAAACACTAGTGATTTTTAACGGTAAGTTGTAAAAGTGTGTAAACTATCAGAAGTTTATAAGCAGTAAAGTCGCAATCTGATGAAATTTAGTTTAATATTTAACATTGTAAAAGAATAATATTCCATCGAAGTTGGAATTATCATCGTATAACGCCTTCTTCGTTATTTGTTCCCACACAAATTTTCGCGCTACTTTATGACAAGAGTATTTGAGGTGATATACGATAATCTATTGAATTATTGTGCACAAAAATATTTAATGTAATTTATAACTTCAAGCAAACTGATGGTTTGACCAGGATACAAATTAATTTTATAGGCATTAGTTACATAATTGTATGAATTACTAGTGAATTTTCAATTCATTTTTATAACTCTACCCATTTTTCTTTATTTTAAGACGGATATAAAAATTGGCGAACACAAAAACGTCCGAATAGATGCTGGTGAAATGAAAACAGAACGACTCATTCTCATGCCAGATCATTTATTGTCAGCTAAATGTTTCAGTGCAGATCAACCTTCATTCAAATGGAAATTGAGCAGAATAATTAATGTAAGAATAAATGACAAGTTTACCGATATGACTACGAAACAATCAATTTTTCACATTTAAAATGTTGATTTAAACTAAACTAAACTTAACTTAATCCCTTATTTTTAAGGGTCTTATTGGTTGACTGAAAGTATGACGACTGAGAAGTGAATATCTTTAGCGTCTTTTGAGTCTACCACTGCTCAGTATCAAGTTATATTTATCTTGGCATATTTTTTATGTCATTTACCTCAGATGTTTCATATTTCTAGCTAGAGGAAATTGTACTCTCCTACGCATTAGCCACTGTATGGCTAGTGGTATGGTTACCTTTTTTCAGAATATACTCAAAAGAATGGTGTCACTAAACTAAGGGCTAGAACGCTTATACGCAACATGGTTCCCTACTGTCCTACATTGGATGTTAGCACTAGTCAATCTCAAGAAAGATAAATTCTCTGAACCACACGCAAGTAAACACAAAAGCCTTTTTCCAAGACTTGTTTATTAACTTAACTAAGGATGTAACTATGTACCCTGATGAACCAAGAAGGATGTTTACGTTTTACCAGTTGGCCTAGCGAATCAGACCAGCCATGAGAGTCAAACTGCAAAGCTGACCATGTCAAAACCATTTGTTTCAATATTCTGCAGTGGAATCGAAAACCTTTGGACTATAAATAAACATAGAATCTTAAAATTAGTATAGGAAAGTGACCAACAGTTGACCTAGTTTTTATAAATTTTGGGTCCATTGAGTGAGACAATAGAATCTTTGCAACTTGACAAAATATTGGGTTTTCCCAGCCAAAGTATACTGTACAATTTTCTTTGAAAAATTGTTTCCTTAAATGCCTTAAACATTTGTATTTTAAAGCTTGATGAAGTTCGACTTGGTGATTATGGCAATGATGGAAAGGACCAGACATCATTTGAATTGTGGAATATATCAGGTGAAGACCCACTGAAGTTAATTCTGCATATCACCTGCCCTGACGTCATCAGTCGTAATGCGTGGGTTGAGGATATAAGAAATGCAATTAGAGAAAAAAGTAAGTCTCGAAATTCAAAATATCACACTGATAAAACAGCCATTTAGCACCATATATGTTACCGGTTTGTTATACAAGTGGTAACTACAACGTAGGAATGAACTATTTTTATATATGCTACCAACAGAAATCACTGGTTGGTAGAATATGTTAACGGAAATCAGCTTAAAATAACTGCAGTTCAAAATGTAGTCGAACATGTTTTTATGGTTTAAGCTATTCCGATTTTCTCTGGACTATATTTTGATTTATGTAAGACATGTGACTGTTATTCGTGTATATGATCACAAGAAAGGTTGAAGAAGAAACCAGTCAGTGTGGAATTTACTTTTTAAAAATGTAACCATATTTGATAAGTTATCCAATCACCTATTTCACTTATACAGTTACTGCCTACGAGATTGTTGTCTGCGTTTAATTTTTCTAGTCGCTTTCTAAAACAGCTATCAACACTATGTGATAACTGAAGAAATTCTTAACTTTCTTAGAACCTTTACCAAGATTGGCGTTGTTATACAAGCTATCTATCAAAAGACAAAATCGCTTCATAAACAAGATGGTAATATTTTCCATTTCATACACCTACATTTAGTCTTGTCGTAGTTTCTGGTAGTTACACTGGGTTATGTCGTTAAAAAAATTATTTAAGTATGCGGTATGATTTCTTCAGCAGGAGTTTCATGACACCAACTTGTCTGGTGCACTTGTTAGGAATTCAGAGGTCAGATGCTTAAATAATCTGAACACTTCTAAAGAGATATGATAGGCTGACTAACATCTTTACTAGTTATTTTAGTTCACTACTGAAAGTTTCCGGAAATTCTGTTTTAACATCATTATTTGTGTTAGATGGCAGTAGGAACCAAAAGACGGAATTCGTGAAAAAAGAATTAGACATAGTTTATACTCACTTAACAGTCTTTGTGGGTTGATGACAGACATGAGTGAATCAAACAATGCTTTTTTCTTACAAACAGTTAGAATTCATTTGCCATTTAGTGTAATGTATGATTATTATTCTTGTTCATTTAGGTTCCGAGTGGAACATAGGGCTTCAACAACCCATCTCCACTTTGTTCTATTTTCTGCTATCCTCTCTAGTTGAACCCACAACTGCCAATAATCTCTCATCTCCTCCACGCCCGATATCTTCTATGCCGCCCTGGAAGCGACACTTCACTAGTTGCTTCCCGTTCGGTTTCCACTCGACGGTCTGGCGCTCGACATCAAACTGTTATAAAGTTACTGAATGAGGTTGATAAATATATGGACACTGCACGCCATAGTGTTGAAGCAGTTTTCAAATTACTTGGCCGTCGAAGACTTTTTCAGTGTTGATGAAATTGAGGTAGAGATTTGATTGCTGTTCCAGGCTTTGTGCGACGATGATGCATAGAATTGCTACTTGATCCGCATTTGATTTGATTTTCTCCAAATCCAGCATGTTTAAGGCGGAGGTTTGCATCCAGTGCATCTTTCACTCTCTTCAGGTTGTCTAAACTTAGTATTTTCCTTGACGTGGAGAAGAGAATGATTCTGTGCCAGTTCTCGCAGAGGCTTCAGACATCCTTCTTTGTTAGCTTGACAAAGTAGCCCTTCTTCCATTCCTTAGGCACCTCTCCTCCCTTTTAAACTTATTGTAATAATGGCTTGACTTTGTGTCCAAGAGACTGTCTCCACTTCCCTGAGCAGAACTGATATGAAGTTCATCTGGTGTATGGTGTGTCTGTCAGGTGAAGTCCATTTCTCCTTGTGTATGTCTTTGTGTTTGAACACGCTGGCTCAGATTACTAGATCATTGAAAGCGCAGAAGTCTGCGAATAATTCTCCGTTCTCTTTCATTTCTCTGAGCGAGAGCCTCTCGACTCATGATGAGTTATTTTCCCGTATTATCTGCTCCCAGTTTGGCAATCATATCGCCCATGAAGGTTTTGGATGTCACCATCTGGGATGTTGTCCATTACTGTTTATAGCTGTCTATAAAAATCGTTCTTCTTCTTCTCTTGTTCAGCATTGTTTCTAGGTGCGTAGCTTTGGATAGCTGTAACTTTTCTTCCTTTAGAATTGAATTTTGCAGTCATAATCCTGGTTGAAGTCGGTTAGCACTGCATTAGGGCTTTGGTTGAGTCTGCTGACATTATGACAGCCACTCCCTCAGGGTGTTCGTGGTTGTCCTTTGCATGACCGGAATAGATTACTGGTTCTCCAGTTGACAGTTCCGGTAGTCCACATCCATTCCATCTGCTCTCGCAGATTCCGAGCACTTTTATATCACATCCTCTCATTTCATTGGCTACTTGAGCAGCATTCCTGGTTTCGTACATTTTACGAACATTCCACATCCCGATTCTTATGTTTGTTTTCATCAAGAGAAGACACATTGGTTGACTGGATTACCGAAGGCTTTCACCAGCTCGCATCATTTCGCCTCTCAGATTCCAGTGGAGAATAAGTTGTTGTTTTTATTATTTCTTTGTATTTTCAATATTTTCCTCGTGCGTTGAAGTTTCTGTGGCATTTTGATTGGTTTACTGGAGTAGAGTCGCTAGCCCCTCACCCAAGCCCTCCTCTTATCCCTGGTATGAGACCGGCCGTCAAACTAGCGAGGCTAGTCTACTTTACTTCAGTATATTTTGAGACAGACTCTAAGCAGTATTAAACTTTTTCGGAAATATAGACTCACTGTTGATACAAAGGGTTAATCCACTCATACCGCTTTCAGCCACCTCATTGTTTAGCTATCAATTTACCAGCTGCTATGGGGCAAAGTATACTGGCCATACACATCGTTCGTAAACGTAACTTGTAACGCTATCCAGACTTTCCAACCAGGGATGAAATGAAGAATACCAGTAGGTATACACTGGGACACCTTGTCAACTCTGGACATTGGCCGCCCCCACATAATGGCTGCACAATATTACACAGAGTTTCCCAATGTCGCATTAAATGACTTCCAGCGAGCCAGTTATATTCAGCTGAATCACTGATCATTTGGGACCTGGAACCTACCTTTGAGTTCAAAATAATTACATGCACTCACTTTATTGTCGCGACAGTAACATTCTCTCCATAATTCTGTTTCACTTTACTGTTTACACTTATTGTTATCTTGTAATTAGTATTACTACTATAATTGTTTATTGCTAGCACTCCATTTCTCATACAGATTTTGTATAAACAATTTACCTTACTTTTGTTAGCTTTATCCACTTTATCCATCTAGACTGATGAATTATCTTGCATACTTATAACCTAATTCCAACTTCCGTCTTTTTTCTGATTTCATATCACGGTTGACAGTTTCTGACTGGTTTTTTAAATACTTTGTTAAATATAAATACGACTGTGCAGTTTATGAAAATGATTCGTTGAGAAAAAGGTTGTCTCCACTCAAGTTTTGTTTTGTTTTTGACTCGATATGCGAGTGCTCTGTTCATTGAAGATCAAATGGACAGAAAAGATTAGTAAAAAGTGACTCGAACAACTAACTACCAAAGAATCCACTAACCAATAAATATGCAGAAAGGAATGAGGATTGATTTGACGGACACTAAGATATCTGTTAAATAACATCATTCGACAGGCCATCGAATTGAACCCGAATGGAAAAAGACTAGTTGAACGTCTGAGTTTAACGTAGAGGGGATGAGGAAGTCCGCTAAAAAGAATGCATAGAACAGAGTTAAATGGTAATGTACTGTATGTTGCACTAGGAACTTGCTGGTCTACTCTGACAAAGGCGTTAAAAGATTGCACATTTATCACACGATGAGTACAAAGTCATATATATTATATAAAATTGAAATGTAGCTCTTTACTGAGGACATCTATAACTTTATGATTTTGAAACAGACTACTACACTTTTCCAAGATCTATTTAACTAACGCTTCACGAGAACAAACTGAGTTTATGTAATCATATGTAAAGTTAAAGTCAAATTAGGTAGCATATAAGAAATAATGTTTATCCTGTTTATTCCAGATGAATGAATATGTTCAAATAAAATGCTCATGAGGTCAAACGCAGTAAGACAAATGGCTTCTTCCTACTGATTAACTATTTTAATGATAATAGTCATTATATTTCACTATTCTATAACTTCTAATTTTGACTCGTCTTCAGTGACAGCATAATTCCCTGTACGGTATGTTGGTTAGTGAAATTTTCAAACAGAATTTACTGCAAACTGTTCATTGAAATATTCAGCGCATTACATAACAGTATACATTAGAAGTATCTATATTACGATACCTAGGAATGATTTCTTATAAAAGAATCACATCAGAGGTGAATATCTCATCAGACTTTATAATTAAATGATAAGTAGAAACTTAAGAAAAAGTGCTTCCAACTTTATTTCATCTTAAAACAGTCTGTTAAAACAACAGTTAAAGAAATCATTTATGTTCTGATTGAATAAATCTGATAAAATATGAACCCCTGTTTATTCCAATAAAAACGAATATGCAGCTTGCTTTTTTTAACAGTATATCATGGATGCTGTTGACTGTTTTGTGAATATCAGGTGCAATATTTAGTGACTAACGTGGTTAATGTATACTACCTAGTCTGAAGTAAAAATAGCCAACATTTAATTGCTCAGTAATATGCGTTTTGTAGATTTGTCCACTCCTCTACGATAACTAATTTCCACGCCGAAAACAAAAGTATGAAAGAGGTAGAGTTTTGGAATAGAACCAGAAGTACAGCTGACTTAGTAGACTGTCTGAATTAGTGATTTAAAGCAATTACACCTACCGAAATTGTGAAGGGAAATGGTGTCACAGACATTACATAATATAGACTACCTACCACAGGAGCCTTCTATTCACTTGTGATTCTTATGGTCAATAATGTTTCGAGTTAGACTACGGAATGATACCAGTGAGTACTGGACAGCTATTTCATCCCAATTTGAGATTCATCGGTGGTATACCCATTGGGTGCGTACTAGGATAAAATAGCTGTCCAGTACCTCCTAGTTTTCAATAGTTGTCTAACTGATATCAACCCCGAGGCTAACTGGAAAAATAAACTAAATCCCTACAAATTAACTCTTGAAGATCAATAATTTATTATTTTATGTCTAGTGAGAGTAAAATTGATAGGTTTTCCTACTTTTTTGGGGGTGGGGTGGCTGGGGGAACAGTGCACAAGAGAGTAGTCATTTCCGAAGAGGAAATTAAGTCAGACCTAATACCAGTAATTAGCAATAAAATGATTAGACATAAACATTTTAATCCTATCAGTCGTATCTGTGGGTTATTACATGGAACTCTATGCAATACACACTGTCTACTCAATTATCTGAGATAAGTTGTGTGCAGTCGAATTAACATGTAGGTAATTGTTTCGCTATCAGTAATTGTATAAATGGGATACATTTCATTATTATAAGGAAACTTATCAAGAATAAAATAATAATAACAATCCATATATAATCCAGTGGAAAATTGTATCATGGGTATAAAGAGTAATTAACTCCAAGTAATTATATTGTTTCAATTTTATACACTTTCATTGGGCATTTTCTACCTAACCAAATAAAATAAATTTCTGAAGTCATGATTAAGTTAACACACACTGTGTAGGTGACTGTGCCTAGTGAACCACTTTAGAAAACAGAGTGACTACAAATTACAGGGCATGGGTTTCTGGAAATTAATATACATTGATTTTATGTATGCATACATTTTCAAACCTTTTCCACTTTCTGATATTTCCCTACTTCCCTGTAATCGGTTTACCTTGTCAAGCATTTAGTCAATTCTTCATTTTCTTCCCATTTGTGCGCACACAGGCACATAAACTAATGTGTGCTTATAAATCATCATACTAGATATAAATACAACCGTGTATCTGAAAATTACATACCAACACACACTTCATTGAATATTTGCATGAATGCTGAAGGAAGAGAAAATGTGTGTGTGTGTGTGTGTTAGACTGTGCCTACGCCTCCACGATCGATTTCATGTTTATTATTCCTATAGCACCAAAAAATAAGGTCACCTATCAGAAACTAGGAGACATATAAACACGGGGCTTGTGATATATATATGAATAACTATTTCGACTTCAGTTCAAAAAAGGAATACATCTTATTCAATTTATTTGGAATTACTTAATAAATCGAGCATTGGATACTACTTTTATCGTTCTGCAGATTAAATTTTATGAACGCCTATTCATTGTTGCTTGTGTAAGATGACAGTAATTCCTTTTTTTTGTTTGTTTTTGAAAACAATATTCAAACGGCGTGTTTATTTCGCTAGCTGAATGCTGCATAGAAAGTACGAACGTTGATAAGTCAGTTGTTGATTCACATATAAAAGCATTCTGGGATCTACAGAAACGCTACACTGGAATAATGGAACTCTCACCTTGTCGCAGTGAATCTGTCAGTGAAATATATTTTGATGCACTAGAAAACGTACAACAAGTGAACTCACAAAATGTTGAATCATCACAATTTTCACAAATAGATAAAGATGTTCTCGTAAGAAGTAAGTTCATTGTTAAAAATTTATTTCGAAATTTTGAGAAATTAATTACTAACTTATCCTTCAAACAATAGTGTTGATTACAGCTTTTTGCTATCCATTTCATAGTGCTGCAAAATCCTTGAAGAGTATGTAAGAGTGTGTACAGGTCATTTTCATCTGGTATTAAAAGATCTTGTCAATCATTCGGAACACTAACATTCATTAACTTGTAGCTACAGACGAAATAGAGTGAATAAATAAAATACTCGTCTTAAAATTACATATCAGTCAGTGTTGATTTCGATTGACTGCTTTGGTCCTGTTATTTCCTGGAAAGTCCTTCTTAAAGTCAATTAAATACCTGGACTAGAACAGGTTGTCTAATATCAGTAAGTGCACGCTCACTTAAGTTATTTTTCTGGGAATTTACGTGAGCAATCACATGAGCTCTGTGACTAGTACTATCACTTGTATATAAGTCGGGTGTCATTTATTGATTCATTCATTCAGCAAAAGCTCTGATAACATTTACATCTTTGCTGTTCATTAACACTAAAGTTAAATACTTGAACTGCACCAGGGGACGTAGGTTGGTAGTCTGCTGAGTACTGCTTTTCTACCAGTTACGTAACTAGTTTTGACTGAAAATATGCAATCAACTCAGACAGTTTTCGTTTACTTGTTTGTTAACAGTGTGAAAAGAGAAACCACACGATTACTATCAAAACGTGGTACTAGATGATGTCTGTAACTGTTAGTATTGCTTGTGTAGCCCAGTGTTTAAAAGCATGGTTGAAAAAAATCGAGCTAACTGACTACTATGTGGTCTTATTTTATTCAAGTCTGCAACCATGTATGACGGCTACTATTTTATGGGAGATACAATTACCTATTCAATGAAAAACTCTGACTAAACACGTGAATACGCCAAACACACAAGCAAAGCACTAATAAGGCAGTATTCATTCTTTTTATTCAGGAGTGCAGAAAGATAGCAAATGTAATTAGCTAAATAAAATACTCTTAAGTAAATATAAGTCGAATTAATTCATTCAAAAAAATTGCATGTTTTATTTGTTAGTGAGTTCAAGTGTATTCATGAATTTTTTAGGATACCTTTTCCTTGATTATAGATTTAGAAAAATTCACCTAATATACATTATGATTCTCAAGGAAGTTAAATAAGATCTTAATAAATGTGATGATGTTGTTTTTCATAACTACTAGACAAAAACAACTGTTGATCAAATACAAAAAGCAAAACAAGCAGTTCAGCGAAGAGGATGTTTTCGGCGAATTCATTTTCTGTACCTCTACAGTCACATTCATGTCACAGTCACAATCTTTACATGAGAGAGGATAGTAACAAAAGTGATTGATTAGTTGTCATAACCATAGTTGTTAATATTACTCGATGCATAAAAGGAGTTGAAACAGTGTGTTAGAATTGCAGGATACGATACATAATTTATTAGGTTCTCACCATGATGCGCATAGAAACGAAGGAAGGTATGACATTACGTAACAATTGGAAAGAAATACAGGAGTTATAAAGAGTTACAAAATAAAATAAACAGAGACCAATTGTCATAACTGATATGATTATGAGCAATAAATTTTGTTCGAAACGTCATCCAGTAAATAATACTGTTTCACTGTGGGATACATCTAATAAACAAACAACAAACTAATATGAAACAAAGACCAAGTTGGTAGAAAACAACAAAACTGTTGTCATGGTACTAGTAGTGCTTGACATTTTTTATTCTGTGTGAATAACTCCAGTTTCTTTATCTGAATGGTCAAAGCTTCGGTGGTGGATTTGAGACTGTATTTGGCAGGTTGTTCTTCACTTCGTCCATTACTTTGAAAAAGGCATTCCTTGAGAGTGAATAACCAGTGCTGAAAAGGTTTTCAATTATCACACTCCCTATAGAGACTCTACTACCTTTTTGTAACCATGTAGGATAGTTTTCTTGAAATCTTTGAGACAGGATACGTGTCAAATGACCAATACTCCTGGCTCCACAGGAACAGATGAACTGATATATGCACACAGAAGTGATCAAATGCGAGGTCTTGTCCTTAGGGCTTCTTCACACCTGTGGACATCCGGATAACAATACTCTTAGTGTTAGTGAAAATAAGGTTCCTCTATAAGATGATGAAATGTTTCTCCTATGCATACTGCGGGTTTAGTCTATCTTGAAATCAAGTTTCGTGTAAAGCTTTTTTCAGGACAAACGTTTGGTTTGATGCTCTTGTTAACGTATCTTGGTATCCATTCTGGACAAAGCAGGTGTAATTCGTTTTTCTAGAGCATCATGGATGCGACTAGAATGGGATTTAATCGGAATAATTTTTCATTCAGCAAGCACCTAATTGCAGAAAATGGTCAGTTGAAAGTTCCATGTTGGTTTCTTACGGACAGACTTATTTGAGGTTTCATCCGCTCATCTTTTTAGTTCAGCTTTAAGGGAGGGACAACTTATCACTTTTGTCACCACCCTTTTTCATGTAAACGTTGTACATAAGTGTGACTGTACAAGTTATGAAAATGATATCTCCAGAAAGAACCTCTTCTTTGAACTACTTGTTTTATTCTTTTCATCAGCGACTGGCTGGAAATTATTCATGAGTGATCAATACAAACAACTATCTTCTGTATTAAGTATCAAAGATGAACACATTCAAATCCAGGTAGTGCAACAGATCAAAAGATTTAAAGACAACAGAAAAGAGGTGTATAGCCATAAAGGAATAAATATTTAATCAGGTTGACGCGAATGATAACACCACACTTCATTGTTAAAGACTATACTCAAATTAATAATGATAACCAAAATATACTTAACTCATTTTAATCAAAGATAAGCTAGTAGTGCTCAACATTTTCTGGGTTTTTGTAGTTAAAAAAGTGTCACATATACGCTTAGCCTTGAACAAAGATCTCAAGAAAAAATATTGAATCGTCAAATGTTTAAAGTTGTGTAGACAAACAATTATTGGCCTGTGTTTTGGTTTTTTCAGACATTTTCATAAACGGAAACTGCCTGGTATACTTTGGCCTTTGTTATTTGAGAGTGGAGGTGTCGGAACACCAATCAACTTTCATTCCGAGGCATAAATCTGTTTTTGTTTCCATCAGAAAAGTATGAATGTCTCCTCACTGATTACAAAATGACTAGTAACTGATAAATAAGAAGAAATAGTAGATTACACAATTCTCTGCATAGTTTAAAACTGTGTCCATAATTTTTCGATAAGAACACTACATACTTATTCCCCCTGAAGCAATTATGGTGCGATGGAACTTATAAATCCAGAAAATCTATCAAAGTCGGTGACACTGTCTTTATCACATACATTAATTTGGAAACTCAATATGTTAAAAATGACTGTTCACTCATTACTACTCTTCATTACTGATCTTGAATGTCTAGAAATATAGACGAAAGCCTGTCGTTTAAAAATAGAGTCAAGGCAGCGTCCTAGAAAGAAGTTTCGGAATATAGTAACTTTATTTTATACAAATGTGAGCAAAATTATCAGTGCACCGGTGGTGGAATGCTTGTCAACCACGCATGTGCCGCTGTGGTTCCATTCTCACCCAAAGCAATACTGAACCTCACTTAAGCGGTAATAAGCTCGACAAAGAGAAAATATTTCGAGTGAGGTTAGCAATTCCACTCTGTAAAAACAAAATCATCGCTACTGTAACTTTACAGCTCAAAGTTTAGACCCTATATGTGCGTCGGTGGCACAGCGGTTAGGACTCTCGCCGACCAAGCACATGGTCCGGGGTTCGATCCCCTGCCAAGGCACACCTCATACCAATGGTTGGCCTGCAAAATTTGGGCTACCGATATCACATGCTGAAAATTCCATACTTGTACCAAAAATACGGTAATCAAAAACATTAAAAATATATTTCCCTGAGAACTCTAAGGAATGAAAGAATGGGAAACACTATCGGCAAATAAATATTACTGTAGCATTGCTTGTTATACCAAATAAAATTATTCCACTATGGAAAGGCCTATCATTTCAGTTTGATACTTATGGGAATTCAACAGTTTGCTTAGAATGAAATTTCTATCACATTAATCACTTAGAAATACAGACTACACTTACTTCAAAACAATAAAAACCTAATTTTCTTTTGGCGTTCTATTCAGTAAGCGTTTGTTTACATTTCAGCTTCTATAAATCAAAAATCTACTTCCTCATCATCGTATTACACTGCTGATGAACCAATGGATGATAAAGACCGAGCAACATCTGGTAATCTGTTTGGTAAGAACCGATCAAAAGTATCAAACTGCATACAAAGTTTTTCTCTATTATCCTTAAATAACAATTTTTTTGTTCCCAGTAGATAAACGTTTACGTAGAATCTAACAGTATTACCGGGTGAGACTGAAGATCAAAGACACTGACAGCTAATAACATTAAGAGCAAACACAAATGAAACATATAACTGCTGATTTTAACTAATAGCTTATAAATCACGGAAAATACCCATTGAGTCATGAAGAGAATAAAAGACAGATTCAGCGAAGAAAATTTTCTTTATCGACGAAATCATCTTCAGAGGCTGTACAGTCGTATTTATACTTAGAAAAATGTATAGTGGTCTATTACTGAGTAATAGGGGATGACATAATTGATGTAATTAATCATAAGTGGCTTTAGAGGTGAAAATTAAAAGTTGTAAAATACATGGTACTCAACGGAAAAAAGATAGAAGTTTGATAAGGTTAAAATTGCTCTTGAGTGAGAATAAAGGTATCTGAGTGTCAATTTAACAAGTGTGAAGAAGGTGTGAAAATATATGAAATTGATAATAGTGAATTAATTAAAGCAAAAGCAAACTAAAAGTAAAATTAAAGATTAAGAACAAAATCAAAAATATTTTACAGGGAACGATAAGTGAAGAGGTTAAGACCAAGGTAGAATAAGAGACTGGACAAACCTTTTCTGTATACATATATTTCATATATTTTCACACCTTCTTCACACTTGTTAAATTGACACTCTAATAACTTTATTCTCACTTAAGAGCAATTTTAACCTTTTCTAACTTCTATCTTTGTTCCGTCGAGTACCATGTAATTTACAACTTTTAATTTTCACCTCTAAAGCCACTTATGATTAATTACATCAATTATGTCATCCCCTATTACTCAGTAATAGACCACTATACATTTTTCTAAGTATAAATACGACTGTACAGCCTCTGAAGATGATTTCGTCGATAAAGAAAATTTTCTTCGCTGAATCTGTCTTTTAATAGCTTATACAAATCTTGATTACTTCCGTAGAATTCATCAATCAGACATGGGCGTTTTGATTGCAACAGCTTCAGCAGTGTTCGACGATAATGGCATGCCCACTATTTTATTTGTTTTGCAATGTGACATGCCAGACACTACTAGCCACAAGTTTTCATTGTAATTTGGAGATATTCATTCAGTAGCTGCCATCAGACTGGAGATTAACATTTAGATTATACGATATTTGTAAGAATTCGAATTAGTTCCCATGTAGGTTTAGTTGTGAACATCAGTTAGTAAATCATTAAAATTCAGGAAACAGTGAACAGCTGTTTCGTCCTAGCTTGGGATTCTTCAGCGACGCCCACCCACAACTCTATGACCTTTAGGGTACTATAACAGTTCGTCAAACACTTAGCCACTTGGATAGGGATTCACTACTCCCCGGTTTCCAATAATCAGCTAATTGTGACAAAATCTTCACTGAAGCTAGGAGGAGTCCCTATACAAAACCGGTAATCTGAATTATTAACAGCAACAAAGCTTCATTAAAAATGCGACAAAACAATAGCTGAATCAATTCTTCAGAAGTGGAATGAATGTTGTAGCCAGTCAGTACATAGCGAGCCACAGATGATTACGTTTATTAGAAGACGGAGACTATCTGAAAAATGTGATGTATTAGCGCTATACATTTCGAACAATCTGATCCCTCACACATTTACTTGTCAAGTCGATATATATAGAAAGGTTAAATTAAACAAAGTGAGAGAAAACGGAATTAAGAATAATTAACACAAACGTTTGGTAATCCAATCAAATAAGGATTACCAAGGTAGGTTAAGAGTAATGATAAACTGTTTTTGAATATACAGGGGTCGGGGCTTAAGTTTATGAATAGCTATAGCCTCAGCGTATTTCAGTAAACGCCCTTGACCGTTTTTATAGATGACCTTAAAGGCTGAGTTAACATCAATCTTATGGTTCATCTCGATTAGATGTTTAGCTATAGACGAATTTGGTGGTCTGTCACCTGCATCTATTAGCTTGTCACAATTCATCTGTTTTTCTAACCACTTTGGGATATGCTCTCCCACCCTCACGTGCAAAGCGCGATTACTCCTCCCTATGTATGTATGTCCACACACACACACGAAAATTGGTAAATAGTGTGGGATGTGATATAATCACTTGTGCACTTTTGGGGTTTACAGTGAAGCATATTTTTGGCTTTTTCCACAATTACAAGCTGGGCTGCATAATAGGTTCTACGGATGATTGAATTCAAACTTCGTCTCAAAATCCTACTGTTTATTTCCCCGTTATATGGTAATTTGATAAAAACCTTTTTCTTAGGGACGGTATGGATTGTAGGTTTAGAGGCTAGTTGACTTCTACACCTGTTTAAAAATTTCGAAGGATATCCGTTTTCAACAAGAGTATCCATTAATATTTAGTTTTCTCTGTCCATAACATCAGCCGTGCAAATACGCTGAATCCTCTTGAATAGACACTTTACCAAGCCCCTCTTATACTGTAATGGACAGAAGCTGTGAAAATTAAGGTATTGCCCTGTCCAAGTGGCCTTTCTGTACATAGACCGTCTTATTGAGCCATCATCTCTTCGACTCAGAAGTATGTCTAAAAATAGCTAGCATTTTCTAGGTTTTGTAACAGGTAGTATCTAGAGGAAATTGAAGAACGAATAGTATTAAGCTATGAAACAGTTACCTAAAACGCCTCCATGGAGAGTGTCGTAGACAGTATTACACGATCATGGCATCAAATGACAAGTCTACATGAAGCAGTCTACAACCTAAAAGTTTCTTTAGTGACATTTATTTACAAGTGACAAAAAGAGTTTCAAATACCGTCACAAATCTGAGTAACTGCTTCTAGCATTCAACAGTAAGCGAAAAAAAACCGCAGCACTACTTTATTTGTTCTAAAGACTATTTTAAACTTGATGCTTAGTGAACTCCTATTAGCAGTGAATTTCTGATAATTCACCAGCCGATAGACGTCACATGAAGAAAATGATCTACATAATTAGTCAATTTAAGAGATTAACTGCAAAAGTGATACTATAGGTTCTCAATTGTCTAAAGCATTCACTCAAGAGTGACTGAATTTGGAATATGCTTCATCTAAACAGAAGAAAATCTCGAAAGATAGCTTATTCTGAGAATACTAAGGCCAATTCTATTATCATGTCGCTTGAAACGTCGAGTTCTGGAGAAAGAAAACAGGTTTGTGGTTTTCCACAACGGAAGAGAAAGAATTAGGAGAGAAAAACATGCCTTCAAACCAATTGACTAGTTTCAGATCTTCAGAGACTCTGCTACGGTTTTCTTTAAACAAACCGATAGGCAGAATCAAAAACTATTGTAAAATGAGGCAAAAACTTGTTTCTCCTGTCTTTATGTCTTAGACAAAACTGAAAGTTTATAATGCTGACTATTTTTATTGTCTGTAGATACTTAGTTTTCGAGATCTTAGCTTATCTCGAAAGTGCATCCAAGTTTTTCATTCATTTTCACATATATATAAAATGGGACTTTTTCAATCAGGGGCACTTTGAACTTTACGTCATGATTTTCAGAAACAATGTGTATTGTGCTCGCATTTTTAAACATTTTTAACAGGAGACATTTATTTTATCCAATTTTCTTTTATTAAAATAGAATCATATTCAACCTTGGATGGTGTGCAAACGCCTTTTTCGGAAGATCAACAGTCTCTCGCTGATTTTCAAATGAGTCCAGATGGTAAGTTACCATCAATATTCTGCAAATTATTTTTATTTTATCTTTTAATTGGTACGGGAATTATAAGAAGAAATTCTGGAACTATTTCGCCGATATATAAAACTAGTTAATCAGTATCTGAAAATTAAAGAGCACTGAAAAACACATTTAGCCCTAGATCATGGATTTAAAGTAATGCTCATACGTGATACTACAAAGAATATTTATCTCACTATTTTCATATTAAAAGACTCTAAGGAAATAATGTGTTCTGAACGAGTTTGATTATGGACATATAATAACTTTAGAAGTGAAAATGTCGCTCTGTCAAGCAACAACTTTTCCGATGTCCTCATCTACCTAAATGATGAAATTAAACATTTTCACACAATAAAATCGGGTTAATATGATTATTTTCTTATCCTCGATAGGAACATCGTCACTCACTGCGGAATGCAGGCACATCGGGATAATGAGTCCCAAATAGGTCGAAATGAGCATCCTGGATTCCACTGCTGTTAACCATCCTCCATTAACTTCTAATAACATGCCCAAACATCGTCAAAGCATCTGCACAATAGGCAGACATATTAACCTGAGACCGGGAACTTCAGTTCCAATCTGTCAACGGGAAAATCTAAAACTGAATTAAATAAATCACACTTTAGATGCTACACATTCCTTACATTTCATTACCAGGTTGTGCAACCTCAATAAATAATCCAAAGCCACAGACTTACATTTTCTAAAACACTAAGTTTTGTTTGCTGGTGTGCAGTAATCCCTATAATGAACATCGACTGACGTGTTTAGATATTTACATAGCTTATTTAGTTTCGCTCATAATTTAAGATGCCATAGTCTAAAAAATCAGGAAAACACTAGTTTAAGAAGCTTCTCTTATGTTCTGTGAAATATAATATATACTGGCTTGACGTGGAAAGGAACTAACATGCATGAGGGAGAAGTGAAATGTCAAATAGTACTGAACACCAGTTAAACGTCCTCAGCTAAATAAGCCCGATTGAACTACTGATCATTATCTGATTCAAGCTCCGTTATTTCCTACACACTATATTAATCTAACTATTTACAGGTCAAAAATTGCTTATATACACTATATTATTGTTTGCATATTAGTGAATAATATGGATTTATATAACAATGTTCTTGTTTCTTAAATTTTATAGTTCGAGGAAACCAATCACAATTGTTACCAAGATCATCTTTGACAGGAAGTGAAACGCTTATCAAACAACTAACAGTAAATGCAGGTGAACAAATACAATTCAATGCATCATTTACTATATCTGGTCCAGTCGCTTATGAGACAAGTTGGTTTATGAATGGTGCTCCAATGAAACCAGACCTGGGGGCTGATATGATATTGTCAGATCGGGACACACGCCTGCTCATATCAAACGCAGACCCTTTGGTTCATTCTGGAACGTATGCTTGTCGATGTCGTCTTTTTGAAGGAACGGAGACAGCTGTTTACTTTTGTGTCAATGTTCTCACAGCTAAAATGAATTTAAATGATTCAAATGAAAATGAATCAGATCAAGCTAGACGGATGAGTTTGAGTCAACCGAAAATTTTCTATCCAGTTACTAAAGACCTAGACATAGCAGTTGGGAAACCACTGACAATCGAAGTGAAAATAGATGAGGAAAATGCTTTAAAACTAATGAATAATAGTAAAGAGAATGTTCAGGTGGATTGGTATCAAGATTCGACTTTACTTAAATCTACTCCAACGTGTGAAATGATAAAATCCAATGATCGTTTCTTTCTTCATTCAACTACCAGTCATTTACAGCCTGATAAAATATACATGTATACTTGCATGCTAAGACTTCCTGCTAATTCATCTATATCCCCGGCTCCAAGTTTAACTATACCAGTGCGTTGTCATTATCCAACAGCTGAAGAATTAGAAAAGGAATTCAAAACTAGTACTCAAAGTAATACTTCGGAATCATACGGCATTATAACTCATCCAGTTGCTCTTCCAAGGAATGAACCATTCCAGCTGAGTGTACCTGTTCAAAATGACTCTGAAAACCACGATTATGTGATATGGTGGACGCGTAATGATAAGTTATTGGCAGGCAGTCATTTACCTACAAAAGACTGTGTCTATGAATGTGTATCTGAGCCTAAAAGAGACAAAAACCAAACACTAGTGAAACTTCTAAAAAGTTCCACGAAAGACAATGATTCTGGAACATACAAGTGTTGGGCAGTTTCACAATCAATAAAAAACCATAAAATTCATCGCATTGACGTCACAGTTAAAGTGAATGAAGAAGAAAAAGATTTGAATGAAAAAAAGTACGAAGAAGAACGCGAAAAAGACGAAAAGGAATTTGAAGTGAACGAAGAAACGGTTATTGAGGATGACACCGAAACCGAAAGTCCTGTACAGCAAGATAATAAAAGAATCGATGACAGGGAAGAGAACATTAAGCAACCGAATGAAAAAAGTAATAATGCACATTTTCCAGAAACTGAATTACAGCTGCAGCATAATGACAATGAAAAAGGAAAGGAGACTGTGGAAATTAAAGAAAAGAAAGATGGAACACAGAAAGTAATAATAGAGTTCCAGAAAATTGATTCTGGAAATCAGAACGAAGGAGAATACGAAAAAGCAGAGGAGAAGAATTCTTCAGTGGAAAAAACTAGTGAGCAGATAATTCAGATACAGGAAAAAACATTAGAAAAGAAAACTGCCGACACAATATCTGTTGACAACAACGAGTTTTCGGATAATCGTGAGGAGCTGTCAAACGTAGAACTATGCTTCAAAGAAAAACTCAAAGATGGAAAACGTCAAAAACCTGAAGAGGAAAACAGTAGAGATGTTGATTCAGAATGCAAACTGCAGGAAGAAAAATATAAAATAGGTGAGAAGGAAAAGTCAGGAGTACAAGTTCCAGAGGTATTACCGAAAAGTGAAAATGAAATAATCATGAACCAGTTAGGAGACGAAGATAAGACAAAAAATAAACAAGAAGATGAGACGAGGCATCGCCCAGAAGACAATTATGCAAAAACAGAATTGACACAGACAACAGAAAAGGAACACGATACCAAAAATAAAGACATAACAGAAGAAGAAAATAGTGCAAACAGTGCATATGAGAAAAAGAAAGCATCATTGAAAGAAGTCGAATTTATGCAGCAGATAGAATGTAAAGAAAACCAAGAATATTGTTTAACTTCTCAGAATTCAAATGTGGAGGATAAAAGTTCCTTGAAACAACCAGAAGACAAAATGATAATCAAAACTGAAACTAAAACAATCGATGAGGTGGATACGGAATTGCCACCACTGGGAAATAAAGATATAACAACAAATTTGACAACTACTCCTGACGAAAAACAGATAAAGAGCAATAAATCTAAACGTAAATCAGTCGGACATGGTGCAGATAAAACAGAGAACCTGGCCAACAAAGTTAAGGTAGACGAGAAGCAGAAGATTTTAGAGGAGAGTGTTGTATCGAAGGATGCCCAAGAAAAACCTATAACTGCTGACAGTGCTACAGACAAAACAGAACAAACTGACAATAAACATATGAAGACTGATAAATCTAAACGTAGGTCAAGTAAATATGCTGATGAGGCATCTGATGTAAAGAAAGGCGAAGAAACTGAACAAGTCGATGATAAAAAGAGAAAACACAAAGCGAAGGAAAAGGCAGTAAGTGAAAATAAAGTTGACACCGATGAAAGTAAGAAGCAACTACCTGTAGACAGCAACGCCGAACCTGTGGACAAGGTTAAAGAGCAAAGTGAGGTTAAAACTAAACAAGAGGTAAATCAGAAACGTAAAGGAAGTGAACATGCAGTTGACACTGATGAAAGTAAGAATCAACTACCTGTAGACAGCAACGCCGAATCAGTGGACAAGGTTAAAGAGCAAAGTGAGGTTAAAACTAAACAAGAGGTAAATCAGAAACGTAAAGGAAGTGAACATGCGGTTGACACTGATGAAAGTAAGAATCAACTACCTGTTGACAGCAACACCGAACCTGTGGACAAGGTTAAAGAGCAAAGTGAGGTTAAAACTAAACAAGAGGTAAATCAGAAACGTAAAGGAAGTGAACATGCAGTTGACACTGATGAAAGTAAGAAGCAACTACCTGTAGACAGCAACGCCGAATCAGTGGACAAGGTTAAAGAGCAAACTGAGGTTAAAACTAAACAAGAGGTAAATCAGAAACGTAAAGGAAGTGAACATGCGGTTGACACTGATGAAAGTAAGAAGCAACTACCTGTAGACAGCAACGCCGAACCTGTGGACAAGGTTAAAGAGCAAAGTGAGGTTAAAACTAAACAAGAGGTAAATCAGAAACGTAAAGGAAGTGAACATGCAGTTGACACTGATGAAAGTAAGAAGCAACTACCTGTAGACAGCAACGCCGAATCAGTGGACAAGGTTAAAGAGCAAACTGAGGTTAAAACTAAACAAGAGGTAAATCAGAAACGTAAAGGAAGTGAACATGCGGTTGACACTGATGAAAGTAAGAAGCAACTACCTGTAGACAGCAACGCCGAACCTGTGGACAAGGTTAAAGAGCAAAGTGAGGTTAAAACTAAACAAGAGGTAAATCAGAAACGTAAAGGAAGTGAACATGCAGTTGACACTGATGAAAGTAAGAAGCAACTACCTGTAGACAGCAACGCCGAATCAGTGGACAAGGTTAAAGAGCAAACTGAGGTTAAAACTAAACAAGAGGTAAATCAGAAACGTAAAGGAAGTGAACATGCGGTTGACACTGATGAAAGTAAGAAGCAACTACCTGTAGACAGCAACGCCGAACCTGTGGACAAGGTTAAAGAGCAAAGTGAGGTTAAAACTAAACAAGAGGTAAATCAGAAACGTAAAGGAAGTGAACATGCAGTTGACACTGATGAAAGTAAGAAGCAACTACCTGTAGACAGCAACGCCGAATCAGTGGACAAGGTTAAAGAGCAAACTGAGGTTAAAACTAAACAAGAGGTAAATCAGAAACGTAAAGGAAGTGAACATGCGGTTGACACTGATGAAAGTAAGAAGCAACTACCTGTTGACAGCAACACCGAACCTGTGGACAAGGTTAAAGAGCAAAGTGAGGTTAAAACTAAACAAGAGGTAAATCAGAACCGTAAAGGAAGTGAACATGCGGTTGACACTGATGAAAGTAAGAAGCAACTACCTGTTGACAGCAACACCGAATCAGTGGACAAGGTTAAAGAGCAAAGTGAGGTTAAAACTAAACAAGAGGTAAATCAGAAACGTAAAGGAAGTGAACATGCAGTTGACACTGATGAAAGTAAGAAGCAACTACCTGTAGACAGCAACGCCGAACCTGTGGACAAGGTTAAAGAGCAAAGTGAGGTTAAAACTAAACAAGAGGTAAATCAGAAACGTAAAGGAAGTGAACATGCGGTTGACACTGATGAAAGTAAAAAGCAACTACCTGTAGACAGCAACGCCGAACCTGTGGACAAGGTTAAAGAGCAAAGTGAGGTTAAAACTAAACAAGAGGTAAATCAGAAACGTAAAGGAAGTGAACATGCAGTTGATACTGATGAAAGTAAGAATCAACTGCCTGTAGACAGCAACGCCGAACCTGTGGACAAGGTTAAAGAGCAAAGTGAGATTAAAACTAAACAAGAAGTAAATCACAGACGTAAAGGAAGTGATATCCAAAAGACTGAGAATGACCTTATGATGGAAAAGTCAGTCAGTGATACTTTAATGACTCATGGTCCTAATATAGTAGAAGATAAAACCTCTTCCAGTGAAGTCACTTTGGATAATGAAAAAGCGAAAAAGGAGTTTAAAGCATCAGATACTGAGAAAAAAGAAGCCCAAAACAGTGACAGCACAATGAACCATGAAATTTTTGATGCAAAGACTAGTGCTGAGGTTGACCAAGCCAGAGATTTAGCATTCAAAGAACAAGATGCAATGGAAGAAAAGAAAAAAAAGAAAGAAAAATCAAAAAAATCCAGTAAGCAAAAAGACACGGAACGAAAACTTTCAAAGGATACAATTAAATTAGATTCAGATATAGGTAAGACATTTACTCCACTCAATGAACAAAATGATGACACAACTTTGCTCAACGAATACCAGCAAGACAAACAACCACGCAAAAAACATCGCAAATCTGTGGTGAAGACTGAAAATGATGATTCAGGAAATAAAAATAAAATGTTAGATGATCAAAAAGAGTACACTGATATTACTGAAAAGAAATTGGTCCTTGATTACGAAAAAGGAGGTGACGAAATTAGAAATTTGCTGGAAAGTCAAGAAGTCAAAGAATCATGTAAGTTAACGATTTTGAGGAACATGGTAGCTTTTTGTTATACGAATTCATTGATAAAATGTTAGACAAAAAATAAGAATTCTCAAATGTTGATTTGCAGGGATTTCAGAAGTTATAGGTCTGATCGAGAGATGACGTGTGTCCCACTGAAAGTCTCAAAATAGGACGAAACAGCTGTCCAGCACTCTGTGGTTTTCTAATAATTCTCTAGGTGGAGTCATCTCGTGGTCAAGCTTGTGACAAAATATTAATATTGTTGGACATCATAATCACCAGTATAGTGGTTAATTCATCATAGTTCCCATTTATAAAATTGTCTTCCTCAAACAACATTGTTTCGTAGGAAAGCGAAAATACCTCAGAGATTTAACAATTGAGATGAGAAAAATAGCTCCCTGATGGAAATTGTAAATAAGCAAATTATAGTGAGGAAACCGGATTCTAGATGTTTATAGGATTCATCTGAACTTTTCAACTGAATATTTTGCATATTCTAAGTAAAATTATGTAATGCAATAATACATCTGATATATTCTTTCGTGCGTCGGTGGCACAGTGGTTAGGACTCTCGACGACCATGCACATGGTCCGGGGTTCGAGCCCACACCAGATATCTATGGTCGGCCTGCGAAATTCGGGCTACCGATATCCACGCTGAAAATTCCATACTTGTACCAAAAATACAGTGTGGAATCAAGCTGTTACCAAAAAAAAAAAATCTTAGAAGCAGGGAATACTGCGAGTACTAAAAGCTCCAAAATTCACATAAAATGTTTCCGTAAACACTGATAATTACATCGGTGTAACTAAGGTTTGGATGTGATAGAGTCATTGCAGAATTTACGACAAGATGAAGTCCAGTAACAAGTTATGACATAATTTGCATCAATTCACAATACATAATTCATTCTGGGTGACACAAAGTGATATAGTATACATAATTGGATGACCTTTTAAGCACTATTTATTGATCAGATTCAGCATATTGATATGACATGACATCAGTGATATACCCAGAGTTTTACTACGAGTAAAATGAGATTTAATCATTAGATGAGTTCACACATCGATTCGATGCATACAAGCTGAATATTCAACCACATAAGTAACCATTGGGACATACTTTCTGTCTGATAAGCGGAAAATAAACTGTCAAAATCTATGTGAATCTCCAAAAAATTACAATCAACACAGAGGCATCTTTAAACCATTAGGGAAATTAATGTTCATGAATTTAATGGTGATTTCAAACACAAGCAAAGATGAATGTGCAATTATCTGAAGGGTTATCCAAACAGAATATGAAGTAAATGAACGCAAAGTAACTAATAAAAATTAATTCGGAGATAGATGAATATGAACATCAAGTTACACCGGAACAAGTCTGAGAAAAATAAGAATGCTAGTATGTCAGTATCCACAGATGTACCAACAAGTTTGTAGTGCATAATTTCGGATTTGCTGTTTAAGATGGCGGCAGATTCAGCGACTTGAAGTAGACGTGAAGTGCACTGTCTGTTCACCACCTTAACAGATCCTGATGTGTATATGTGATTTCTTGGAATAGCCGAGTTTACAGCCGTAGAACTATGAAATAAGGCTGAAGCTCTAAGAGGCAGACTCTTCGCATGTGTTCTGCAATCCAATTAGAAACCCGCCTCTCTTCATTCTTCCTACCTACTTGCTACTGCAAATGCATCTGAATTCACAAACACATTTGATGATAGCCAGAAGCTAGTCTAGTTTGGACCATATAACTGTACAGGCTATTTTATACAGTAGGACCAGTTTGGCTATTGTATGAGCTCCCGATATATATATATCTTTTTATCCCTATGATAATTCCTCCTTCAATTTAACCACTCTGAAATACTAATGTAAAGGAACATGTTTTCTTTTTGACTCCTCCTTCCTGTCATTGATATATTTTGGATACCCACTGTTTCTTAAACAGATTATGAGTGAGACTTGATATTATTTTATAATACGTATCTTGAGAAAAGCCCTCCTACTCTTTAGTGCGGTGTTCTTACTAAATCTCTCTGATGGCTTACCCAGGGAAAACTGTTGAAACTTTGGCAGTGGCCATCCCAAGTTGCTCTGAGGTAAAGTGCTCTTCGTAGGACAGAGGTGAATGAGTTTATTTACTTTCTGTAGAAAACTTCTGCATTTGAAGCTTCATGACTTCATCATGTACCTGATGTAGAAGGATACTGATCATGTGATAGGAACACAGAAAACCAACCTTATTTATCTTTTTGCATTAGATAGTATAGTATTCGGAAACATTTTAAAAACAAAATATAAGACTGAGTATTAATTTTTATTTTGCAGAATTAAGACTGTTCTTAGTGAATGCAACCAACGGATTCAGACTGACTTCTGGCTGTTTATATTACTTACTTACTTCGGCTATCTCCTACGGAAGGATGAGCCGGCTTCGTGAACCATGAAGTTTCATGGGAATTGGGTACGAGTGATGTCCCCAGCATCGCTCGGCCTTTGTTTGAGAGTGCAGCTCTAGCCTTTACACAACCAAGTGTGACCTACAAGGCAGTAGGAGTGGAGTAGGGAGTCCACTATCTATTGGCAGCCGGTGACCGGAGTCCGGTTCATTCGCCTTTTTGAATGGGGCCAGTCATCCAGGGCATCCAATAAGCCCTTTGTCCATACGTTAGCCGGTGAGCTTCATACGCCAGTCGTTGGAGGTTTGGAATCAGGCAGGGTTTAGCCATCTCCCCTAGACTGTCATCCAATGGACAGTCAACCCGGTGAAGAGCGCCGGGCATCCGCTTTTGCCCTCTCACTTTGGTGAAAAACACCTGGCTGTTTATATGCATAGGGAATAGACGAATTATACCCTAAATATTTTTCTTATCATGTGTTCATAAACAGGTGATGTAAAGCATTAACAGAGTGGAGGCTCATAGTATTAGGTATGTTTCTCAACTATTTAAACACAAAAAATTACAACTTAACTACAATCATGACACAATTGTCTAAACTTATTTGAATAGCTCACAAACACCCGTGTACCTTCATTTCAAAGACCTTTTAGTTAGTTTAACGTAAATTTAGTTTATTATGAAAATTACATGCCGGTCTCAAATTATACACACAGTTCTTTTTATTCATTTACGTTCCCAGTGGAACATAGGGCTTCAAGCTGGAGCTTTACAGTGTCGGTAGCAGTGGTTTTCTTTTTACGGGATGAGGTTGCTTTTCTCACGTCCAACCCCCCTCCTTTACCGGCATAAGTACCGGCCTAGTGAGGCATAGGAATGTGTCGGAGGGAGATCGATAGCAGGACCACGTGTGTGGTTGACGAGCGTTCGACCTCTGAACCACCGACGGACCATTAAATTTTAAATGTGCTCTTTAAAAGACAGGAAACAAGTGTTGAACTTCATAAAGCAATTTGAATCGTGGTAACTCATTCAAATTTGAATTTGAATAGCCTGTAAAATTAACGTCTGCTATCATCAAGCTTGAAGATATACATTGCTGACAAGGGCTAACAACTGTTAAACTTAAGTATGCGACTATCTGAAGGCCGACTTTCCAAAGCTAAGCATTACAACGCCATATGGCCCTTATACGTGGAATTTAAAACGAAAATTAGGCCGGCACAAATGTATATACATATATATACTCAGTTGAAGATAACATCTGATACACGGTTTTTATAGTATCTGAGCTGTTTAAACATTCTTACTCCTACTTTTGATTATTAGAGCTACCACTAATTAATTCATCTATCTATTTTTAAACGAGACATACTGCCTTTATTCTCATGAGAAGGACTGTACTGTTTCCTTTACGCAGATATCTCTTTAGAAATAAATTTATCCCACAGATTTCATCTAAGAGACTGCTTTGTGTACACGTTGATTTTTTAACACAGGTTGGTTGCGCAAAGACACTGGTAATTCAGTTGAATTTGAGATTTTCCCATCGATTGATTGGACCGAAGTGCTCGGCCTCGGGTTGACATGTCGACTTCTTGTGTAGATGCTTCGACAATGTCTGGGCATTTAGTTAGCATTTAATTGGTGGATGGTGACTAGCAGTGGAATCCAGGATGCCGAAATTTCAACCTGGGACCGAGCACTTCGGTACAATCAATCGACGGGAAAATCTCAAATTAAATTAAATTAATATGACCCGTTGCACAAGAGGTGGCTCCTGTGGCCCAAGTGGTCTAGTGGATAACGCTTTGGTGTTTGAAACTATGGGCACTGAGTTCGAGCCTCGGTAGGAACATCATCTATCATTCACTGAGAAATGCAGGTGCATCCAGATGATGAATCCCAAACAGGACGAATTGCCCATCCTGGATTCCACTGCTAGTCACCATCCACCAATTAAACACTGGCAGTTCGTTTGCTGATGAACTTACTGACTTAATAAGGCGGAAAGACATAAAGGGTTAACTTCAGTGCCAACTATTTCATTAATTATTTTTTGCGAATATGAATTTCTGATATCGGTTCATTTCATAATAACTTGTAAAAGTTCGGATTCCTTATTCTTCATCGTTTTCATCAACACAATTTTAATTTATTTACTATTCATAGATATGAAAAACCAGGAAATGGAAATACCAACTGATTTGCATGATGAAGATAGGATACGTAGAAGCAATGTAGTCTTCTTAAAACCAGTATCTGATATCAGTAAAGGGGAAAGTATGTCTGTAAAACAAGGAGCCACAGTTAATTTAACTACTGAACTTGACATAAGTGGATCTTCTGTTCTGCATCCTGATGACTTTATCACCTTAAAAAATGGAAAACCAATTGAGTTCAATGAAAAGGAGACACCTATACTAACAATTAAGGATAATCTAATCAATTTAGTACTCGAGGAAATATCACCGGAGCAAGGTGGAATTTATGAGATTGGACTACGTCAGCCAACAAAATGTTTGTTGAAAAGTGGTGAGAACGAAGATGAAACACTTGATGAACCTACTTCTTCTTCTGTCATTCCATTTGCACGATTTCCACTTATTTGCGTTGAGCCTAATGAATCATTATCCAAAGATTATACCATCAAGCAAATTCAAGATGAATATAAGCAACCGAAAATATTTGTAGCTGAATTATTACCAAAGTATGTATGTATGCAGGGTGAGACAATGAAATTGGCTGTTGAACTGAAGAGTAACGTTTGCGTGAAAGATTTTGAATGGTCGGTGAATGGGAAGACAATAGACGTAAGTTCTCTCACGAATGCTCTGATGCTATGGTAAACTAATATTTTCAGATAGAAGCCCATCATCATGCACAATATAGGAAAGTTTGAGATTGATAGTCAGGAAATTAGGTTCTATTGAACACACATCTTCTCTGTACCATAATGTTTCAAATATCTTCTCAATATTCTTACCCTCAAAATACAGTAGTATGATGGAAGTTTCACTGTGACGCTTAGGTACATTAAGTCAGATCTATTCGTAACTGAGATTTCCTCTGAACCTCAGAATTCAACGAAATTCGTTAATATCTATGTTGCTCACTGTGAATGGAAACAGCACCAAATGACAAGTGTTATAAATCAACAACTTGTTCACATTCAACTTCCACATCACTTCGAAAATAGTATATTCCATAAAATGTACCGAAATGACCTTAGAGGACAATGGCGCTCACAGGACAATTAGATAAATGCTAATCCTGCTTACCAACGAAACATTATTTCTCTCAGTATATCTGTCTCAGAAATAAGTAATTTCATTCTAAAATTATCACAGGCATATTGGTTTTGCTAGCATGAAAATGATTTTCGCGTTCTTTTCTTAGACTGACTTGATAAACAATCAGCGCCATTCTTGAATGTCTAGAAAATACTCAGAAACAGTAATCATTAAGTAGTTCATTCAAACTTTGGAACTTTCTGACATTCAAATGTCATTATATACCGGTAGTAGGTATGCATTCACAGCATCACTTAAAACTTCCTTTAATGACAACTTATGTTATCAGTTAAACAACTGAACAGCAGCTATGACGTAGACGGAATGAGCCAAATTCGCTTAAGATGTAGTACTGATAAGTCTGACAGATAAAACTAATTTGTACTCCTTTCAAAACAAAACAATAATTTGAAACCAAACACATCATCAAGGTTTTTGTTCTAAAAACATATATTAACCAATGATCGATCACAACGGGAAAATTGACAGGTTGAATGAATAACAGTTGACACTAGTTTCATGTGTACTGACTTTAGCAGCTTTGAAGTCTAGTGCATAAAGCCTTCGCATTTGGAACTATTATATGCTGAGTTCTCTTCTCACTTGACACCTGGCACTTCCTGCTTACAAGTTGCAAATAAGATGAAACACGTATCTTAAATTCGATTGCTAGACACCATCTACCGAATGATGATATTAGTTTGCAGTCAACTGGGCAGCTTTCCAGCCTGTTTCTTTTATTTACAATAACACTAACAAGCTAAGCATAATTCGCTTTTTAGCTTCCTGGTATGTCAACAATAGTAAACGGTGATGGCTATCAAGCACACCCAATAATCTCATTTCCTTTGGTTTCATAATTGTAGATTCATCAAATCATAAAGCAATAATAATATTTACCCAGCATATACATATACATACATATGTATACATATATTTACCCATACAGCCTGAATCAAGTACAGACTTCGTTGTATGGCAAACGGGCAACTGGATTGCATTAACAATACCAAATGTTCGTGCAGATTTAACTGGTACATACACGCTGACTGTGGATACCCCTCGTGGTCGATACACCACGACAAGTGATCTGTCAGTGAATGGACAAAAAAGACAAACTACACCATACGTTCCATCGTAAGCTATTTTTACTTATTGATTTTAGTCTAGAGATGTATGTTTTAATTTTTTTAAATATCGTAATATATAAAATACTCTGTCAATCCGAATTAAAGACAAAGTGTTAGATAGACTGTGAGGCTTGGAATACATTAACTCAAAAAATCCTCAGTATATTAAGCTACTTTAACAATGATAAGTTCGACGGGAATCTCAAAGCAGGAGCTACTGAGCAGTTTTTTCGTCCTAGTTTGAAATTCTTTAGTAGCAGGTACCTGTGACGACGATCCATATCCTTCTTATTACCAAATGAGTACGGTTCTATTCAATCAGTAAGTCATGATCTAATGGCCCATGGATCCCAACTCCTTTTTCATTTGACATGTACAAAATGTCTTTTTCGTAGATTTGTAATCAACTTTTCTTTTGCAAAGTATTATTTGTCATTGCTTTTTACAAATGGAAAATTACCTGAGACAAAACTAATAAGTATGAGATAAATTGAATTCAGTTGACCACTATAATTGTAGGCTTTCAAAAGACTATTTTGTAGGTTTGATAGTGTGAAATATTCCCATATTATGAATTAAAAGTCAGTCTGAACGAAGAATATTCTTTCATTTTTAAATTCTTTTTATATTCTTTCATTAATACTATCCGGACTTATTATCAGTGATATTACCTCTTTTCTCAATATATGCCTGTTTCATTTCACATATTCGTTATTTTATTATTAACCTCTCATTGCAGTCTTACTATCTCCTGTTTAACACAGACCACTTTGTACTAGCCACTCACCTGACACCTTTTATAACCTTGAACTGACTTGTCAATTTCCTACAAATCTATTATGATTAATCATCAACATTGTCTCCTATTTTACAGTATTTTGTAATCGATTTCAGCCAACTAGCACGTTTGTCACACAAATACGACTATTTATTTTGACACCCCATAACTAATCTGTTATTCTACGCTAAAAATGTATCCACTGCATAACTGGCCTTTATTGTAACGACAAAAAATATTATATTTTATAATTGTAAGAACCTGAAGAGAAATTATTGAAAAGATTATTTTGTAGGTGAAGAACTACAAAATCTAATATGATGATATGATATGACTTAGGAAAACAGTAAGGGATTTTCAGCAACAACCTTGTTCACCGGTATAATAAACCATTTCATTATATATTAGGCTAAAATGTTTACCACTCTTATGAACTGTGATCAAGATCTGACCTCAAACTTTCAAAATTTAGTCTACTTTTGTTACGGATTACGTTCGACTTAAAGTTCATGTAAGTAGATAACTGAATATGAAAATATATGTGTGTATGCAGTATACAGTGGTGTGTGCATGTGTGTATAGGTAAACAGTTGTGAAACATTTGTTAACCTCTCCATAAGAAGATATAGACAATCGGGAATTTAGACCAGGTGTGATTAATTACAGATGCATATCAATTTATCCTTTATTAATCAGGATTTGCCATGCTCACATCACACATTCACGTTTGTTCAAACCGTTGGGATTCACCCATATATGTGGGGCTTTTGCAGTCAATTTCTCTTTATACTAACGGAATCATTCTGTAGAACCTTAGTCCTATCAAAGTCGATTTTGTGCACCGTTTCTGTCGAATGCAGTGCAATCACTGATCAGTTTTCTAGCTTCTTTAAGTCTGCAGAGGTCTTTATTTACATTGTCTATGCTCTTTCACTTGTATATTTGCCTGTCGGGAAGTTTCTCTTACATATACATCGTCACAGTCCCCACAGTTAATCTGGTATACACAATTCTGCTGGTTTTCCTCTTCTATTTTGTCCTCAAGCATCACCAGTGATGAGCGTAAGGTAGTTAGTTGCATTAAAAAAATAAACTCTTATGTGATAACTGTTAAGGATTCACTGTATCTCATCCAATGTTTCTTTGTAATTAGGAATAACCGTTGTACCAACCCAAGTCTTAACAACAGGTTTCGAAGCATCTTTATCTTCATATTTTAAATATCTTTTTATAGAGGCTTTAGGATAATTATTTGATTCAAGAGTGAATTGAACCAATTTTAGTTCCCTTCTGATCTCTTCCTCCTCAGTAACTGGACGTTTGGCTCTGTTAATCAGATTCTTGATCACAGTTACTTTGGTGGCAAATGGGTGTGCTAAACAGTAGTCTTTGTATCTGTCCGAATTTGTTGGCTGTTTGAAAATGTTTATTCTAAGTCTGCCATCTGGTTTTCTTTTAACTAAACAGTCCAGGAATGCCAAACCATTCTCTTCGAATTCAAACGCTTTGGAAAACTTAATGGTTACTGACATATTTTCAAGTATTGGTTTTTGTAGGGATTTGGTTTGATTGCATGGAGGATTTAATCATGAGCTGACATCAGTTAGAGAACCACTGGAAAACCTGGGAGTACTGGACAGCTGTTTCGTCCTATTTTGCAACTCTTCAGCAGTTCATTCAACAAACTACGTCTGAATATGATGAAGGTATCATCCACATATCTTAACCAAATTTTTGGAGGACTAGAGCAGCTCACAATCGCATTTTCTTTCCAACAAGTGCATAAACAGATTGGTGACTAGCGGAGACACTAGTGATCTCATAACAATGCCTTCTATTTGACGGTAAATAATCCCTTTAAATGCAAATAACGTGAAACCCAGACGCAGTTCCAACGCCTTCATAATTTCATCTGGATTTAAAGGGCAAAGAGCACTGAGTTTGTTGTCAGAACAAGGTAAATTGTAAACAACACTTAAAGAATAATTAACAGGAACATTCGTAAATAATGAATAAACATCGAAACTTGCCATCTTCATTTGCAGTTATATGTGAGCAGACGAAAAATGTTTGATAAATGTTACATTTGTAGAGTAAAACAAGACATTAGATTTTAAGTTTTTTATGATAGAAGCAGTTTAGTCAAACTTAAAAAAAACACAGTGATGTACTTTCACACAACTTTTCCCACCACGCTGAAATGTTTAACTTCTATGACAATGATATTTATTTTGATATTTGATTTTTTTTAGTCAGGTAGAAGGACTTAAACCATTATTTACCAAGAAACTTCAAGACTACACGGCTGAAGCGAATGAAATCGTTAGATTGTGCGCGCGTTTAGTTGCAGAACCACCAGCAACTATCACCTGGTAAATCAGTTTATTTTTTACAGTATACCATTCTTGTACTTTACCGATTAAACTCTGTAGTCTGGTGTTGAACCAATAACTCAGAAGCAGCTAAAAACAATAGTAAAGCTTTCTTTCAGACAATATGTGAACATATGGTAAAAAAAGGTTTTCAGCGTATTTAGCTCTAAAATATTTCTTCTTCACACAAAATTTACATGTAAAGCAACAATTTGAAGTAATCATTTGTCATAGTGTTCTTTCAAGAACTGCATAGCATAAAGCGGGAAACTAATTAATTATACGCACGATTTCAAACACTGGTCATTTGATGTAATTCCCTGTTAAACCGAAAGGAAGTGCAGAAGAGTTCAAGCACTTTGATAGATGGAAGTTCTGGTAGCCAAATGATTTAAACAGGCCGCTCTGGTTCACGTTATCGTATAAATTAGGTTACAGTTAAAATTCGGATAATACTGATATATATATATATATATATATATATTGTTATCACCCTAACAAACAATGCTGTCCCCTACAGTCTTATGAATTAATGTACTGAACTGATTCCCAAGGCACTGATGCCATACAGACTGTATTGTTCGTAAGAATATCATTTTAACGGCTTCAGTACTTCGTAGGTGCCTTAGTCTGAATAGTAAGATACCCAAAATTAAAAAAAAGATGAGCTTCAAAAAATTACTGCACTCATGTATATGAAAGGAATAACGAAACTGTCTGTCACTCATTTACAGAATGGTTATTGAGAAACAAGATCATAAAAGATTCATCAAGCCAAAAATAGTAAAGGAAAATAATATTTGAGTTGTTTCTCACGGGGCACTTTAGATACAGCATAATAACTTAGAAATGTGTATCTGTAGTAGTTCCTCTCCATTCTACACGAGCTTGTTGATTAGTCATGCCAACTTCAACCTCTTTTCTAACATACAATTAGTCATCCCTTGTTACACCTTACATTGTGTAATACATTTTTCGAGGACAAAGTTTACCAGTGTCTGATTGGACCAAGGATTTCTCTGTTAAATATAATTACGATTGTACAGCTCATAAAAATGAATCGTCTAAAAGGAAATTTTCTTCGCTGTTTACGCGTTTTTCTCACACCTGTTTTTTATATATGACTCCACGGTCCGTTATTCATGCTGTGTTTTTCAAGTGGGACTTAATGTAATTTATGTAACTACATACCCCATGGATCTTACATACAGAATTCATGCTCAGTAAACACAAGTGATGAATATTTTGAGTTTGTGTGATGGAAAACTCCCTTTAAACAATCTTGGTAGTTAATTCATCATTCAAAATGTAACATGCTGAATGAACCAAGTGAGAATAATCATATAGAACTTGGCATTGTAAAAGCGTATAATTCCACTATTCTAGCCAAATTCAATTCATGCGGTATTACTGAATGGAAGATATTTCTGGTACAGTTTGTCAATCTTAATCATGTCACTTTCATGAAATCGTGTGCGTCGGTGGCACAGTGGTTAGGACTCTCACCGACCATGCACATGGTCCAGGGTTCGAGCCCACGCTGACGCACACCTGATATCTATGGTTGGCCTGCAAAATTTGGGCTACCGATATCCATGCTGAAAATTCCATACTTGTACCAAAAATACAGTGTGGAATCTAGCTGTAAATCAAAAATTATAGATAGGATGAAACAGCTACTTAGCACTCCCTGCTGTACGGATTTCTGTATCTCATTTCAACTGGGAAATAGAACAGCCTAAAAATCAATCATATATACACATTTCGACAAATAAAAAGAAATGTTTGGTTTGCGAAACATCAGTTTCCAATAAAAACTGTTTAGCTGTGTACTAGTGCTACCAAACGAAGATATTCGTTAGCCCTGACAAAACTTAAAAAATCTTATTGGATTTCAAACTTTCAATAATAAATGCAAATGTTTGGTTTCTGAAGGTTACTTATTTTAAGACCATCCCAGATTAATGCTTTAATGTGTATATAGCCAGTAACAAAAGATATCACAAAATTTGAATATATATATGAAATCATCAGATCAGGTATCACAAATTGTCCCACATTTTCTATTGACATATGACAGATGTATGCATCCTAAAACATCACTTAGATGTAAAAAGATAAACGTTCTTTGTTACCTTTCAAAGCTGTTTATTGTAGACGTAAGACTTTCATTTCTATTTTTGTCAAAAACCATTTTAGGAAACACAACGGTATCCCAATTAAAGATGATAACAGAATAAAAATTTATCAGGACCATGTTAATCCTTCAATTACAATTCAAAATGTGAAAGATGAAGATTATGGTGAATATTCGTGTGTAGCAACAAATGTACTTGGACAAACGGAAACCAAAGCAACTCTCTATATCCAAAGTAAGTAATTAAAATGTTTCTTCACTCTCAGTTACCAGAATACCAGCTAATGAGTCAGTGTTTATGTGAAGTTGTATAAATATGACTTAGTGGTATATTACTGTCAAATATTTGATACAAGTCTATGTCGTCCAATTTTTTAGTCAACAGACTAGTAAAGAAATCCGTACACAACACTGAATAAACACAGTCCTGCTGGAATAACAATTTCCAAATCCTACTTCCATATGTATATGTATATACGTTTATAGAGAACAATATTTACTCTTGATTCACTAAGACCCGCAGGTTTTCCGTTATGTATAAGTATAAAACTTGGGCACTGTGGTAGATTATAATCCATTATGGATAAGATTTTATTTTGATTAGTCACACAGTGTTGTACAGTAATATTAACTGATGATGTTTCGAGCACAAATTATTGCTCATAATCATATCAAGTCACCCACACAACGTTTTACTTCATTTATTTACATGAGTACTCACGACTCATGTATATAAATGAGGCAAAAATTTGTGTGAGTGACTTGATATGATTATGAGCAATAATTTGTGCTCGAAACGTCATCAGTTAATATTACTGTACAACACTGTGTGATTTATCAGAATAGAATTTTATCCATAATGGAGAATTTGTATTTTCTGAATTCAGGCAGACGCTTAAAGTGAAACATAAAACTTACACTTCAAAGAGTCAATTTCAATAAATTTTGACGTTTTAGACCATTAAGAACATCGTTTTTGTATATCTGAATAATGGTTTTGAATTAAATTGGGTTAGTAAATGGCAGTCATAAAGGTGTCAGAAGGATCATTAACACTGTTTTGCATCATCGATGAGGTAGTCTTTAAAATAGCAGTGATTCCTGATACATGCTACTCAACACTCGTTAGTCCAGTCGAATTTACCATTAATGACGTATTCAGCTGCACATCCTCATGATTCTTTTTTGAGTTTCTTAGACAGCAGTGGACGCGATACGGTGTGCAGATAGGCCTTATTAATAAGTAATGCCAACAATTGTGAATCCCAGAAGCTGAAAACCAGAAATCCATTCTGGATGCTTGTAAGCACTCACCATGAAGTCAAGTCCTTTAAATGATCTTATCTGCCACTTTGAACAAGTTATGACATAGAATATTTTTCAGTGATTAACCAATAAGCTTCCATATTTCCATTTATGCTGCATAATAAATCTTTTCATTTAGATAACTTCTTTGAACCTGTTGGTCATACAAATGATGAAAATAAAGATTCAGAATGTATCGCTGAACCTACAAGATCCTCAGGTAATGAAATATGATGATTCTCTTTATTACTCAAATGGTCAATAACCATCCCAGTATTTGTAAAATAAATCCATTTTTTAAAATTTTATTTAAAGTGGTAAAACTGGAGGGTGATGTGAACTCATTTGTTTGAGAGCATTTCAAACGCTTAAACTGCATAATATTTTAGGAATCTCTACAAAGGATTTTTTCGGTATGGCTTTTGTTCAAGTCAACTCTTAAATAACTTTCTTCATTTCCCTGATAAATTAAAAAGAGCATTTGAAATTAACATATATTCGGGGAATAAATGTGGCTTCTGCTTTAGTTTATTGAAGTGAAAGAATTAGCTTTTACAGGAATAGCAAACACTTCAGCATAACCAACTCGTCAAACAAAAGCTGCTCTTCATATTGTTCAGAAGTTGTGCTTAATTTTCTTTGAATTTTGACATTTTTCCTGAAATCTAAATCCAGTGGTCATTGGTTTCGCATCCTATAACATCATGGGCTAGACTAATTAACAAAATTTAAAAAATATTTCGGTCTTTTGAATCTAGCGAAAATGACTGTCAAGCAAACTGCATATGTCATTCCACTTTCGTCTTTGTATTCATATACCTGGATAGGAACCACATATTAAATGATCTGATGATCCACTGGTCGAAAAAACGCAGACATTAAAACTAAAGGATTTTATGAACTGAAGAGTATCCTAAGAGATATTGTTCTGGAAAAATCCGGTTCACAAAACACTTCGATAACTAGTTTCTTTCTTAGTCAACTGGCAGTACAATAAAAGGTCAACTGTGGTACTTGTACAGTGGTTGAAGTCAAAGGAGACTACGCAGCTTTAAAAATAGCCTGTCACACTTTATCAAATGAAGTCATACCCTATGTGAACACACATGTGAAGGGGAATTAATTTCAAGCTGACACTACGAATACCTCCTAAAATGTCAGTTTAATTTTTAAAGGCAAATGGCACAGGAAAATTATCGTTACAAATCAATAATCCGTAATATTAGAAATAAACTGTCATCTTCATAAGCACTTTTTTCTCGGAATTGTGTAAAATAACTCAGATTATTTCACCTGTTTATTATCAGTACCATTTAGTCTTCTATAGTAAATAAGTCAGTATTTAGCATAAACTTTTGTGAGGATGATTAATCTCAAAGTACGTCTCATCATAAGCTTAAACATATTTAGGCAGATAATTCCTTCAAAGGTAAAGATATTTAAGTTCTTCAGTCCATTATTTTCTTGAAAACACACCAGCTGAGTACAACATAATGAAGGGAATTTAGTGAAGATTACACCTCAGTAAGATTGAAGGAAGGAAAGGAAAAGGAAAGTCATAAAACTAATCGAGGGTGACAATAAAAATATTGAACTGCTGTGTCAAAGTTCATCTGAATATTAAATTTCAGTAGTTAGATTTCTAATGAAACTTCTAAATCCTCAATGACGGACGCATCAGGTCAGTTCAGTCAAAAAATGGAATAGAACTAGCATGTAACACTGTATCACGACTAGCCTAAAGCATAAATTGAATAAAACTAGGCATTTCGAAGTGTTGACCTTACATTCAATAGCCGAATGCTGACATATTCGTCAACATACCCAAAATGCTTCCTTTCTCATCCTCCTGTTTATTTGTTGACTCATTTTTCTGAGGAGACTCAAGTGAGGGAAAAATAATTGTCTAGTGTTTCCGTACTCTCAGTAACTCCTGAGCAAATTTCAGTCATTGATGGACACCAATAATAATAGTAATAATAATAGTTAAAGAACAAAATGTATTGAAATGCGTAAAATTTGCATGGACCATGGTGTATCTTATTATATAGTATGACTACACTCTGATTTCTATAACAAAAGTTTAGCTAAAGGCTTATGAAAACATTGGCCTTGTTAAAACAAGTATCACTTTGAAATTTAGATGTTACAAGAAGGACTTGAGAATAAACTTCTTCCTACCTAAAAGGATCGACTATAAAATACACATATTCTTTGGGTCCTCGATACCCAAACTGAATGGGAAATGTCTCATACTTTATATATATATATATATATATATATATATATATATATATATATATATATATACTCCCATCTTACAGCTTATTCCACTTACGAATAAATTTCACTTGATCTGTTATCATTTTGCTTTGCTTTCAAGCTTTGCCGTCAAGGGTAAACAATCTTCAGTTGGTTGACGTTTATGAAGAAGGTTTCAAAATCTCCTGGGATCCAATATTAGATGAACAGGTCACATATAATGTTGAAATCAGCAATGATGCAGGCAGATGGTGGAAACCTGTGCTCACCAATTTACACGACGTTTCAGCAGATATTTCCAATGATATGGCATGTCCATTGAATCCAGTGCAAATAAGAATAGTCGCTGAAAACGAATATGGTCTTGGTCCTCCTTGTTTTCCATTTATTCGTTTACCCATCCGAGCATGTCTTCCTCACATGCAAGCTATTAAACCGGAAACTGAATTCGAAGAGGCGACAGCTGTTAGACTTCGATGGGCCCCAGCTGTACCATCCCTTTCACCTAGCCAAATGAACAAAAGTGGTATGCTAGATAAATCTCATTTACTTGGAAAAGTAACCTATTCAGTTGAAATTCGAGAAGGGTCACAGTCAGAATGGCACAGAGTGGCAAGTGATATATCTGGTTTATCTTACACCTATCACTTAAAGCCTGGTGTTAGTTCTGCCATACGTATTGTTGCCAAGAATAAGTATGGTGAATCAAGTCCCACTCCAATGACAATAGTTCAACTTGATCCAGACAGCCTTATTCCAGATCTCTCCTTAGATTCACCATGGGTGGCAGTTAACTATCCGGCCGATAACGTTCAAGGAAAAAGACCTAATGTAAAGTTATTCTGGAAAGCCGCCTATATGCCGGAGTTTTGTGACAGTTGCATTAAAGGTCTGAAGCCATTCTATCGTATTGAATGGCGTCGCGGGAAATCTGGACCATGGCTTGAGTTGGCTCGCGATATTAAAGAATACGAGTCTGGTTACCCCCTACCAAAAGATATAGTGGATTCATTAATTAACGAAACAAAATCTACACCCGATTTGCTTTTAAACAACATAAGCTTGAATCATTCTGTTGAATTTCGAGTTGTTTGTTATAATGAATTTGGGGAAAGTGGACCAACTAAGTCTTATAGACTAAAAGCCTCTCAGTTATTCCGAGGTCAAGGTTATCGAAACAATTTACAATCAGTAGATACATCGAATGGGATGGATCAGTATGAACATTTAAGTGTATTAGATAAGCTACCTGTCATTTCGTCAGCTAAAGTCCCAAAATTGGAAGTCCAGGTGACGTCTGTTGATCCCAAAGAGGGGATAGCACTCAAATGGGCTCCTTGTACAAATTCATACCTGAGTAACGGTGTTGATAACAATCATGATTCGCATGGCCGGTACAGAATTCAACGTATGTTGCCAAGTTCCATCAGTGATAGTACATCACTCGATGTGCGGAATTGGACAGTAGTTTGCAAAGAAGATGGTCTCATTTACGGAGAGGAATATGTTCTGGATATTAGACCGAGTAAAATGGAGCAGTTTGTGAGAATTCTAACTCTCAATGAAGACAGCGAGGGCAATCATACATGGTTAGACAATCATGAAATCTTACGTATACCTGCACTCTATGAAATATGCCCACCTGCACCATCAGGAATCGAAGTTAAGTTATTACCTCCCAATGAAACATCAGGTTGTACAGGTGTATGCGTCAGCTGGAAACCACCTAATCACGAGTTGATTTCAGATAACAACTATCTAAAGCATGTTAAAAATTATAATCAGATTGACTATAGAATAGAAGTGCGTACAACTTTAAGTGAAATGGCACCTTGGCGGCAAGTCGGTTTAGTGTCGGGATTACTTGGCAAAATAGAAGATCGAAAAGCTGAACCTGGATCACAGCTTATTTACCGGATAACACCAATTAATCAGTTCGGTGAGGGCCCTAGCTTGTGTTCATCGCCAGTTAGACTCCCGCTTCTGCTGACGAGTTTAGAAAGGTAGGTTAGAACATATTTAATTTGTGATCCCCTTTTAACATTTCACTCGTGATGATTATTTGCAACTTTTTGAAAAAAGTACGGGTATTAGCGTGAAGACACTTATTTGACCGACAGATCACCTATGATGCAAATCATAAAGGTAAATTTAAATCAAAGACCTCCATCACACTTCTAATGGAATACATATAATGTAAACAGTAATCTACCGAATCTTTACACTCAAATCATTACATCTGGTTTTACGACGTCTACTTGACTTATCAAATATTCAGAAAAGTATTGTCATCGACCAGTCAAGTTGTAGTTAACTGAAATACATAATTTATTTTTTGTCATTTAACGAGTATATTCAAACTTATTTATCAGTCTAACTAGGAATGGTAGTACACACTATCTATGCAAATGTTGAGGAATATGTGCGTGAGAGACACTGACAAGCGCCTAAATAATTAACAGTCGAAGAATTCCACAAAAAAGAATAAAATCTTCACCACCAGAATGTGCTACCCAAGTGTACAACAATATTCTTTCCACCTTGAATTTTCTCTGGAATATTTTCTGAAGTACTAATTTATTCCTAGGTGTCTTTTTTCAAATATTGATACATACAAACAACAACGGGTAAAAATTTGTTCCGATTAGTAAGGTGGAGAATCCTAATCAATAGAATCTAGAAACGTTGTTCGCCTCTTGATGACTGGTCTTAACACTAATCGACAATTCATAGATAAACTAACACATAAAGCCTGTCAGAAGCTAATTTTGGCACAATAGCCAATGAGATTAAAGGTTATTAGATCGAATATTGATTGTTAGCAGTCAAATTTCAATAAGGGTAGACTTTACTACTGATTCTGTAGGACGAAATCGAAACTGGGAAAGCACTACATTTAAGTTATTTTATACGTCCTAAAGTCTAGCATTTGTACAACACAAGTGACCGGTATTTCACTTTATTTTTGAGGAACAAATATGCGATAGCTGTAGAATAACGGTAAAGGCTGAAGCAGATACTGGAGTCACCCGTCACATATGACTGGAGGACAAACGTCCATAACAGTAAAATCTGACTGGTTATCTATTTAATATGTGAGATAGATGATGATTCAACAAACACTGAAATAAGGATTTGAAAATCCACTTTTTCTTAAAAATTATGCATTTGAATGTAATGGAAACACGCTGTCGGTCACGTGAAATGGTTTCAAGTGTAATTAACCATCTGTGAAGTAAATAATAAGTGTAATAGCTAGGATGGTCTTTGAAGCTACTCAGGAAACCGCTATCTCCAGAGCAGGATAACCGTCGATCATCCATCTCAGTGCATTTAAAGACCCTTTTTTCAAGCGATGAGTAGTTTGGGGAGGAGCTTTTTATCCTTAGAGTATAAATGTCTATGGTCAACATAATTATCAGTGGAAAAATGAATTGCTAAATATCATTTGTAGATGCTTTGTTCGCTTCCAAATTTGACATTAAGTTAACTTAGTTTGTATTTTTAAAAGTATTGGATAAATTGTTTGTGACTGTTTTCCCATTCGTTAGTTTGACAAACTAGATTCGCCATAAAGTGTTTCAATGCAACTAGCCAGGAGCCATCAACAAACTAAGCTACACAGGATAACCGTCTTTTTCCGTTTTCATTGTTGGTCATGTATAGGACTGTTTGAAGCGCTTAACAGTTTGCAGTTAATTTATGAAGTTAAAATTAAAAATCCGGCGTACAAAATAGATGGGTCATGCAACATTCAGTGTTAGCCGAAGGCATGATTTCAGATTTCATATGTCAAACAGCAGTTCCATTGTTCTTACAGACCAATAAGTCGAGGTGCAATTTACTTTACCACTGATGTCTCAGAAGAACTATGAGATATGATGTTCCAATAGGAATATAAGATTTCCAGCAGCATATAGGCATTTCACTTTGTTCTCTGCAGTGCTGTCTAGATGGCTCCACAATTCTTTTAAGCTTTCATTCCCTCCTCGTATGATCCGTTCCATGTCACTCTTGGACTCCCAATTAGTCTTTCTTCATTCGTGTTCCGCTTGAGGGACTGGAATCAGATGTCACCATGTTAACCAAGGGGAACTGTCATCAAATGGTTATGTAGTGTATGTAATTAGAGTGGAGTTCACTAATGATGAAAGCCATACTGTCGGTAAAGAACCATTCACAATTTTTCCTATGTACAATTGTTCCCCCAGTATTGCTTTCTATTACAACTGGCGTCAAAAAGATGCTGTTCGACATCATTGACTCAGTAGTATTTAACAATCTATGTTTTTATCCAATAAAACATATCTCCTACTTTATTCAGCACATCATTAGGCAAGTAACCTGGCTTCACACTTGTCGAATTTTCCTTCAGCCCTCAGTCATCTACCATTACTAAAATTTCTGTTGATTAGAACTTCGACGACATAAATCCTTCTTTCTTCCTCCGTCTCTCTTTCTCTCTCCTAATCTTATCACAGGTGTATTGAAGACTTACGATTTCTAATACTAGGACCAAGTACAATTCAATTACGCTGGCGTCTAGGTGATTCAGTAATTGATGCACTCGGATTTAAAAAGGACGAGAAACAATCAAAAAATATCACAAAACAACTGGATTTTGATGAGTCTGCAGAAATGTGTGAACGTGTAAATTTTTCTGTTGAAAGACGGGATGGTTATGCTGGTGAATGGTATCCTATCTATGAACAGATTAAAGGAAATCTTCTTAACAAGATTTTACTGAACAACTTTTCTTATTTAGATAAAGATATCTCTTGTAGAATCATTGCATATGTAGACGGACAACAAACGAAGCCAAGTCGGCCAATCAGCATAAGTATTAAAACTGGTAGGTGATTTCTCTAACATTGATAATTCTGTGTATTCATTAATGTATTATAAGACTGAGACAAAACCAGCGTTATGTATGATTAAATGACTACCAGCAGATTATCTCACACTATGACAGAATACTTGTAACCCAGATGATGTTGAGGCATAATGAAACCAGCTTTCAAATTTAAATGTTCATACCATGAATAAAAAATATAGAACTAAACTAAATTCAACGAAAGAAAGTATTCAATGAATTGTCCCGTGGTTTCAAAAGCTAGTGACTCCATTTGATTTACACCGAATAGTGGCTTGTTAAATCCTACTTCGTGGATCCTACCGTCCGATAAAGCAAGTGTTAACCAATATACCCACAAAGGTTATCATCATAAAGCATACACCGGTGCTTTGCATAGAGAGAATATAAGTATAATATAGTTCCGTAGTATAATAACTAATACTGGTAGTATCATTAACTGAATGAAGTTTCATAGACAGTTGATTACTCTGTAACAACATCGTGTGGTAATGTTGTCTCATTAAAGGTGCTGTTCCTTGCATTGCTGCCTCTGTTATGTGAGACATTGATTCTAATCCTTTGGTTCCAAAAAAGCACAATGGGGAGTTAGGAAAACCCAAACAAAATTAAGCTAACCTAGTCTTTCATGGTGTCGTGTAAATGTAACTACAGAAGAACCAACTGGAGTACAATGCTTATTAGATGATATATGAGGTTAAAATATAAATTTACTTTTTCCATGGCCACAATTCAGTACCAGTCTTAAACTGCGAACATCTGACAAAATTAAAGTGACTGCGCAGTCTCATATTATAATAAATTCAATGTATTGTTCACTCATTTCACTTATAAACATCGTACTCTATTGGCGTTGCAGCATCATGAAGATATCCATGTTGCGATGGAAATGAAGACAATGCCCCAAAAATAAATATCGTTTGGGAAATTAAAATTGACACCAGGTTTGCTATTGCATTAGATACTAACGAAGATTATAGAATGATAGCTAATTTTGTTTACTTTCGCACCTGGAATTTTTAGACTGAAACTTTTGACATAGGTGTAGGCAGATTCTACAGTGTTGCTTTGCACAGTGTGGAATAATAATCTAATAATAATAAAGCTTTCTTTCAGACAATATGTGAACATATGGTACAAACGTTTTCAGCGCATATAGTTCCGAAATACTTTCTTCTTGATAGAGAATTTACATGTAAAGTAATAATCTGAAGTATATTTTCATTTTGTTAAAGAATTCCCCAGCATTTACTTGGAAGCAAGTTAAGTCAGCGCGCACCTCTGTGTATAGATCTTTTGATATAACTGGACGGTTAAAACATGATTGATTCAGATGAAATTAAGCATTTTGGTGGGAAGCAATTTCGGTAGCTCGCCTCCTTCGATTGAAACAGACAAACAAAATAATTATTTGCATTACTTTTCGAAATTTCGTTATACACTATTTGTACTAATCTTCACTGAATAATTTCTTTTCCTACTAAACAGATTACTTGGTACCAGATTTCTCAGCGTTTAAGCCACACGTGAATGTTACATCTGTTGAAGAATATGTCATCACGTGGGAGGATCCAGATGTGCAATCATTGTATACAAGTCATATTTTAAATCTTACCATGCCTCAAGTACTACACAAAGATACTAGTTATTCGATACAGGTAACATCCTCTATAATTATGCATATATTATATATATATGTAAAACTACAAAATATACTAAAATATTTTATAGTGAGTAGATATGCTTAGGCGTTTCGCTAACCTCCTGAGTTTGAGTGCAGTTACATCTTTGAACTTCGAATGAGCAAATAAGTGCGAATGAAATCTTAAACCCCGTTTCGTGACTGGTTGATACAATTAGATGTAGTGTATGCGTGGTTATCTCTTGTGTTATGATTGTGTGATATGCAACAAATAATATCATGGTATTAGTCCTCGGAATATATCTAATCACCATGTATTCGAAACTAAAAAGGCACAATAATCTTGCATGTAAGTTATACTTCCTGGATCTCTTCACAACAGGGAAGTTCAGAACTTTTCTGTAGTGTTATTACTGCAATTATACTTGTTAAAAAAAAACTGTAAATTATCTTCTTTTCATTGTTTCAGCTAATTCTGGTAGCGAAAACATTTAGCACTAATTCGAACAAATAAAAACTTCAGCTACCTTTACTAAAAGTTTTTTTTCTTTTATATGACAGACTTCTAATCTCACTTAATTTCTGTAGGTCAAACACATTTCCAACACAGTAAGGATAGTTTAGAACAACCACTGTTATCTTGTACCTTAAATTTCGCTAACAAAATGAGGAGTATTATTATTATTATATCCTTTAATTCCTAGAGGAACATAGGGCTTCGGCCACGCGTCTCCATCGCGTTCGGTTTTCTGCCAACTTTTTCACCCAGCTCCAAGTCTGTCCACATGCTTTCATCTCCTCTTCACATGACCTCATCCAAGTCACCCTCGCACTGATGACCAACTCGCCGCTCCCCTCTCGAGTTCCACTCGAGCGATGGCTTGTCTAGTGCTGTCACTTGATGGTTTCCTCAGAGTATGGCCAATCCATCTCCATTTCTTCCTGCCTATTTGTTTCACAATCGGTTCCTAGTTGGTTTGCTCATTGCCAGAGATCCCTCACTATTACTGATCTTTTCTGGCCGGCCATCTGATCTTGAGTGGTGTTGAGCGAAGACAACTGCTGTTGATGAAGGTCTGAAGTTTGTTTGAGATGCTGTTTATGACGCGCTGGCCAAGTCTCTGATCCAATCGTATAGTAGCACTGACTGACTCACTTCACATTGGAGTTGAAAATCCGGATGTTATTTTTGATGGTGATTGCTGTTGACCTCCTCCACACAGACTTGAGAGTAATGAAAGCTTGTCTTATTGAACTCTTAAGCAGACTTTGAGTGGTCCTTAGTGCTACAACACTTAATAAATTGTGAGACAATCGCCCAAAAAGCAACATCAACTTACCACTACAACATTCCATGTACATGAACATAATCATTTAACACCGCTTTAACAAAGATTTTATTTAAAACATACCTAATTCGAAGCACAGAAATTTAGAAAAATGGAAGAAAATGTAGTCTGCTGGACACTGAATGGTATAAATAAAGAATGAAATTCGGTTCTGCACACTGACTGAATTCAAGAGATCAGCTGATTTTTCAGAAACAGTGATAAATGATACAGTAAGTGTTGGTGATTAATAATCAATATTCATAGCCTAATAGCAGCATAACTTTTACCCCATTAATAAATTCAAGTAAACAGAAAAGAACGCAAACGTAGTTACTTACTGAACTTATAACTTATAAGTGTAACTAACTAATAAGTAATTTATTCATCAATTTTTTAATACTATGTGCTAAGAAAGTAATGACTTTATAGTCACTTATTTAGATCAGTGATTATTCATCATAAAATAAGTGAAAACAACAACAGAATGAATCTGTTAGTGTCCTGTAAAGAAACAAAAGAGAAATGCAGTGAACTATGGACAAATGGACACATTTGGGTAAATTTGTTATACAAATCAACTCGCAAACTGATCATCGCGCCATATAATCAACGTTAACATCAGCGTGTAGGATTATGACATGGTTAAATGAGATATATTCGAATCAGCTAAAGTTAAAACTTGTCTATCTTGTTCATTTTCTTGGGTAAAAAAAACAGCGGGTGTTTATTAACTCTCCCTCTCCTAAATTTTGTCTATTTCATAGCTATTTAGCATCTCTTGTAGGTTAAAGGAATGAAGCAAAAACATAAGAGATTGATCGTATCTACTACAAATTTTAGTTATTTAACAATTTGATTGACTGATGTCAATAAGTAACACTTTTTCTAAATCATTCAAACAGTTTCTAATTTTTTTTGTTCTGTGCTTAAGATACAGCAAGAAGGTTCAACAGATTGGAAAACTATAGCATCTGATCTACTCACTACCCAATGGACATGGAGTAAGCCGAACCCATTAATGGGATATCATATTCGTGTTCAACCGTTTAATCAATTCGGTGCTGGACATCCGACTAGAAGCACGTTAATATCACCTCAAGTCGGTAAGATATTTATTTACCCAGGGATTAAATCATTTTTTTTCAAAGTACCCTTTGAATTCGATTTCGATAATTTACGGGAATCCAGTTAAAAGCAAGTTGGTTTATTTATTCACAAATAAACAAAATAAAATGGTTAAGAAAGACACTACTTTTAGTGTTCAAACAGTCAAAATGAACAGTGACTACTTTATGTCAAATTTTTATCATGGATTCACAGCTACTGGGTAGTACTATAGTGTTTGAATATATCTGTTTGTCGGTCCCAGTCCTAGAGGAGACAAAATCACTAACTGAGATCTAGATAAGTCAGGCTGATGAGTTTCAAGTACGACAATACGTATTGGATACTAATCAGGAAGACAGAAAAGAATGTTACCAAAGAAAGATACCAATAGATAACCAATCAAACCGGTCAACATTACAAAAGGATGCTTTTCATGGTCTTCGTGTTCAGTTTCACCCTGCTGTGCAGTTGGAATTACGGTTGAGGATAGTGTAGAGTTAAGGTTGAAGTAGGGTTTCGGTTAGGGCGTGGTTAGGTTTAGATTAGAGTTATGGTCGGGGTAAAGTCGGGATAAGGGCTAGAACAGCGTCAAGGTGAAACTTTCAAAGGAGATTATGAACAACAACTTTTTGAAATGTTGAGCGTTGTGACTATCATGGTTGAGATATATTCATCAGATATTCAGTCATTCATCAGGACTAGTGGGACCTAAATTTGGTACTCATACAATTTTTGTTGAGGGATTTTTGCCACATCAAAAACGGGTTAGAATGGTGTATGTCTTCAATCATTCCCATTAAAAAGTGAGACGTTTTTGCAGCATATCAGAGGTATATGCACTATATCATTCATTTTTATTACGTATGTATATTCTGAAAATATAGTTTATGCTAAAACACTACATTTCGTCTAGAGGAATATCATTGTTTAGTTCAAGGTCATTTAGCTTTGGTACCTGTTCTTTACTATTGCTCAAATGGACCTTAAAATAGTCATGGGTTTGTGTTAATCTAAATATTAACTGATATACGAAAATTGATCACTAAGCTGGAGATTTTATATTAGTTTAAACTGCTCCCTAACATCCTTAACGAAAGAAAAATGAAGTAAAACCATTTAAGTTTACTACACCTCTAGACATGAAATACGGGGCAATACTTTCATGTCATCACTCCCTAATATCAAATGAAGATATAAAAATGAGCGGAAGTAAAATTTTCTACAAATTTATGACCGACTACTTATCTCCATAAATATGTATAGGTTTATACGTAGAAAGTGATTGATATCATTTCCTTTCATCTTGGGTACTGATTGATAATGCTGCCAGTTTTCTACTGTGATTGTGAAGCTAACAGATTAGTCACAGTAGTGCACTCTGTTGGTGTAAAGATACCATAAACAGTAGGCAGCAAAAATCCGGAATCTAATCTTTTGTTTGACAAAACCCATCTAAAGGGCTCTCAGAAACCAAAAATACATCATATTTTGCTGTGTGGTAAGCTCTTTTGAATGGAGAAGTGACTTACGCATGGAACATTAGTGCCATGTCAGGAGTTGCCACTAATTAAATCCCAGCATCAAATACCTACATAGTTGTATAAACAACAAAGAAAATAATTTATTTACTTTAAATGCAATATACAAATGAATTAAATGACTCTGAATTTAACTTATATCATCCACTTTTTTCCATTCATTTCAGTCATTCCCGATTTAAAATTCATGAGACCATCTATAGAATGTCCATCAGACATTCTAGTAGGTCGGATAGCTCCAGAGTTGGTGTGGCAGATACCTAAGTCCTACGCTTTAGACAGAACATTTACACCTTACACCTTTGAGGTCCAAGTTAAAGGTGTAGAAAGGCCGACAAACCGTGATTACATTAAATCAGAAACAGATCCTGACAGGTCATCAAGACATCAGTCTGGAAGTATCGGTGGTGAGCAGATATGGAGAGTTTTAGCATCCGGTCTGAAACGTAATCGTCTATCTCTCGAACATTTGGATCCAGAACAAGAATACTGGTTGCGAGTTGTTGCTGTAACACAATACGGTAGAGGTACACCAAGTCAACCTGTCCGAAAAATGGCTGACCTAAATGCAAGTAAGTTCAAAATGTCAATTTAAACTCCAGTTTTTCAACCCATCAGGTTTTTATCTCACATTAGTTTAGTTATGTAGATATACCGTACATTAAAGTAACGACAATGACTAGGAAACATCATGAGGCCAACTTATCGTTCGTAGTTTTAAACCATAGATGAAACAATACGTTTAGACAATCGAAGCTAATATTTATCAACATAAATTAAGATAATTCCAAGCTGTTGTTGTAAGCGTTATAAAAAAACAGTTACAACTATCTAAACTATTCAGCGTGTGAACATCTGCATAGTGTGAACTTGGATCATTACTGTCTAGTACTACTACAACTAAAGTAAATTCCGAAAGGCTGTAACTTCCAAACTAACAATTGATTTTGTCGGACAAAAAATAACTGTTTTCATTGATGTCTGGATAAGGAATATTCATGGAAAAATAATTATGTCCGATAATAAGAACTGATGGAATGCTTAAAAGTTCTGGTCAGGTGATAATAGATGCAAAACCCTTCACCTTCTACAATGAGTGATTATATAGTCTAATTTAGTCCTAACGTTAACATCTCAGCTTTATAGTAAGCTCAGTACAGTTGAGGTGTTGGGTAAAAACCCAGTAGCACACACCACTTGAATTCAAATAATTCCATGAATTCATTGGGAATACGGTGCATTCCTCAAGTGAACAGAGAATATCTGGCTGTCCAGGAGCAGACAAATAACTTGTTACAGATGTTGAAGCAAACGGATTCTTACTGATAAATTTTATTGATAAGTTATTAAACATTTCATATGCCTTAATACAGAGTGAAATGTCGAAAGCATGTAATTTTAAGAAATTAAACAAATATATATAATCAATCTGTATAAACGATGATTACCTTTGTTTTACACCTTTTTTTCATTTCTCTCCGCTATTAAAGGACGTAACAGATGCGCATCAGCTTGCATAGGAGTTTTACATGAACCTACACCGAGTGAGTTATTTCTCTTATTCACTTCTTTCTTTTTTCCTTTATTTATGAAAAAGTTATTTGCTTAAAACCTTGGAGTAAAATGAAGATTGACAAGCCTTTATTGACATTCCCGACAGACGAGGTAAGATCAAACAACGGCTAGATACCTCCCTTCTAGTGTGATGCTAGTCAGAGTTAGAGGGTCTCACTCTGTTATTTAATAGAAACTATAGTCATAAAGTTCACAACGTCCAAGCTGAAATTTTGACTCACTATCATAGAGTTAAAAAAAAAACTTGTATGTCGCTCAGTAATTGTTTAATTGTGTAGTTTAAAAGCCAAAGAGGTTTCTGAAATATTCAGAAGGTAAATACCCAGTACCTGAACAAATCAACTTTTAGTATGCTTAGTTTTCTCATTATTTATAATCTTATGTCACAAATTATCCCATTATTTAAAGCTTATTACACATTTGTTGCACACCCCAATGCGTGAAAACGTTATTTGATTTTTTGAACCACATAGGATCTTTCAATAATAACTAGATTATCAAAAGTAAGAGAAAACAGTATCATAATTGTTGGACGTTGAACAATAGTCCTCTTGTCTAAAAATTGATGCACTGTATGAATTTATTAGTCTTTTTTTACTGTCTTTAACAGTAGATAGAAAGTTAGAAATGTCAGGTAAAAGGCACAGTTGTTTATACATACATATACAATATCACTTACAACAAAATTTCTACCGCTTCCACTCAATTTTCACTCACCAATTTTTGTGCTTCAGTTAAAAAAAGAAAGCATTTACAACTCTATTGATCGGGCATGTTAGCCTAAATATAGGAAACACTTTTTGAAGACCCCTAAGTATATACTTAATCATTTTGGGCATACAGTTTTCTTAAATGATCATACTCACTGTTATTATTGTTATGATGACCAATGTAAGCTGCCTCACTACAATCTTGGATTACTCACCTCCACATATATTACTTATTGTTAGCTTTAGGTCACCTTTATTCTACCACTAAATACCAATAATCAAAGCGTATCCAGTACTGTACTACAATGACTACTACAATACTTAATTCCAGCAGTAGACTACTGAAGCTCTTGTAGTAAGTTAGCATCCACTACTTGTTGGTGTATCCGAAGTTTTAATGAAACTCAGACTCTAATGAGACTCAAAATATGCCACTTGATGAAATAGTTTAGAATTTAAAAGTTAACTTCTTCGAGTAGTAAATAAACTGCAGTGTTTTTTTTTCATTAAAGGACATAAAGTTGCTCTCAACATTTTAAACTATGAACACTATTCTACTCAAATCGACCGTTAGTACAAGTTTGTTAGTTTCATTCTGATATTTGGTATCTTTGATAGACGCTAACGTCAGTGATCTGTTGCAGCCAGGAAATCTAATAATCGAAGCAAATGACCTGTTGTTCCTGTGATATGAGGTCAGATTTGCAAAATGGTTATGAGCAGTATAATGACATGTTTATTTGAATTAGATCGAATAATGCCCTGTAAAAACATTTCAATTGTACCTTCCCATCTTCAAATTATTGTTCATTATTACTGTTCCTTGGGTTGTGAGTGGATAATAGGGCTTCAACAGCTAACGCCCACTGTGTCTTGTTCTCTGAGGATGTTTTTAGCTTGCTCCATGATCACCTATAGGCTTTCACCTCCCCCTCTCACGATCTCTTTTATGTCACTCTCAGACGACCTACCAGTCGTTTCTTATTTGGGTTCCACTTGAGGGCATGATGTGCAATATCATTCAACGGTTTGTTCACCATATGACCGATCCATCTCCACTTTGTTTGGTATATTTCTTGGGCAACAAATTATTAATCCCAGAGTTTCTTGTTTTCAATTCGTTCTGGCCATTTGATGTTCAATAGGGGGTGAAAGCAGCTGTTGATAAAAGTAGTTTGTGTTGTAAATTAAATTGGCTATAATGGCTTTGCAGACCTTTTGTAACCAAAACGAGCATAAAATTATGTTAAATTGTGCTACAAGCTAACTAAACTAACTGCGCTCAAATAGGAACTTTCATTTCCTACATTTTCAGTTGCTAGTATCCCAAAGGAAATTTTATTTGACGTTTCATCTATCACAGATGTCAAGTACTAGTCGAAAAGAATCCATAGGTTACCAAGATTTAGTCTTAACACCAGTAAAGATCATATGCATTTTCAGGGCAATTAATGTTGTTGTGGTCTCTGAATGTTTGACTCATGGAAGTTGCATAGGACGTCATCACTAAGTGATTAAGATCAATGACCACTAAGTTGAACATACGGAGGTTTACCAAACAAAATCTCTTTCTGCATCAGTAATGCTACATCTAGCTTGCTAGTAGAAGAATTCACGAAACCTTTCTTTGTGATTTCGTTCTAACCGAATTCTACTGTATAATAATAAATCGAAATGTACTGGAGTGCAGTATCCTGTCACTTAGCCAAATGACCATCTTATCCACCAATTTTGATTAGCACTTAAGATTAAAATACCATATCGAGGAGTGAATGTTAAACCATCTGTGCTCTTTATATTTATATCCGTCTTTTATATCCTCTGCTTACTGACAGCTTACATTCTCAACTAACTGCTTTTACATAGCCCAGTGTGAAATAAAGTTGTCAGCATTTAAGAAAAAATAATAGTACCCTACTATGCATTGTAAAATTATAACAGTTAAGTGTTTGAGTTGCTACCCTTGGCAGATGACATTTCTGAATGACTTCATAGTAAAGGTTTAAAACTATTTTGCCAGATTTCGATTTATTATAATGGTTTAGTCTTTCACATCTAACAACAGTTAGTCAGTATCGCGACGCCGGACTGAATGACTTGACGGATAGACCCCATGGCCAAGTGGATAGTGAGTGGCAGGCTCAAAGTTAGGATACTCACCAACGACAAAAGTGGTCTGTGTTCGACTCCCGGATGACGCCGTCGTAAACCCCACCCAGTAAACTAACCAGTAGTACCCCTAGAAAAGAAGGGAGGTTGAAAGTGAGGCTAGCAAGTACACTGAGTACAAAACAGTGCCGACAGCACTGAAACTTCAAAACTTAAAGCCATATGTCTCAGTTGGAACGCGAAGGAATATAAAATAACTTAACGGGATTAATTACAAAAATCTTCAAACTGTGAACATTCTTGAACCTCCAAATATGGTTGTCTGTTAGTTTCAGGTAGTCAGAAAATATGACGCAGAAATGTTTACCTACTATTAGCTGAAATCAATCGTAAACCTATAGAATACCATAGTATTCTATAGATGGAGAAAGGTGTTTATTAACACAGCTTATGCATTTCGTAGTTTGACTTAATGTCGACATTTGGTATTGGTGACTTGTAATCTTAGGGAAAAAAGTAGTGAAATAAGTGGAGGTAGTGTTTTATGTTTGAAATGATTCTTTTTAGTCTGACATTTATAAACAGTCTGCTGGTTCTAAAATCTCTACGTCACTGAAAAGAAACTTTCGCCTAGTCAAAAAAATTACATATCAGTTAAACACTGAGGATATTTCTTCTGAACATTTTTAAGCCTTCAAGTAGTAGTTTTAATGAACATTTTAGTTTTGAATTAGGTATATCCTAATTATCATCACAGTTGTACTCTATATGTCACACAAACCGGTCAGAATTTACACAAAAATAAGACCAATGAGAACAATTGTAATATGACTGCCTTTTAAAAAAAATACGTGTGTAACTTATTTTTCCATCTGTTCTTCGTTTTAATTGATTTAAATTACCAATATCTTTTCTCGTGTGGACATGATATCTCTATTGTCTTTAGCCTTAGTATGTCATTTGACTAGCAGTAGGATTCAAAACCTGTATTTCCTCCTAATTATTCTCGTGTATGTACGTCGTCGTGGATGATGAGTTTCTACTGGGCCATTACATTTACAAGTGTTAGATATTATCAGCTACACTGGTTGCAGCAGTTAGTTTGAGTTATGAAGGCAATAAGGACTTGCCAGTTCAGTTACATTAACTAAGTGGATTTACACAGTTCTAAATTCCCTTCAGTGATGGGAAAGGTTATTCTGGAACTGCACCAACCGTCTGTTCACAGCACATATGAAAGATAATTCAATAATTCACATATAACTTGAAAAATAAGAAAAGCTGAGGGGCTTTTAACCTGTTGTACTAAAACTTTGTGTTGTATTGATTGTGTAATTAGCTACAAGAAATACTGAGCCTTGAATCTGTATTGCTAACACTAACATCAATTAGTATCCTGTTAGTGCCTAAGCACCTAACGTAATTCCGTGCTGTAAAATGAAAATCAATCAGATTTTAAGAGTTATATGTCAAAATTTGTATAGGTGTTTAAACATACTGTAATCACTATTCACTTAGTATTACTTTGAGTTGTCACCTAAAATAAACTAATAAATAGGTTATTTAAGAGTTTAAAGTCTATACTTTTTTACTGTAGCAATCCAAAAACAACCTTACATTACCTTTAGATCATGTTAGTCAGTGTATTTGAAGTTGATTTGTTGAAACAATTGCTAGAAAATTCTTTTTTTTACGAGTAGTAACAGGCATTATTTTCATCAGTTATATTCTAAGTCACAGTAGTGAACACCGTATTTAAGGATATATAGAACTGAAACAATGAACGCACAACTCTTGAATACATCTACCTTAATACAAATGTTTTTTGGTTACAGGATTTCATCATGAGCTGACATCAGTTAGAGAACCATTGGAAAACCTGGAGGTACTGGACAGCTGTTTCGTCCTAGTTTGGGGCTCTTCATCTACACACCCACCGGGATTTGAACCCAGGACCTTCTGGTTACAAGACGAGCTAGCTCGTATACCATTAAGCCACTGGGACCCGATCCAATGGCCAACCCGTGAATTCTAACTTCTGCCAATTCACGATATAGTGCAACCGCTAGCCAATGTGCGTACTGATGAAGAGTCCCAAACTAGGACGAAACAGCTGTCCAGTACTCCCCGTTGGTTTTCCAATGGTTCTCTAACTGATGTCAGCTTATGATGAAATCCTGTAACCAATCAACCAAATCCCTACAAACCAATACTTGAATACAAATGTTTTTATTTCTTCAGTGAGAAGGTGACTGTGAGAAAATTGTATACCAATTGTATACTGTGAGAAAAGTTACGAAAACGCTTTCACCAATAGAATTATGCCAGTGTAAAAGCAATAGAACATACATGGTAACATTGTTTGGATAAAAGTAGGAGGCCGGTTAACTGAATAATGAAAAATCATTAGCACAGACTAGTCAATGAGAAAAGTAAACATACCCTTGGTATTCAACTATAAATTAAGTTTGAATAAAGCAAGAACTACAGTTTTAGCAGAATAATGTGGTACCATCATTTATTTCGTTGGCTTCTCATCAGCTGCTTACAGACCAAATAAATTATGAGGTTTATGTACGGAAAAGTTTCAACATACTTGCAAATTTGTTTCATGCTGTCAGTTGACAGAAAGTTTCACAATTAGTGAACAGTGCTCAGAAAATTGCGCTTATTTAATTTTTACACAGGCAGTTCAACTTCAAACAAAGTTAATGTATGCATATAATGGGAGTTACGTAATAAAGATGAGAGATGCGTAAAATGCTGAGTGACTAATAAATTAGGTAATAGTGTACTGAGTTCAACTCAAATCATAGAAATAAGGGACAAACAAAATTACACTATATCAAAAAGGGGTGAGGTTAACATCTAAGATTACGTAATCATATGAAAGAGAGAACAAAGACATCCAGTTACCAGTGTATGAAAAAACTGATGTCTGCTTCTTTCTGCAAACATAAATCAGGTTTCAGGCGTTTGATAGAGATTGCTTCGGCAAACTTGAAGAGAATTGGGCTTCTTTTCCTATTGATAATTTTAAAGTATTTTTCGATTTCCACATCATGACCGGTATCAAGAAGATTTATGGTAATGACACTACTGTAAGTGCTTGTTCTCCTGATACATACTCAGAAAACTGGAGGTGTGCCTTTCTTTCTGTTCTCCCAATACAACTGCCTCCACAGATACACTTAAATTTGTATACACAGTTGAATTTAACATGAGAATGGTATCTATCAACTTTTGACTATAACAAAGATAATGCTGTCCTTTAGATGGAAACCAACTTAGTTGATCCAGCTGGTGACATCCTCAATCTTCTGTTGACTAGCGCTGCGATATTTCCACCTTTAAAATTGAGTTGAATAAACACAGGCTTTTTTCCCACTGTGACTTTTTTGATGTTTCAGCCTTCACATCTCCCATATTTGTTAATGAATCTCTTATGGTAACCGTTGTTTTTCAACACCTTTTCGAGAATTATAAATGTTTCCTCAAATCTCTCTGCAGAGCATAGTCTTCTAGCTCTATAGAATAGAGTAATTTATAAACTACTGTTAAAACATTAGTTCAAGGCAAACAATAAATACCAAGCTTGTATATTTGGCTGCCGAACATTAAAATTTCAAAAGCAGAATACGGTTATTCTCCATTGAATAAGGATGACCAGATTCTTTTTAAGTGTCTGATTGCCAGTCTTAGTTTTTAAACCCTGAACACTTAAATTCACCTCTTACACCTTCTTTGAAAGTGTAGATTAACTCTGATTGCAATTGCTGTTATTGTTGCATTTGATAAAAATATTAATGATTGATATAACTTGTTAAATAGGTACATACCAAATTACACTCTCGTTTTGAGTTGCCATGTCTCATAGATGCATTACCACCAACAACAACAATAATTTGTGTATTGGTGGCACAGTGGTTAGGACTCTCGCTGACCATGCATATGATCCGAGGTTCGATCCTCTGCCGACGCACACTTGATATCAATGATCGACCTGCAAAATTTGGGCTACCGATATCCATGCTGAAAATTCCATACTTGTTCCAAAAATACAGTGTGGAAACAAGCTGTAATCAAAAATAAAATGAAAAATAAAATAAATAATTGGTTTGTTGTTTTTTCCATAATTTAGGAACCCGCCCTCAAAATAAAACTTAGGATACAATTGGTGGATGGTGGCTAGCAGTGGAATCCAGGATGCGCATTTCGTCCTATTTGCGCATCCTGGATTCCACTGCTAGCCACCATCCACCAATTGTATACTAACTAAATGCCCAGACATCGTCGAAGCATCTGCACAAGAAGCCGACATGTCAACCTGAGACCGAGCACTTCGGTACAATCAATCGACGGGAAAATCAAAAATTCAATTCAAAACTTAGGATAACTGATATAAGTATAAAACTTGGTCACTGTGGTGGACTATAATCCATTATGAAGAAAATTTATTTTGATAAATCACAGTGTTGTACAGTAATATTAACTAATGACATTTCGAGCACAAATTATTGTTCATTATCATATCAAGGATATTCAGGCAGCGACATCCTGTTTGTGCGTTGGTGGCATAGCGGTTAGGAAGCTCGCCGACCATACACATGGTCCGGGGTTCGATCCTCGGCCGACTCACTCCTTTACCTCGGTAAATCAGAAATAATGTTGGTAATGAGGGCAGGTTAGGCATCAGGGTAGCAACCCCATCCTGTAAAATAAACACTGCCACAGAAACCTCAAGTCACTAGCTTGAGGCCCTATGTTCCACTGAGGAACGTGAAAGAAAAAAAATCATATCAAGTCACCCATACAACATTAACTCGCATTCACAGACCTCACTGCAAATAACTGAATGTGTCCTATCCCATTATGCTGTAAATAGTAGTATGAAATAAGGATGAAATTACTCCACCCGCCTTTAGTTTTTGTTAGTCTTTCCTTTCATTTCGACCTTCATATTTTGATTTCTGTTCTATTTAAACTAGACTTCAACAGTTTATTAAATATAATCCTAACATGAAATTTACCTCCAAGGTCCAACAAAACTTACGAAAGTAACTAGCAGTGATACGTTATGACTACTTATATCTTATGTATTTTCTATTATAATCAGTCTTTACTCTTGTAACAATAACGGAAGGAATAAACCTTTTTTTAATTTAATTTTACTTAATCACAAAAGTTTTATTCTCCTCTTACACATACAGCCTCGCCTACTTTTACAGAACCAAATACGAGTGTGATTTATGCACCTGTTTATGGTCATTTAGATCTGAAATGTACATTTCGTCCTGTGCATTCAGAGAATGAAACACGTTTCAGTTGGTATTTTAATGGCAAACTATTGGATACAGATGGTAAGTTAAGTTAATTAAAGGATATGCATATATACACAATATAGCCTATTTATACATCCGCAGTAGAATATAAATAATTCCGGCCGAGTATATCAGAAAGTAGGATTTGAAAAGAGATGAAGATTAGAAAGACAAAAATGTTTTATTAATAGGAAAGTTTACAATGATAATCTTATCATATTTTGTAGTTTCTACCATCTTGTTCATACTGTGGAATATGTAGGGAGTGAAAATAGCTGTATCTGTTTAATGAATACATCTTTTTCACTTTTGAAAACTTGGTTAAAATTAGTTTCCAAGACTGTTGGACAAAATCCTTCAATGTTTTCAGTATAATCCTTTAAAAAAGTAGATAATCTTAGCTCGTTTTTGTTTCTTTATATTCTGTATGGGAATTATACAACAGAAAGTTTATTCAAAATTTAAACCATTGTTGTCCACGTGTAAAATATAAGGACTCAATAAATTCACAGACAAACAGCTCTACATCACGTATGCTCAACACCTCTGCTTTAACCTTAACAGGTATTTCAGGTTAGAGAACACTAAGAAATTATTTAACCAACCTTTGAGATTGTACAAATGCCCAGGGGAATAAAACCACAATCCTCCACTTGACTTCACGTGTATTTCCCTTGGTTATCTGAAAAAGCTTGTAAATTAACCCATAAATAAACATTCTACCAACTTACACAATAGACATTATTTGGAATAAAATGGCAACAGGTGAATTGAACTTTCAAAGAAAATCTACTGAAGACTGTTGATATGAATTTTGTAGCACTTGAAATTTATGATAAAAGTATAGGCTTCAACAACAGTTTTCTTCTTGTAAGACAGGAACTGACATTTCTTGGTTCTTCACTCAAATATGCTCATAGTGTAAATAGGTTACTTGCTAACTGTATTTAAACTTTTAAAAAATGATCTCATACCATTTACCTAGATGACTAATTTTGTAACTGTTTCAAGCGATATTACGAGAACAAAAGCAAGTAGGTGATTAAATTTAGTTTTATAATTTACAATGTAAGACTTAATAAAACTTCATTTCTTTTTAAATTCCTCCTTAGTAAATACAGCTTACCCTACATTAAATCAAAAATTCTACAGTACTGTATCCAAATCTGGTGACACAGCTATATTACATTTAAATGGGGTTGGCGAGAATGATTTTGGTTCTTACGTTTGTAAGGCTGTGCATATGATGGGGACCCGAGAAAAAGAATTCCTTGTTAAGATGGCAGGTGAGCTTTATGCAATTTTAAAATGTAATAACAAAAATCACCGCTGACTTATCCTAACGGTTCCTAAGATTTCCCTTATAAAAATATGATTACTTTGTAAAATACTTCAGATGGTGTCTCTTTCACTTAACAAACCCTGTTATTTTTTTCATATTTTTAGACGCACCTGTTTTCTTAGAGGTTCCTACTCCAATCCTGACTGTTAAATTACACTCTCGTTTTGAGTTGCCGTGTTTCATAGATGCATTACCACCACCAACAATAATCTGGACCAGAGATTCTAAACGAGTTGTTGAATCACATCGTACACAAATCGGTAAGGAATCAAAACAGTCTTCAAATAGAAAACCAAGTATTTCAACCTGTGAATTTAGTACAGATGCAACACTGTCTGTGGATAAATGCATCTATCAGGATGCTGGCTTGTACACATTAGTAGCTGAAAATATAGCCGGTCGAATAATGACCAGTTGTCTCATTCATGTTGAAGGTAAGTCTTTGTTCACATCTATCACTGTGCAAATTTTTATATGATATATTTCAATTAATTACTGGTAGAAACCTTTAATGTATGATAAACAGTGTCATATAAACGAAATGCGCGGACAAACGCGATAGAATAAACTGTTAGAAACCATCATCGGGAACACTGATGGTTAGATTATGATAGTTAAGATGCAGAACAACACTTTAAACCGTTTGAGATCAAAATTATCAAAAATCTACTTAATGCCGTTCGTACTTAATTTAAGAGTTGTTCCTTCCTGGTAGCGACTGCATTCTTATCTTATTTATGGTGTCAGTCAAAACCAATAAAGACGTTTCACTGCCTTCAAACACTAGTGTCGATTAATAAATATTACTGGTGAATTATTATAACTCCCATATTTTTCATTATGTCGTCTACTTGCTTCAGCTTACAGTCTAACCTGTGCATCATGTTTCAGTTTTGACGGTGTATCTATTCATTATTATTAAAAGTAAATATCTGATGGTTAACCCTCTCTTATATCGTAAACAGAATCTCATATGGACTAAGTTATCCCATTGGAGTAAGTTTGAAAGCATTCGCTAATTTTTAAGCTAATAGCCAGTAGTTTCAGGATATTTATTTATTTTATTTTTGTATTCCTCATGCAGAAAATCCTGTTCCCACCAACATAACACTAAGATGGACAAATATAGAAAAGCATTATTTCGTACTAAGACGGCTTGAAATGTAAGTGATTTTTATTGTTTGATTGACACAGTAGTTGAATTCTCTAGACTTTTTGTTTACAGTGACAAATAACTCTGTGGTTTAATCTCATTGAAACTATCATATTCTATTATACTTTTTGATTTAAGAATTACTGAGCTATAAAATAATAATCATTAATATAACAGCTTTATTCTGGAAACTGATATTTACATACAATATAGAATTCTCAGCATAGTTTCCAGTAAAACATTTACTCCTCACATAAAACGTTCAAGTAAAATATTCATCGATGATACAATACACAGTTTTCTACACCTTGGAAACCAAGACGGTAGGTTGGAAGTCGATCAAAAACTTGCTTGAGTTTCTGTCACAACTCAACGGCATAATCGAAAGATTAAACCAACAAGAAATGGAAAAGTAGATGTATTACCCTGGATGATTCAATGAAGATGCTAAGAGCTGAAAAAGCAGCAGGACCAGATGGAATCCCAGCAGAAGCTTTGAAAATAGATCCAGAGACGACAGCGGACTTGATGACACCACTGCTGGAGAAGGTGTGGAAAGAGGGCAAAGTACCCGAGGATTGGAAGAACGGATACTTATTCAAACTACCAAAGAAAGGAGACTTAAGTCAATGCAAGAACTGGCGTGGAATTATGCTTCTGTCCATTCCAAGCAAGATACTAAGTCGTATCATCCTGGAGAGAATCAAACAAGCCCTGGATCCAAAACTTCGACCGGAACAAGCTGGATACAGGAGAAACAAATCATGTATTAATCAAATCGCCACTCTACGGATCATCACTGAACATAGCTTGGAATGGCAGTCACCTCTGTATCTCAACTTCATCGAATTCGAAAAGGCCTTCGACAGGGTCGATCGAGAGGTCATTTGGAAACTACTTCGCTACTACGGGGTCCCATTGAAAATTATACATCTCATCCAACAGTTGTACGAAAATGTTGCGTGCCAAGTAATCCATAACCGGAAACATACGGAAGCCTTCGAAGTGACGATGGGAGTGAGGCAAGGCTGTCTACTATCGCCAATGATTTTCCGATTGCAGTAGATTGGATAATGCGACAGACAACGGGTGATGAGGAAACAGGCATAAAATGAACTCGCACAAAAAACTTGGAGGGTCTGGATTTCGCCGATGATATATGTCTGATTTCCCACAAATTGGCGGAACTGATGAGGAAATCGAAGCCAGAATCGGAAAAGCAAGACAGGCTTTCATTACTCTCAAGTCTGTGTGGAGGAGGTCAACAGCAATCACCATCAAAAATAACATCCGGATTTTCAACTCCAATGTGAAGTGAGTCAGTCAGTGCTACTATACGATTGGATCAGAGACTTGGCCAGCGCGTCATAAAGAGCATCTCAAACAAACTACAGACCTTCATCAACAGCAGTTGTCTTCGCTCAACACCACTCAAGATCAGATGGCCGGCCAGAAAAGATCAGCAACACGGATCCCTGGGAGCGAACCAATCAGGAACCGATTGTGAAACAAATAGGCAGGAAGAAATGGAGATGGATTGGCCATACTCTGAGGAAACCATCAAGTGACATCACTAAACAAACCATTGCTCGAGTGAAACCCGAAAGGGAAGCGGGCGGCGAGTTGGTCGTCAATGCAAGGGTGACTTGGATGAGGTCATGTGAAGAGGAGATGAAAGCATGTGGACAGACTTGAAGCTGGGTGAGAAAGTTGGCAGAAAACCGAACGCGATGGAGGTGCGCAGCTGAAGCCCTATGTTCCTCTAGGAACTAAAGGATACAATGATAGTAAATAATAATTACGCTGGATGAAAATCGAATTAATCCAGAGGTTTAACTCGATAATCAATCTGACGAGACAAGAAATTTCAAGTAGCGATTACTGTCAATAAATCCCTATTCGCATATGTTTATTTGGTAAATAACACCGTAATGAATTATTATTTATTGACTGATATTCTAATCACAACGTACCATTCGTATTCATCAGAAATCTTCGTTATTTCTCACTATTTCAGTGATTCATCTTCAGAAGTTCGTCTGCTAATTGATAAGAAGACAAATCGTGAATACATTGGAAAACTCTTTAATTTAGACAATCCAGCAAGTCGCATAAATGGCGCTAGAGAAATGGAGTGTTTAATGCGCTTATGTCATAAAAATGTATTGAAACTAGTTGATGCTCTTATCAGTGATAATGTTTTGATTTTAGTTTGTGAAAAGTAAGTTGTTCCCTTTTTACCATTAGAAATTTATTCGCACACAGAGGTAGAAGTTACTCATTATCCTTCAGTTCATATCATTTAACCTTGCATAGTAATAGACAACTGAACTTTCTTGGTAAAAAATGACTTATCAATCCATTGGGTAATTTAGCTTGTTAAAATACTTCAGTTATCCTAGAACATATTCAAAAACTCAGTATTAATTTCTGTTATCCTTAGAAGTATTTTTAAAAAATAGGATTTACTACCATATTCGAAAAGATGAATACGCGTGTAGATTTAAGGTTCATCGCTACTGACACCACCATTAGGTCAGTTAGGATATTCCACTTTTGCTCCTGAAGCAAGCTTTCAGTATTCTTTCGCATACGGTATCATAGTGGTACTTTTCTAAAGAATCTAAATAGTTTTTCAATAAGTTTGATAAACTGTACCATTGAAAATATTTGCCAAGAATAATTCTTAGTTTGAACAAAGAAAAACCAAACATATTTGAAGGATAATGTGAGGTGATTTTATTTCTTAGATCGTCTTCAACTGTGTACTTTCTAAACCAAATCAAATTTTAAGTTCCAAAATTTCTAAACATAATGTTTTCACAGTGATTCCAGTTTACAGACCGAAAGTGTACGACACCTAATTCCAAAAATGATGTAAGCAGACGAATTATTCAGTGTTCAAAGGCTGATTATTTATAGTGTAATTAGACAAAACAATGGCAGAGTTTAGATTCCACTTGGAAACAAGGATTGACTAGAGAAAACAAATCGAACAACAAAGTGAATTTATACACATTATGATGAAAAATTCGAAAGAATGGGGTGAATAGTAAAGTAAAACTACAGCATAGACAAACATAGTTTTCAAACCGTTTTGACTGATAAGAAACTAGATCTGAGCAGAATTTATACCAAAAGTTTCCTGTGTTTACCAAAATTTTGGGTTCTCATCTATAAATCTTCAGGATAAGCGTCAAATCTATTACTTTTTTACTTGATTTGTTTTGTTATGTGTCCTCTTCTCTTAAACATGCCCATCTAGATTCGACATACAAAAAATATGTACGCCACTCTGTCGTGGACGTGATATCCGGTGATCAACCAAAGGGCATATGTACTACTCAGTAATCCGCTCCTTCCTCCCTTATGGCTGTGAGACCTGATTATTGAGAGTGGAGGACATGAAAAGATTAGCTGTCTTTGGTCATAGGTGTCTGCATTGTATCTCCCGTATGAAGTGGTATGACAGGGTGAGCAATATTGAGGTTAGGCATCGGTCGAGTTCTAATTAAGCAGGGGAAATCAATCGACGAGGTTGTGAAGTTACATCGACTGAGATGGTTAGGACATGTGTTACGCATGCACGCCTAGTCATCACCTTCCTCGATGGGCGATGTCAGCTGACATAGGCTCAGGTTGGAAAATAGCTAGTGGTGGTCAAACCAAAACATGGCTTTATCAGTCAATGAAATCCACAACAGTTAGTTTAAGTCACGTAGGAAGGTGTTGACTTCCTGGTTGGGGTCCTCGGGACGGTAAAAGCCAATGGCTGGAGACAATTGATTATATGGCTAAAAATCGTTCTCAATCACAGTGCATATGCATTCACTCCTTGTAACTTATATCACCAAATAAAACCATATGGTTCTTCGATATAACTATTCTTTTTACCTTATATCTCTGTTTACTGTTTCTATTTTGCACTTCTCTTTACTTTCCTCCCTTGCTTTGTGTGTACATGGAGTGTGGCGACTCGAACCAGTCACTGCCTAAGAAATAGCTCACATTGGAACAATAGCGTATGCTTCATAGGTATTAGAATTTGTCTTACTGAGGTATTATTTTCGTTGATAAGTCCTGTAGAACTGTTGTGAGGTGTCATGCCCAGGAAAAGCATTTTGCACTAGGAAATTAATTACTGTTCCTAATACTGTGGTAACTAAATTCTTTCATCCAAACATTTAGACTCCTTTATGTTAAACTTATATAATTACAATTATTGACTGCACAAGTAAAGTGAAAAGTAGAGAAAACCTAAGTGCCTTAGAATGGTTAGCTGACGTTATCAAACTTATAATTACCAACCTCCTTTCACAATCCACTTGTCTTTGGTATTTATTCGCTTTGTCAAGGTTATCTGGTTCAGATCTTCTTGATTCAGTTCTGGCATGCGAAAACTGGTCTGAAATGGCAGCAGCAGCCATAATTCGTTCAGTACTAGAAGCATTAGATCATATACACAAACAGGGTGTTGTTCACTACGACATTCAAGTAAGTGATATATCATCCTGTTTAATTTATGATAATTTATTCTTTATTTCAAGATACTTCTGTATGCTTATTGTGCTATTTTTTTTTACTTAAGTGACCCTGAAAATTAGCAACACTAATAAGTGATTATCAGATAATATATTTAAGCATATAATACCAGGTGAAATACATTCTCCCGTATTTTAACCAATGTAAATATAAACTCGAACTTTTGGCATTGAGTAATAACGTTTGAAATCACTCATCCTCGAGGTATACCTACCTCCCGTACCAGTAAATCAAATAATTCGCAGTTACTAATAGAACTACAGATCTTCTTGATCGCCTTAATATCACGCTTGATTAGACTGATTGAGTTCCTTATCTAAAAATTAAACTTATTATATGTCATCATATTATTAATACTGCATTATATATTATTTCATAATTATGTCTTGTTTTTAGCCCAACAATCTACTTTTTGTAAAGAAAACAATTGGTGATAACGACTATGCGAATTCCTCTGACAATCCTGACCTATTACGTGCTCTTTCTTCCTTGGTGACCGATGTGTTAAGCCAAACCGATCGACATAAAATGAACGTTTTCAGTAACTTACTAAAAGTCATAGGATTTTCTACAGCGCAAACTTATATTACTAATTCTCAGAATCGTATGACATGCATGCCTCCAATACGATACAGACCAGAATATGTTTCACCTGAAATTCTGTTATCAATAAAGAAAACGGACGGAACAATCACTGATGCTGTTCAAGGATACTGTGAAAATTTAGGTCCATCTGCTGATATTTGGAGTCTTGGAGTGTTAACATATATCCTGTAAGTCTATGAATAAAATTCACTGAGAATAATTTTTGTAAATTATTTCAATAATGAGGATTTATTTTCAACACTTTACAACAAATTTCAGTTTCTTTTGGTTGGTAGCTAAGAGGATTTGAATTTATTCAAAAACGATTTCATTATAAATCAAAAAATACTTTTTGCAATAGCTGAAAATTAAGAACTAAGTTCATACTGATGTTGGGATATTCATGTGCATAAACTGTAACTTCACTGACGCGACGAACTCAGAGTACAAACGTTTTAGCATAAATTAGTTACTAGTGAAATGAGCAAGTATTAAAAAATTTGTCTTTGACATCCAATGATACCTTGCTTTCTGACTAAAGTAATGAAGACGAAAGCTGACAAATGTGCTTGCTGTGAACTGTCAGAATTCTGGGCTTCATTTTGAACGGATAATAAAGTGCTCAGTATTTCATAGATGTAGTTAGAAGGAGACAATTCTCTTTCCCGTTGCTCAGAAATCTCTCACTATTCATCAGTCTCAGTCTCAGGTATAGTATCAGGTTTTTTCTTTAATCGTTTTTAGTTATTCTATTTGCTTAGTAAATACGACAATACCAAGTCTCAAAACAATATAGAATCTAACTCAGTATTTCACTACTTTGCTTTCAATCAGACAAGATCTGAAAAAATATCTTCTTATCCCTACCTTAAATAAATTAGAACAGTGCAAAATTAGGGCTAAAATAAATATATTAAGTTAACTGACTAAGTAAACTTTTGACTGTCCTTTGGCTGTATAAAATGCTTTGATTCTTGTTTTAATGGGTATCCATCCGACCAGGGCCTGATTCCATTTTATACTTTTATTGGTCCTGATTAACATGCACATTTTCGGAGTCCTTATTATTATTATTGTTCCCTTGGGTTCCTAGTGGAACATACGGCTTCAACTGCACGTCTCCACTTACCACTTCTGTCTTCTGCTCTACTTTTCACCTGCATCCATGTTAGTCCATACTGTTTCAACTCCTCTTCACACGATCTCCTCCATGCCACTCTCGAACTGACGTCCCACTCGCCGCCGCTTCCCTTTCGGCCTGGTTCCACTCGAGCAATGGCCTGACGCGCGCGCGATGTCACCCAGCGGCGGCCTCCTCAGCGAGTGTCCAATCCATCTATATCGACTTTCTCCTGCATATTTGTTGGGCAAGCGATTGATTCTTGTTTTGTTCGTTCCCATAGTTTCTTGTTGGTGATTCTTTCCGGCCTGGCCATCTGATCTTCAGTATAGTTCAGAGTCCTTGGCTCGTACATATTAGTCAGATATGTTCCAACGCTTTTTCCCATCACAACCTTAAGATTTATTGTGCATATATACTACTAATCAGCAGAATGAATTAGAAATCAACTGACTATTTCTGACTGATGTCCTATCATTGGCACTTACAGGTTATGCTACTCACTGGTTAACTGAGTATTTGAGCTTATCGTGTTCAATAGGACTGGTAAGTGTTGCATATTAACATTACATCAGGCACCTTGCAAAGTTACCAACGCGTAAATGTTCAACAGCATAACAGAAAACTGTCGCCTTGATGTTGATCATGGTGGACGAGTAGTTTTGAACAGGATGAACTGTTACTCCTTAATATTAGTGACACTTTCGAAACGCAAAGCTTTGCGACAATAATAAGTTGAAACTGGAAGATATTATTTCATATTCTGTCTTTACAATAGCTGATACCTGTCACTCTTACCCTAGTTATTTCAAAGTCTTATCTGTTAAATAAAAGTTCCGTATTTAATGCTTCCTTAGTTATGAGCACGAAACGCCAGTACTAGTAAGTTAACTTCATATGCCCATTTTATTTTATATTTGAAGGTTGGTTTGTAGGGATTTATCGGATTTCAGTTAAAACGATATCAGTGTGATCGTATATCTTTCCATATTCTTTCCTTCCTCCTAAACATGTAGACTTGCTGGATGGCCACCATTTGTCGATTACGAATCAGGCGATATACTAACAGACAATATTTTACAAGCAGTCATTCCATTCGACATTCCTGAATTCGAAAACATTTCAGATGAAGGCAAAGACTTCATTAAACAAACACTACAAGCAGATCCCACGTAAGTGCTACTTAAACATTTTATGGTATTTTCAGTGATAGAGATATAACGCATATGTTGCTCAAAAGAAAAAAAGCTCAATAATATCTTCAACATGAATTGAAATAGTACTATAGAATAAAAAACGTTTTCTGATCGGTCGAAAGACTGTGAAATAACTAAATCCAATCCGCCAAATTTACCCTACAAAGTGTTTGTTCCCAAGAACAGTCGTCTTGTTTAAATGATGTTTTCATTAAACGTTATCAAAAAAACCTATCGTGGTCTTTACCAAATACGTCGTTTCCCTATGAAACACATTCAAACATTTTTCGGCACTAACCTTTTCTCTTTGTACAATATCTTCAAGTAAAATATTAATTGACAGTAAATCCCACGATACAGTAGTCTCTGAGCTGAAGCGCAAACCATTGCATTATGATACATTTGCTTTGTCTCCTTCAAGAGATCTACGATATCTGGTTGAAAGTCATTTGTACGAGTTTGAGAAGTACATTCTGAGACCCAAGAACAAAACCGAAGAACGGTTATCTCATGTATTGGGATACGTTGCCACTCATAATCAGCGCATTCCTAAAGTTTAGTGGGAACTTGCGAATTGGGAGCTTGTAAACACTTTAAACACATACGAGTAGATAAAACCAATAGAGGCTATATCTCAGTCAATTAAAACAAACCGAATGAGAGAAAATACATGCAATAGAGAGATGGAAGTTTTCGGTAGTCCAAGTTTTAAACAGGCCGCCAACGCTACTTATCATTTTTGTCACCCTTTAAACTTACATCCAGCATGTCCATTTAGTTTGTTTATTTCTTTGTAATATTTATATTTTCTCTTATATCACGGACTACAAATAGACCTTGAAACGTGCATTTTTGTTAATTATAAATTTGAAAATACTTGTCATTCAATTATTGAATTTTGTATCACGTTCTTAATGACTATACGTTTTATATGTATCTAAATGATATTCAAAAACTAACTGACTACTATTCAATCTTATTCTTGTACCATAATACAGTATTTGACACAATGTTTACTTGACTTGACTAGCTAGTGTGTGCTAATAATTGATCGAGTTATAGCCTGATGAAGCAGATCTTAGTAAAAAACCGCTTGTTCTAATTATGCTTGTTGTCAATAAACTATGAGGATATTTAGATTAACCTACCAAAAAATCTCAAAATATTGAAGATTTACTCATGGTAATAGTTGGAGATTTTCGTCGTAGTTGAAAATTTCGATTGAATTCTATCTAATCTCAGAAAATAAGCAAAGAAACATGAGTGTCAACCATTATTATTATTATTGTATCCTTTAGTTCCTAGAGGAACATAGGGCTTCAGCTGCGCACCTCCATCGCGTTCGGTTTTCTGCCAACTTTCTCACCCAGCTCCAAGTCTGCCCACATGCTTTCATCTCCTCTTCACATGACCTCATCCAAGTCACCTTTGCATTGACGACCAACTCGCCGCCTCCCTTTCGGGTTTCACTCGAGCAATGGTTTGTTTAGTGATGTCACTTGATGGTTTCCTCAGAGTATGGCCAGCCAATCCATCTCCATTTCTTTCTGCCTATTTGTTGCACAATCGGTACTTGGCTCCCAGAGATCCCTGTTGCTGATCTTTTCTGGCCATCTGATCTTGAGTATTGAGCGGAGACAGCTGTTAATGAAGGTTTGAAGTTTGTTTGAGATGCTCTTTATGACTCGCCAAGTCTCTGATCCGTATAGTAGCACTGACTTCACATTGGAGTTGAAAATCCGGATCTTATTTTTGATGCTGAGTGCTGTTGACCTCCACACAGATTTGAGAGTAATGAAAGCTTGTCTTGCTTTTCCGATTCTGGCTTTGATGTCCTCGTCAGTTCCGCCTGTAGTTGAGACGATGCTTCCCAGGTAGGTGAAGGAGGTTGTTTCTTTCAGGTTCTTCCCATTTATGCTTATTGTGGTCTGTTGTTGCTGTTGATGTTGGCAAGGAATCTTCATCATCTCTGTTTTATCTATGTTCACGTGAAGTCCTATCTTTGATGCTTCTTCTGCCAACTTGTTACTTTTCACTTGCATATCTTCCAGTTTATGGGAAATCAGACATATATCATCGGCGAAATCCAGATCCTCCAAGTCTTTTGTGTCAGTCCATTTTATGCCTGTTCCCTCGTTGGTTGCCGTTGTCTGTCGCATTATCCAATCAATTGCAATCAGGAAGATCATTGGTGATAGTAGACAGCCTTGCCTCACTCCCGTCCTCACTTCGAAGGCTTCCGTAAGTTTCCCGTTGTGGATTACTTGGCATGCAGCATTGTCGTATAACTGTTGGATGAGGTGTATAATTGTCGATGGGACCCCGTAGTAGCGAAGTAGTTTCCAAATGACCTCTCGATCGACGCTGTCGAAGGCCTTTTCAAAGTCGATGAAGTTGAGATAGAGAGGTGACTGCCATTCCAAGCTTTGTTCAATGATGATCCGTAGAGTGGCGATTTGATCAATACATGATTTGTTTCTCCTGAATCCAGCCTGTTCCGGACGAAGTTTTTCATCTAGGGCTTGTTTGATTCTCTCCAGGATGATGCGACTTAGTATCTTGCTTGGAATGGACAGAAGCATAATTCCACGCCAGTTTTTACATTGACTTAAGTCTCCTTTCTTTGGAAGTTTGAATAAGTATCTGTTCTTCCAATCCTCGGGTACTTTGCCCTCTTTCCACACCTTCTCCAGCAGTGGTGTCATCAAGTCCGCTGTTGTCTCTGGGTCTATTTTCAAAGCCTCTGCTGGGATTCCATCTGGTCCCGGTGTTTTCCCAGTTTTAAGCATCTTGATTGCATTCAGGACTTCTGATTTCGTCGGGGGGTCAGTGTTCACTGGTAGTTCTGCTTCCGTTGTTGGTATTGCTGGACGTGTTGTAGGTGGCGGACGATTTAGAAGTCTTTTGAAGTGTTCAACCCAGTGCTTTCTCTGTTCCACCTCTTTGGTGATTGACTTTCCATTGTCGTCCTTTATTGGCTTAATCTGTGTCGAACGTTTGCCCGAAAGGTTCCTAGTTGTTTGGTAGAGTGTGGCGAGGTCTCCTTTGCCTGCAGCTTGTTCTGCTTCGTTTGCCATGGTTTCATAATAGTGTCAACCATAGTAAACAGTAATCGACGTAAGTATAACTGAATAATCCAAGTAAGCAGGTAACGAAACAGTCTAAAAATGCATAGTATTTTATTATCCTGTAAATTATTGAACCAAATGACTGATGCAGAGATTTCAAACAGTACTAAATATGGTGAATCAACTTTTTTCACTAAAATTAGCTGCAGTTAGTAGGCATTTGAAAAACTCCAACGTTTTGTTGATTGTACCTGGAAATATAAATTTGAAATTAAAAGGAAAGATAAATTTACATTTACTTTTCTTATCTGTGAATTTTATAGAAAACGACCTTCAGCGAAAGAATGCTTGTCTCATCCATGGATTGAAATATTCTCAAATTCGGAAAATAAATCGGAATATATTCTGAAGAAGCTCAAGAAATACAAAACATTTTATGACTCAGTGGTGAGTGAGACTTTTCAGCAGTTGTTGTTTTTATCTTCTTGACAAGTAAACCCTCTTTAAGACTTGTCAGAAAGGTTCACTGGGATTTTGTTATTCTTGAAAAGAATGAATGACTAACAATACCTACTGGCTACTAAATCATAAACATTCACTATTTGTAATTATAATTTTCCTGTTGATACGGAGAATGCTGACACAGAAGAGTCTTATGAATAATTCAGAAATTTTTTTATTAATTACTCACATGACTGTTACCGCAACCGAAAGGTTTTCTGTTTCACGTTCACATAACTGCTATTTTGTTCTAATTTTTCAGCATCCGATTTGCATCGTGAGTGACGACAAAAATTATGGTGTCGACTTGCGAAACCGCTTAGCAACTATGGTAAGACAACCAACCCCAAGTGAAGATACAGAAAGTGTGTTGTCCTCTCGCTCATCCTCAGCTCTTGGTTTCCAAGATAATTCGGAATCATACAGGTGAAGTATTTTGATTATTTCATTCTTCCAGTTAAACATGACAGTTTAATGACAGTACTCACCTATATTATTTTTTCCGCTGTCATAAACAAAGCAAGGTTATTAGTTAGATAGGAGTGTGAGTTTTCAGTAAAAACACTACAGACCAGACAAATATATTTCCTGCGCGTTCTAATAGCTTAGTGAAATACTGAGACGTAATGAAAACCCTTTCATTTGAATGTTACTGGTGTGTTATCAATTTGTATTTATTATGGCCACCAAGTGACAAAAATATCCTACAAGGACGTGGTCCACTGATAGATAACTGATAATATTAATTAAACCCTAAGTCGATATTTTAGCCTTAGAAATGGATTAACAACATAGTCAAAGCATCAACTGTGCGTCGGTTAGGACTCTCGCCGATCATTCACATGGTCCGGAGTTTGATCCTTTGCCGACCCACACCTGATATCTACGGTCGGCCTGCAAAATTTGGGCTACCTATAACACATGCTGAAAATTCCATACCTGTAGAAAAATACAGTGTGGAATCAAGCTGTAATCAAAACAAAAAAACTGTAGGTAACCTATAGATGAAAGTTCTAGTAAAACAGAACAAATTTGTCCAACAGAATATTTGGATAGATAAGTATTTTCATACTTTTACATAGAAAAATAACTTTTAGACTGTTTTTATTTATTATAGCGAAGATCAGTCGCAAATACTTGACCGGTATGGATCACGTGACTTTACTGACTCAATGTTTCTGATTTCCTCAAACCCAAATATTCCTACTGCAGCAGATGCTTCAGAGTCAATTTTAGAAAAATTTGGTTTGGAAAGACAAAATACTCTCACAGAAGCCACTCAGTTAGGCGAAACCACTTATCCCCTTTTAGAAGGACAAGAAAGCATTTCAACGAATACTGAGCAAGGAAACCAGACCACTTCAGCGTCACATGGAAAAATCGGAAATAAATTCAGTGGTGAGTATATACCGTTTTATAAGATATTCATAGCTTTCAGGTAGTCATCGTTATGTGTCTCAGAAAACCCCAACGCTGTCGCTTATGGCAAATATTCGGGATTTTCAAATAGTTTCGACCACATTTGACGGACATTCACGAACGATAAAGCAGTATTCAACAAGCTTTTAGGTTGTTTGAAATCCCCATGCGATGTCATATCGACCGTTACAAACTAATGCAGCACTGTTTTTTATTTATTGCTAAAACACTTTTTGCATTTGTAAACAAAACTTTTGTTTCACTTCACATATGGTTCTACCACCGATAAAAGATCAAAACGTAGGGTTTTAAAACACTGTTGAACTGAAATATAGTTTACAAGTGAAAAAAGTTTATGAGATATTATTTCCATTTTCTGGGCCTTACTAGAATGAACACAATCACTCCCTTTAATATGATTCACTGCACAACAAGATGTCAAACCTAAATAAACAGAAAGGATCCCAGTTACGATAATGATCAGTAAACTTCTAAAATCCTTATACATAATAAAGAATGCTTGAAGCGATTACAATATTTTACCGATAATTTCGTGTATTCTCTCTTTTTATAATTAGCCCCAGTCTTTGCTAGTCCACTGAAGGATTCATATTTCAATGTACACACAAGAGAAGCCCGATTTACTTGTCAACTTGCCAGTGCTCCTTATATCCCAGAAAACATTCCTGGTCATGAAGAAGCACTCAGAGAACTGTATCCAAGTAGTCTGAATTTTGGTAAGATCAGCAGAAGTTCTTCTTCTGCTGCTGCATGGTACTTGGGTGGATGTCTACTATCCGATGGTCCAGGAGTCAGTCTAGGTGCTGGACATGGTGGATGGTTATGGCTCTGCCTTAGTGACCTTCGTCCAGAGCAAGATCGAAGTGTAGTTGAATGTGTTGTTAGAAATCGAGCCGGTAAATCCCGAACTAAAGCTCGCCTTTTACTTGGTGGTAAGTGAAGTCTATTCAACCAATATATTCCTATAACTCATGCAAATAATTTTTGATTCTCTACTATTCATATAATATTTAACTGGCCAATAATATGAAATATGATAAGGATCCCTATACCCATATGACCTTGGGTTGATAAACAATTTGTCATGCACTATTTTTGTGAACACATGATGATACAGTAAAAAAATATACATTTTGCTGTAGCTGAGATCTACCTAGTTGTAGGCGCATATGGTGACTCTTGAAAACAGCATACAGTTTTCTTTCCCCTATCATCTTTATACTTTATGGTTTAGTAAATTTAAGATATGTAGAAAATAACGAATGATATTTCATCTCATACTTACAATAGTCATTTACAATCATGAAGTTTCTCGATGAAGCGAAATTTCGTCACCAATGTAAGAATAGAATACAGACGTGGTGATGGAGTGTTATTCCCTTTTCGAAAAGTTTATCTGACAGTATAGTATTATTCAGAGACCAGAATAACACTTCACATAACTGTATTGTGGTGGACTCTTGGAGTAAACACAGGAGTCATCAATGATATTCCTAATTGTGGTGGACTGGATTATGCGTCAGACAGTGAGTGGGAAACGAGAGGACGGGGATATCCTGGACCGACGTGAAGAGCCTAGAAGACCTGGATTTCGCGCGTGGATGACTTATTTTTGATATCACACAAAATCAAAGACTTACAAGCAAAAACCGACCGACACACTGGTCGAAGAAGCAGCCGGCAAAGACAGGACTCCAGGCGAGCATAGACAAGATGGGGGTTATGAAAATAACCAACCAACCAACAACAACAACAACAGCAGCAACATCCAGCGCCAATCACCATCGACGGGAGGGATTTGAAAGAGGTCACTTCATTCACTCACTTGTCTAGGGAGCATTGTCTCAACTACAGGCAGTCGGAACGGACGAGGATGACAAATCAAGCGAGAATCGGGAAGTTGAGAAACACATCAACATCATCAACCTGAAACCAATCTTCGTCACTCAGCCAGAATCAACAAAAAAATTCGGTCGGATTTTCAATACAAACGTCAAGTCAGTCATTTCTTCTATACGGAGCAGAAACTTGGCGGGTGGGTCACAAAGAATATTTCCAACAGCCTGTTGCAGACCTTCATCAACAGCTGTCTTCGCTCTATACTGAGGATGGCCAGGCCGGAAAGAATCACCAACAAGAAACTATGGGAACGAACAAAACAAGAATCAATCGCTTGCCCAACAAATATGCAGGAGAAAGTCGATATAGATGGATTGGACACTCGCTGAGGAGGCCGCCGCTGGGTGACATCGCGCGCGCGTCAGGCCATTGCTCGAGTGGAACCAGGCCGAAAGGGAAGCGGCGGCGAGTGGGACGTCAGTTCGAGAGTGGCATGGAGGAGATCGTGTGAAGAGGAGTTGAAACAGTATGGACTAACATGGATGCAGGTGAAAAGTAGAGCAGAAGACAGAAGTGGTAAGTGGAGACGTGCAGTTGAAGCCGTATGTTCCACTAGGAACCCAAGGGAACAATAATAATAATAAAATAACTGTATTGTCATTTAACTAACTTAGTCAACCACCCAGAGTAAAAAAGTTTTCAGTCACTTGACAGAATTATTATTATTATCATTGTTATTATAACATATGCCTGTAAACATAACGTTAAAGGTCATTTAATTCAGCAATAAATTTGTTTATACGGTAGATTTCAATATACACGATGGTAATACTAATGTCAAGTTAATTTATTTATGTCTCTTGGAAAAGGGATAAAGGCTGTATAAATCACCTACAAAATGTCTCAGATTCTCTTTACATTAGTACATTCTAAAAAGCTTTTAGTTATTCAGCAGCGTTAGGCTTAGAAATAAATAAGAAGAGGACTACTGATTACGTGGACCAAGAATGCCTAAAACTGAATTACCCTCATTTAGTTTGAGTAATTACTGCTGTGGAAAGCGGGATATTGATCACTGTAATGTCTTTTTTCTTATGAGCAGTGTGATGGGAAGGATTTTACCTGGTATCTTTGAACTAAATAACCAATCAGTTATCACTGCTTGCTTGGAATCCTACAGTTTTGTTGACCATAAACGTCACTTTATTCTAGTGACTTTACAGACTATTCCACTAACTACTTTTGATGTATTCGACTGACAGTATTCATCATGTCTTCGGCGCTGAATGAATTAAATTCAAATTGTTGGGCGAACATATTATGCATATTAGTACCGATAACCATGAAACACTTGTCCATATACCAAACATTGTAACTGTTTGTGTAAATTAGTTATACACAGTTTCTCTAGCGCTTACGAGCGAATTATTACTTTTTCACGTGTACAGTTTATCGACAAAAAACTTTTCACTAAAAAATATTTCTCTCATATTTCAGATACACCCAAACCTCCTGGTCGTCCAGGCTTAATTGATGTTCGTCCAACAGAGGCCCTAATCAGTTGGTTAGCTTCAACACCGGATTCAAATGAGGATCTCATCTACCGTGTAGACATTAAATATTCAGGTAATATTTGTGAAATGTATTCATACATCTTAAAAACATTTATTGTACTGAGATATGTACATTCAGACTGAAATTGTACATCTATATCTCTTGTATCTCTTTTACTGGATAAGACTGAAAACTAGTGAAAGCTATCGTCAGTGGCACAGTGGTTAGGACGCTCGCTAACCATGCAAATGGTCCGGTGTTCGATCCCCGGCCGACGCACACCTGATATCAATGACTGGCCTGCAAAATATGGGCTACCAATATCACATGCTGAAAATCCCATACTTGTACCAAAATTACTGTGTGGTTTCAAGCTATAATCCAAAAAAAAATGTTTTTTACTTCTTTTAATTTACAAAATACTTCCTTCCTGACTTCCAGGGGAATTTTAGTGACCGTGGTTTTGCTTTTTACAATGAGTTATGTATTGTAAACTTGTCGTTTTGCTTAATACTGTTTGAAATTATAAGGCTAAAATAAATGTGTAAATACTTCACTGAAGCTTAAACGCTTGGACATTTCATCAATGCAAACAAAGAACTCACTAACAAGCTTAAGGCTTAAAACTACACTGCAATAGCAGGTAATGAATTTATACTGTATTTTCCACTGAGGTCATTCAGACACGTCTATCGACTTTTGTAGTAAAAAAAAAGTGTTAATTTGTCGAATTATAAAATTATTTAAAATAACCTCCGTATGTTTAGGAAATCAAAACATTTTTGGTTACAGGATTTCATCATGAGCTGACATCAGTTAGAGAACCATTGGAAAACCAGCTGGGAGTACTGGACAGCTGTTTCGTCCTAGTTTGGGACTCTTCATCAATACGCACATTGGCTAGCGGTTGCGCTATATCGTGAATTGGCAGAAGTTAGAATTCACGGGTTGGCCATTTGATTGGGTCCCAGTGGCTTAATGGTATACGAGCTAGCTCGTCTTGTAACCAGAAGGTCCTGGGTTCAAATCCCGGTGGGTGCGTAGATGAAGAGCCCCAAACTAGGACGAAACAGCTGTCCAGTACCTCCAGGTTTTCCAATGGTTCTCTAACTGATGTCAGCTTATGATGAAATCCTGTAACCAATCAACCAAACCCCTACAAACCAATACTTGAATACAAAACATTTTTCTTAACTCTTCACTGTGTAAACCATAGCTCGCAACGAGTGCGTGTTCGAATAAATCCTGGAAATCCCTGTAATTCCTCTTAATAACTATGACTTCACTAACATATCTGCTGATAAGTATTAAACAGACCTACAGTATGTTTTCACTTAATGATTTACCAAACGCTCATATTAACCTGAGACCATACTAACGTTTGATTCTGATCAAGAAATGTTTTCCATACATGTATTGCTGAACTATTTGACCTACAACAAACCATTTGGTAGCGGCATAAGATTTCTTCTATTCATTTTCTTAGGTGTTGACTGACACTGTTTATATCACAGTAATAATTTTTGATTTATCTGTCTTTCAATTCATTCTGTCTACCTTTTATGTCACCTTTCATCTGATATAAAAAATGCATCCATCTTCTTTTACAATCCATCTTTAGATCATGAAAATGAGCCACCTACATGGCATCGACATGGATTTACTGTAGACTGCCGTTATCTAGCTATTAATCTCAAACCCGGCATATGTTATCGTGTCCGAATTTCTGCAGGAAATACATTCGGCTGGGGAAATTATAGTATTGCATCATCTGACTTCCGCACTCCTTTGGGTAAGTTAATGCTCTACCCTGTTAAATGTGTATCACACTCTTCTGACAAATTTATTCTAAATGTGTAGTGAGTACTTTTAGACGGTGGTAAGCTTGGTAAGATTTGGAATTTATCACGAAGTTATAATTGTGACCTGAAATTTAAGTGTTGTCCTTCTAAAACCAGATGCTTTATTATAAATAAGAAATTGACGTTTAACAAAATAACTGTTTAGAGTATTTTAACAATTACTCTAACTTTTTGTCCCTAGAAGTCACCCTGACTGTTTCCTCGTACAACCCTAGTTCTTTTTTAAAACTGAAGAAACAAACCACCAGCTTCTGATGGGTTGATTTAGTAATTTCAGTCTGCCATGAGTGATCAACTTTTGTGTAACTTCACATCTATCACAGATATAACTGTGTTCAAGTACTCTTCTATTGGAAAATATTGTAAAAACAGAAGACAAGACACAGAATCCAAGGTATATTTTCAAGTGATCAGATCACAGTTTTATATTCTCTAACCAATCATTGAGCGTGTGATTTTGGCTTACATTAAACGACATGAAATAGAATGTTCAAATAGATATATCGTATTATGTTGCTAATGCTGCATTGAACTGGGGCAATATGTGAGAACAATATTTTCCGTTGGAACCCATTGTCTGTATCACACTACCACACACTATAAGTCATGTGATTCAGCCATTTGTTGTTTTTACTGATCAAAAATTAGACAGGCGGATGGTATTTTAGCACAGCAATGACATAAACCTGAACATGTAAAAAAATGAGAATATAAATCAATGATTCTGCTCTCATATGACTTTTCTAAGAATTAATCACCAATATTCTTGATTAACCATAAATGTCATAATTGGTATTAGAAACCCGCGATAATTTCAATCAAATTACAAAAAGAAGGTAAAGTTAAATAAAGCAAACAATAATTTCAGCAGGATAAAACAGCGTGATTTCATTTTATCAACTGCCCACGACCTAAAAATATTCCACCATCTATAGCCCTAATAAATACTTCAATTGGTATTAGATGATTGAAGGCAATCGGCCACAGGAAGCCTTGAACCTAGGTTTCGTGCTAGTTGGCACTCGTCAGCAAGGCGTATCTGCAACCTTGAAGGAACCCATGTCCCTTCTGAGATTCTAACCCGCGTCACCCAGTGCCGCAGTCAGAGACGTTACCACGGAGCTATTCGGGCTGGCGATTGACCTCCTGTAGAACTGTAGTGGATACATTGATTTGACACTAGTAACTAGTGTGATGTATCTATCTTCGGAATCCTGGTAGAATTCAGTCTGCACCGAAGATAGGACTAGACACATCACACTAGTTACTAGTGTCAAATCAAAATACTTCAATTTTTAATCAATCAAAAGACAAAATAGTCTCTTAACTTGTTAGCTATTTGCCACTTATATTCTACATATACAAGGACAAGTCCACCTAAAACATGAAAAGCTTTTTAAGGTATACTTTTAAGAGTAACCATTAATTCATTTCCATTTAACGCGAAACAGATTTTCTGTGAAAACAGTTACACACTGTGATTCAGTATAAACAAGCAGTTCAGAAGCCTAATTTTTCTTTTTAAAAATATTAGCCATTGGCTTGTCTATGCCAGCGTTGATCTGAGTTCATCACTTTTGTCTCATTTAGGTGCTATTTTTACTGACGTCTCTTATCTTATACTTTTCTCATTGGCAGCCTATCTCGCTCACCTATTTTAATTTTGAAGATATTGAGAAGTGAACACATTGTAAAACGTAGTGTTTACTTTTATCACGGAGAAACTTCATCTGAACTAACGGCTTCGCGACTGTTTTTTTTTTCGAAACACTTCCGTCCAGTATTTAATGAATCTCATTGTTACTTCTCATGATATAGGTCCTTTCAATACTGTTTGCCTTCATATAATTGTTAATTCTATCATTTGATTTACTATTCAACCTTCTCTTAGGTCTAGAAATTCAAGGATAATTTCATTCAGACAATATTTTTTTCGTAAAATGCATGTAACAGAGTAGGATTCTACAATTCTTATCAGTGATCCAGGGACCAAAATCACCTGTTCTTCTCTAAAATAATCTGGAGTAAGTGTCACTCAATAGAGAGTCATTACTCCTATTACAGACATGTGAGCTCCTGACACTCAGCGTTCACACCCATAAGGCCGAATCATGTTTACAAACTAATAATTAAAGTGCTTGTTTAATTTTATCGGTAGGCGAAAGAAACGGTTTCATTAACACTAAAAGGAAGAAGAAGAAGAAGCGAAACCGTTTTATTCATGAAAACAAAAGGTATGCAACGAATATCTACTCCATTCAGCACTATCATTCTCAAGTTGTATAACAGTATATGTTTGATGTGGTGTGGAATTCTTATTAGCATACATATATGCTGCATTTGATGCTCTCTTCACATTAAGCAGGGGAAAAATAATTATGGGAGCTTGATGACGTTTGCAATAATAGTGCGTTGTCGGCACAGTGGTTAGGACTTTCGTCGACCGTGCAAATGGTTCGGGGTTCGATCTCTTGCCGACACACACCTGATATCTACGGTCGGTCTGCAAAATTTGGGCTACCGATATCACATGCTGAAAATTCCATACCTCTACCAAAAAAATACGGTGTGCAATCATGCTGTAATCAAAAATATAATAGAAATAAAAAATAACAGCAACAATCACAATGATACATTAATGATGGCAAGGATGAAAATGAACGTTTATTTACTGTTGCAAAGTAGTATAGTAACTCCGCATGTGCAAAATAACTTATTGTTGAGTTTTTGCAAATAATTGTGCCAGTGTGAAGTCCTATAAAAATGTTTCTTGTCTTACGTGTGGAGATGCAAGATGAGAACTGTGAATAAAGACTTTCAGTGCCTGACAAAATGACTTTAACTGATTTATTGCATGAGTTTAAATGTCTTTCAACGATAATATCTAGGAGTTTGTTTAGAGCACACCACCTGTCCTACTGATGGTTTTCAGTGTTCTACCCAATTTAAAATAGTTTACTTAAACAACTTAAGAAAGAATAAAAGAAATAGGAGGGAGGAGACAAAATGAAAGAGATAAGAAAGTGTATAAATAGATACGGCATTATACCGAAATATTTTAACTTCCTAATGTGAAATTTTAGAGGAAACGTGTTTTTTTTTAATAAATCACTGGAATATGGCACTACAGGGAAAGATCAAAAGAAAGATTTAATCCAACATGGTTAACATTCGTTTAAGCTATTACTTCATTGGACTCTGTATAATGAACAATGATAAGAGCTAACTAGGTCATCTTAATCTCAGTGAAGTTTGAAAGTGAAGTCAGCAGTTTGGGATGTGGAAGGAATTAACTTAAGAATATCTGACAAGTTCCACTGGCTAATTTCCAAAATAGCTTATTCATCATTTTGAAAAGTTTTTCCTCTGAGAATTTAAAGACAATCAGTATACCTAACGGAATTAGTTTCATCAAAATGCAGGTAAATTGTACTACAGGAAAACATGACACCTTGAGGAAGACCGATTTTGGCAAGCGATGAAGTGGAAGACTTTTCTTTGCATGGCGAACTACTTTCTTTCAGAAGACTAAGAATACGGTGTATTTTTTTTCAAGGTATTAATGAATGCAGACACGGACAACAGCATTTTCCCAGTAAATAGCTACTTCAGCTGTACTAGAATTTTTTTCTAATCTTTTGACTTTCTTTTTCTCTCAATATTACATCAAGTTTCCACGGATCAGTCACCGAACATATTTTCTGTAGACGAGAGAAATTGGATATTCAATTGGCGTCAGTCTGCAAATATCTATGCACTAAGTGATCACCCCGTAGCCCTTCAGTATGCTGTTGATCAAGCAAGCAGTGTTCCACCACCACCAGACAAAGTTTTACAAAGATTGCACCAACATAGTGGGATAATTCCAAGTTCAGATGTATTGAAATCTATATGCAAACCGATTCGTCTGATTAACAAGTAAACTAAACTTACTAGGAATATTTGAATAAGTTTTGTTTTCAGTACTTATCGATTTTAGCAAAATTTAGATATTATATATTTTAAGTGACAGTATTCGTGCATAAAATGAACAAGAAAGACACACCACAGAGTAGTAAAAGTATTCCGTCCATTTGAAGACACCATAAACAGAAAGTTGTATTGACGAGATGAAGCAAATTAACCATTAAGAAGCGTGAGAATTTCCTTCAAAATAACTTTAGTTCAAAATTTCGCGCTTCTGTTTATCTGTCGTTTGTATCACAGACACAGACCTTTTGAAACTGTCCTTTAAGTCAATTCCAGAATGCCGATAAGGAATCAAAACTGCTTTCGATGTTAGATCAAATATTATTCATTACGAGACGAGGGAGTTGGGTTTCTTAAGTTAAAAAAGCTTGTTTTATGACAAGGTATATATATATATCACTTAGGCAGAGAAGAATGAACATATTTACTTACACTCAAGTGGTACAGTGTGCGTCTGTGGCAGAGAGGTAGAGTGCTCACCATCGGCGCAGGTGGTCTCGGGTTCGATCCACGGCCGACGCGCTCCTTTACCTCGTTAAGCCAGTAACTAGACTGGTAAAAAGGGAAGGTTGAGCATGAGGCTATCAACCCCATCCCATAAAAATAAATAACACCGCTACTGAATCTTCCAAGCTCTAGCTTGACGACCTATGTTCTTCTGGTAACATTAAGGAATAAAGAAATGTGGTACAGTCTTCTAAATAACAGTTGAAAATACGAATGTTTTGGCATGTTCCTCACCCTCTGTCGAATGTTAGATTACGTTACAGATTTGAACAATACGAATTAGTTTAAGGATACAGATTGAAGCTGTTCATTTCGCTGACTGCTCCACTTTTTTGGTCATAAGCCAATAACTTAGAGTAATCAAAAGACCTTGTCAGTGTTTTTGATCAGAATGGCTATATCTGAAAAATGTGAAATAAACTAGAGCTTTTTTGTGATAACGGACTGTTTCATATCCATCAGTTCTTTTGTAATAGTGTTAAACGAGAACTACGGGTTCTCATCACTTCATGTGACATCTCTCCATCAACCGACAGACGGATGCGCGAACTTGAGATGGCTGACTAGACAAACATAAGGTTCTCTCACAGTACTTGTTTCAAGCGTAGATATCACCGCAACACAATCTGACCAATGAAACTGAATGGTGACCCTAAATTAAGAAATATGGCATGTGTTGGATACCAGTGTGTCTGTGGTGCTAAACCTGTCGAAGAGCGAAGAGTTGCAGAATTAGAAACCATTTGGTTATCCACCGAAAAGCGAATCAATGGCTTCATATAATGTGATTTAAATGGTTTAGCAGGCTGTCTTTATCAGTTATCTCACAGTTACTTTTCTCTCACTATTTCAGGGGTACATATACGAAACTTACTCTGGGAAAATCCCACCCAATGCTCAGTGAAGGAACCAACTTTAACAATATTAGACAGAACAGCCTGTCTCTTCCACCTAGGTTGCTTTGTAAAACCACATATCTGGATCCAGGAGATAAGACTTTGTTACAAAAGGCTCGCCGTGAAGCCCTGATACTTACTATCCTTCATGGTGCTAGTGGAGGGATGTACTCTTCATTTGAAGACTATTTTGGTGAACAGGATAATTCATATCTTTTCACCAACCGACGACAACTACTACCGTCTGGATGGTCTTATGGATGGTTGGCAGATGATGCAGCAAAACCAACACAGGGCATAACAGTAATGCAGTGGATCCCAGGGGGACGACTCATCGATGTTTTATGCAGTAGAGTGGAGTATACTGAATTTTCCGTCATGATGTGGTGTCAACAGATTCTTATGGCACTGAGATGGTTTCATACATGCTTTATGGGATTGCCACATGGAAATGTTTGTCTTGAACATATACTTGTTGCTCGTCGGTCATCTTCACTTCCAGATATTGTACTGAGCGGATTCGGCAAGAGCACAGATTCTAGAGAACCTTACAACTATTTTGCAGGTAATCTGCAGCTTTTATATTCAATTTTCGACAAGTGATAAATAACAGTAACACTTGACGCTAGATGCCATAAAATAAACAAATCAAATGATGCCTAGTCTCATTTGATGATGATTCTGAAATAACATATTGAAAATAGTTATCTTTTATGTTTTATTAACTCATATATCTCCTATTATTTGATAAACAAATAAATGCAAACAACCTCACGATACGCTTTTGTTTAAATTCTACTTTTTATCCACTAATGCCTACTAATCACATGTAGTGTACTTTAATAATGGGCACTGGGTCTTGCAGAATTAGCCATACTACTTAACATTATAACATTACGTACATAAAGTATATTCAAGGCCATTTTTCTTAAGATCGGCTTTTAGGCATGTACCCAAAACACATCTTGGGCATTACAGAGTTGCAGATGTGTCCTATATCCACTGAATAAAATGATAATGACTTATAAATGTAAGAGGTATCACCCAATCAAAACAGAGTGGACAAAGTTTGTGATGATTTTTTTCCGTTCCCGTGTCCAAACAAGCTACTGAACCAACTTCTAGAAAACAAGTTAAGGTTTTTGAGTGTTAGATTCACGGCTAATCACAGAACATATTTTGAGGTCTCTAATGTAGATCTAAGCGACCGAGTCATGATCATGTATTTGGAGTCAGAGAGAAGATCTGAGACAAGCATTTCACGCCTTTACGAATCTTAAGCCGGATGTGCCTGTGTCCAAATATATGACAGTTTTATCTCTGAAGCACAAGCATCTCATTCACCATTTGAAATACCTAAGATTTATGCACAACTTCAATGAGTTGCGACATTTACATTTTCCATTAAGATTATTGGTTGGTTAGCTTAGTAGTCAGGGTTACAGAATTCTAATATAGGCATTGGTTCGCGGTCATATTTGGAACACCATCGATTACTGTAGCATAAATAAAACTGCTAAGCCCAGTATGGGACGGGGTTCGGATTTTTAATTATCCTGGATTCGATAAGGACAAGACACGCACTTGACTTACTTAGGTAATCAATGCTCTGGACCTGCATTTGACTGAGGGTCTTGACCAGCCTACGCAAATTAAGCAAACTGAGAATAAGTAAATTCATACAGAGTGAGCACCAAGTCTCATTATCTAAACTGGTTTCTTTTAAAAACTTGTCTTGCCTAACAAAAACTAATAAATCTACTGAGTGTTGATCAAAAACGTACAATAACTGAAAAATGCTTATTTGTCTATTTTCCTATGGTCATGCCATTTTTATCTTAAAAATAACCTAAACGTTCACTCATATTTTTTTCTCAAATTAGCTCCAGAGTTGCATGAAGATCAACCAAAATCTACTGCTGCTGATTTGTGGAGTGTTGGAGCTGTTATCAGATTGCTGTAAGTATTATAGAATAAAAGTGAGCTGTGTATGTTTTTATGTGCGTGCCTATGTACTGGCAGTTATCATCGGAAATCCAACTTGCTAAGTGTTAACTTTGGGCTGCCTAAGTGGTGTGACACTCAACACCGCTACACAGGTATCAGAACTGGAACAACTAAGATCGGAACTTTAAAACTAAATAATTCTAATAATAATAATTTTTCCTTCACGTTCCCCAGTCGAACATAGGGCTTCAAGCTAGTGGCTTGAAGTTTCTGTAGCAGGGTTTATTTTTACAGGATGGGGTTGCTGGCCTCATGCCCAACCTTTCCTCTTTACCAGCATTATTTCTGACTTAGCGAGTTGAAGGAGTGCGTCGACCGGGTATCGAACTCCGAACCATGTGCATGGTCGGCAAGCATCCTAACCGCTGCGTCACCAACAAATAATTGTAATAAGTAACCATGATTTCACTGATTTTAAAATGGTTGCAATCAGTTCATGTCTAAATACCAAATTTTTCCATTGTTCAGTAAAAATAGCATAGTACTCTAACGATTCTGAAATAACAGATGTTATAGTATGCCTACATATGTAAATAATAAGAATTGCGAAATATTAATTAAATATTCCCATAGTTAAATTTAGAACAACACATTTAAGCGAACAATATTGTTTTCAAGTGTTGTTCTTTGTTTGTTGTTTTCAATTAGATCTCAGCAGGCTTAACTCTAATATATATAAGTTTACAAATAAAAATTCAAACATAAACCAATCATGGTGTTTTGTCCGTAGGATAATAAGATGATGAATATAAATTGTGCAATTAGTCAATATAGTAGTAGTAATAATAATAGTAGTCTTATCAATAATAAGGATCAAAAAGTGAGGCAATCTCTTGGTGTTTCCAAAGACCTCAATGTAAGGGCGGAGAAACTAATGACCAACTCCCTCAAAAAACTGAACATCAACCACGTATGAGTCCATGAAACCAACGGGTACCAATACTACACGTCTTTACGGTCTACCAAAAGTGCACAAACCGGGTCTTCCTCTTCGCCCTGTTTTAGATATGTATAACTCTCCATTTCACGGAACAGCGAAGCTGTTAGTGAAGATTCTGGGTCCTTTGCACAGAGAAATCGTGCAACGTCGAATTAGTGATGTCTTCGACTTTATTTCTAAAAGATCCGAGACTAATGTGAGGTATAAACGCATGTTATCCATGGATGTATCATCACTATTCACTAATGTACCGCTTATGGAAACAGTAGATTATATTTGTCAAGAAATCACCGATAGGCAATTAGACTTAGGAATTCCCTTGTGTAGCCCCAAAAAATTACTTCTTAAATGCACAACGAATGTTCACTTTTTCTCCAATAATTTATACTATCGACAGGTAGATGAAATAGCTATGGGTTCACCATTAGGCCCAATATTAGCTGACTTCTTTCTTGCAAAACTTGCAAACGTGAAATTGAAGGACATCATCAAGGAGTTTGATGTGTATTGCCGATATGTCGATGATATATTTATCTTAGCTGATGGGAACTGTTGCTGAAACTCAACAATATCCACCCCTCGCTTACCTTTACTTGTGAAGAGGAGCAGGAGAATAAACTACATTTTCTGGATGTCTTGCTAAATAGGAGAGAAGATGGGTCACTTGGGAGAAGCGTGTATAGAAAAAGCACATTCACAGGGCAATACACACACTTTCTTAGTTACGTGCCCATTAAATATAAAAGGAATCTTGTAAAATGTCTCGCGAGCAGAGCAAGGAAGATATGTACGGAGGACCTCTTACAAACGGAATTTGAATATATTCACGATTCCTTGACGGAGATGGGTTATCCGAGTAGTTTCATAAAGAAACATATGAAACCATCAGAGAAGAAACCTGTGACTCTGACTGCACATAAGAAACCTTTATTTATTAAGTTACAATTTAGTGGTGACTTATCTAGTGAGATTCTATTCCAAAGACTTTCAAGGAGTATACGTAGAACATTTTACGCAGCACACCTATGTTTGTCATTCTCTAGCCGACGAATGATTGGGACGCAAACGAAGGATAAGCTTGATAGTTTTGCTACATCTATGTGTATTTATCAATTCAACTGCACCTGCGGTGACAGTTATATTGGGCGTACTACTAGACAGCTTAGCCAACGTGTTAGTGAACATCTCCCATCGTGGTTTGGCAAAGGACAGACAAAAACAATCCGAAGCTCAATTCTGTCACATTTAATTGATTGTGGTCATGTAGTGGAGAAAACGAGAGCCCTCAAAGTAATCCATCGTATCCTACCGAATCTTTCAAATAGACTTCGTATTCGTCTACTGCACACAGCTAAGGCGATAGGCATTCGAACTATTAAACCTAAACTATGCATTCAAAAAGAGTTCGTACAGCCATTATCCTTCCCTTGGCCTATTAAGACATAACCAACTAAAGACTTCTACACCACCCCTTGTTTATATTTTCAACCCCTTTCTTATAATCCCTTAATCTTATCACATCTTCATTAAGAATGTGTTTCATTTACTTCCCTTACAATCTAGCATTACTTAATCGGTTCATCTGTTTTTATTAACCTTTATGGGCTACTTCCACCTGAACATTTGTTTGTTTAATCATGCTGTTTTTCAATATTCGTGTAATCACAGATTGCCTCACTTTTTGATGCTTATTATTGATAAAACCATTATTATTATTACTACTACTATATTGACTAATTGCACAATTTATATTCACCATCGTATTATCCTATAGACAAAACACCATGATTGGTTTATGTTTGAATTTTTATTTGTAAACTTATATATATTAGAGTTAAGCCTGATAAGATCTAATTGAAAACAGTATCGTTCGCTTAAATGTGTTGTTGCAAACTACTAATTAGTCAGGAAATTGAAAATGGGTAGAGAAACAATATTATACTGATGAGTTGTTTAAATAATTCTTCTTCTTCGATTATTATTAACTAGTTAGTTGTTAATAACCAACATATTTTGCAGCAAAATAGAAGTTACTGTAAAGATTCAGAACTAATCATTAAAAGCAGTAAAATAAAACAGCTTTCTTGCCATAGTTATAACCTTTAGGTTATCCTTAGCTATATTCTCTCCACAGATGTTGACCATAGTTATAATCATATTGATACAAAACAGAAAAATGCACACTGATATAAGAATATAACTTGGGTACTGTGGTAGATTGTAATCCATTATAGAGAAAACTTATTTTGATAAAGTGTTACAGTTTTGTACAGTAATATTTACTGATGATGTTTCGAGCACAGTTGATTGCTCATGATCACATAACATTCTGATTTCGTTTATATACATGTGTGAAGACTGATTGGACATATGAATGAATAAATAAAGGTCAGTATAAAGTTCAATAGATATGAGTGAAATAAAAATCAAGATAAAGTACATTCGGAAACACTTTTCGTGTTATCAATTAATATAATACAATGGCAACCAAGAAGACTGTTGTTAGTGAATAAGGTGGGAAATAAGATGTGTTTTAGTACAATAAATAACTTGTTAGAATCTTATAATGTGAAGTGAAATAGATTCTAACATTATTTATTATCCTTTGATTCGACTGGTAATAATACCTTCCATATCTCTGGTATTTGCGTTGAGTCGCTTCTATGCCATGTGTTGGGTATAGACTCGATGAACAAGGATTCAATAATCAATCTCTCTCTCTCCACCTACCTAGATTACCCTTTAGACTTCTAACTCTGCCTCACCATATTGTGTGGTTGTGTGTCAGTGTATGCAGTGCAGTTGCTGAGATTTTTGTAAATTACTTAGTTTTACAAGGTCAATCATTCTACACTTAGCTAAACTCTATTGTTCCGACAATCTGACTACCCCCAATCTATTGGTCTGACTTATGTAGCCGATGTCACGGTGATTGCAAGGTATTACTTTGTTTAACTGGATCCACCAGGTCCTTTAGCTTACACAGCTTGTCCCCTCTAAGTGAGTTTTCAGCTTTTAATATTACCTTACTTCCTGCTTTATTAAGAATCCTACATAGGGTTTCAGATGAACCCTACTGATGCGGTAAAACTGCAGATGCCTTATGTTCTGTCTTATTTATGTTATCATTATTAGTTTCCACATTATTTTTATGTTGCTTTTGACCTTTTTTGATCGTCCTAATGAATTTTATAGGATAATTGTTTAGTGCCAACACTTCTTCTATCTGTCTCATTTCATCATTTAGGTTTTTCGTTGTACTGCTTAGCGCTATTGTCCAGCTTTTTAGACACTTAACTAGGCCTGCCTTCACAGATAACGCATAAGATGAGTTTGAGTCTAAATATCTGTTAGAATGCATTGGTTTTTTATGAACGCTAGTGTTCAGTTTACCTTATTCCGTTCGTTCTATTTTACAGTCTAACGTAGCTAATTCTCCTTGTTCACTTTTTGATTCAAATGTGAATTTTATTTCCTTTACTATTGAGTTTATGTGTGTGGAGAAACTAAAGATATGTCCTGTTTTTAAACATGTGAAATAAGCGCATTATTTCGCCTGACTGATGTATTATTGTTAAATAAAGTGATAATTGAACACCATGAAACACATCAAGAAACACAGACAAACTCATTTAATTTGTTGGTGAAACGCTCAGAATCATACAAAAAATATGTAAAATAACTTAAACGTTCATCCTGAATTACAAATCTTTCGTACCTAATTCAAACCGTTCTAAGTATCATTTTTCAAAATCTGTAGTTTATTAAAGATGGAAAATAATGTACAGATTTTAATCTAATATAACTATAGAGGTTGATTGGCAGGTCTGTACCCAAAATGAGTTAGTTTCTCGAACGACTCCGGAACCGTTTTGGCTATGAGTAAAACTACCAGTATGATCATATTCAGAGTCGCTCAGAATTGTTGTGCAATTTTCTATAATCCGTGATTTCAACTATAGATAGTTGATTACGCTTTGTATTTCGTATATTTTATAATCTTAGATTAACTGGAGAAAATCCAAGTGATACTGGCATCCACAGTAAAAAGCCTACATCTAATGAATCTACTGAACATCACAAATCAAAAGTGAAAACATCCCAGGATTCACCATCCACAATACAGTCGGAAGAAAACCACACCTTTCCACAAAGTCATATCAGTATAAAGAAGTTAAAGAGATTTTCCAAACCCGCACGAAAATTCGTCTACAACTGTCTCAGTCCAGTACCAAGGTAAGATAACTTTTACCAAGAATTCTTCACCAACCAATAAACATCAGATAAACTGGAACAACACCCCAGCAAGATAACAGAAAATTTGTCTAGTTTTAATAAACAAAAAACGCTAGAACCACTCTACGGCATTGTTCTACAAGGTTTTATATATACGAAATGTAACGACTAACATTTTTTGACACCTCACGCATTTCGCCAACCGGAATTCAGAATGTTCGGATCGGTCTGACACCCTTAGTTAGTCCAGTTACACAACTAGTGACTTCAACCTTAGACATATGAAAAGGTCATCTAATAATTAGGTCATTACTTTCTGGAGTGATTTCCAGTCAAAAGAAACTGTTTACTCCTTATGTGGAATGTTACATAGGAGCCTGGGTAGTGGGTTGAGATCGAGTACCCAACTGGTTAACTACCCAGCACAGAAACTTGTACAAAGGTAAAGGGCATAATAATACTATAGTGGAAAAATACGAGGACCAGGTGGCTTCCCCGAATTCTAGAGATAGCAAAAAGTGAATAAAACTGCACCATTACGAAAGAATTTGAGATATTCTTAAAGTCCCCCATCCTTTATTTATAACACATCGAGTATTCCGAAAGCACAGCCTACATCCCTACACGCAGCTTGGATCAATAGTCAGTGACTTTACTTTATGATAACGTTTTGGTCTGACTAGCCTTAACTGTCTTCTGATAATAAAGCTATTCCAGTCAACATAGAATGATGTGTATTTTCGTATCATCTGCTTTAAGTCTCCATGTTTTTTCTGCTCCAGACGGTCCCTTTGTACTCACATGTAGACTTCAAGAGCATTTAGTTCATCAAGAAAACTCCTCTGACAACTTAAGTGATTCTTACATTCTCCAAAATCTTTCTTTGGCTTTAAGCAACCCTTTAGCCAAAATTACCTCTAAATACCTCAAAACACCCTGCACACGCAAGTCAACAAGGACTAGGCGTAGAACATGATAACGTCTATAGGGCGAATCTCGTAGATTCAGCGTGTTGATCCATCGCTGTTGAGACCTGTTGTTTTGACGCTGAAAGCTTCAGTGTATGGTTGTCAGTGAGGTTTTAGGACATTAGGGATAGTGTTTCTTTGGTCATAAAGTTGAACAAAAATAAAAAGAGTGTATGGGAAAGATTACTGAAGTATGTAGGAGAGAAAAAGGCAAAAAGAGGATAGGTGGTAAACAGAACTTTGTATACTAATGAATGTGTCGGCGATTGGAAATTTCCAACTGTCTACATGATGAGAGTGTATTTCTTTTTTGTAGAACTTGAAATAAATTAGGATTAGTTTCATCTCACCTCAGAATTCAGATGACGTTGTCTTGTAATTCGATCACTCGCGATCATTTAGGATGTAATGGGATATGCTCTATGTAAAAAAAAATACGGAGTCTTAGGGTAAGTAGTGATGTATGGTTTATCGGTTTGTGTTGGGAAATTAGTACAGAATGCTTTCCGATCTCCAAACATAAAACTCCAACTTCATTTTCATTCCTGCATCATAATGTAAACAGTTTACAGTGTGGTGGTAACTTTTTCGGTATTAATAATATGTAGTCGACATCCTTGACGTGACACTATCTAACCAACATAGATAGTTGGGTTATTGTGATATGCAAGCCCGAACAGCCATATCAAATGTGCTTATTTGATTCCCTGTTTGACATTTTAGCACAGTCTTTCCTAATATCGACAACGATATAAACACAGGAAATAAGTTGTGCATCAAACTTCATGCAGCAAATAACAATGTACCATTGTATCCCTTTCTTAGTTATACGTTAATTTACCTTAATGGTATTGTGCAGAAAACTTTCACTTCTAGACTAGAAGATACAATTCAAATATTCGGGGGAAATTAAGTACCCTGAAGTTGGGATTCCTTCAACGTATTGTTCACGTTAACAAAAAACGGTATTCGTTTCAAATGCAGATATATACAGATATTTTTTAGACAACTTTCGCACACTGAGTTACGTGTTAAGACTCCATGGCTCAAGGACTTAAGCAATAAAAATGATGGTTTTTGAGTCCTTTGTACAAGTCATAACTTTTGACGGTCTTCATCAGACACCTTGGCTTAACTTGTCGGAAGTTTGCGCTGCTATAATATATCACAGTCACAGACTTTGAAGAAGCAATGAAACGCCATTCCATAAACTTATTTTTGATGCCGGTTTCTACGAAAGTGAGGCAGTATCACGCACTTTGAGAGTTTTCATTGATAAATATATAGTACATAAAGAGAATATTCTAAAGCTGACATACAAGTAGTCAAAGAGCTACCAAGAAACACCCTATTAGCTTAAGACTCATTAAAATGCAACAGTCATCATATTAAAGTGAAAAATCAATCCAGTACGCTCTGAACGCAAGTGGAACCAACGAAGCTGTTTCTAAAATTCGCAACGTAACTCACTCATGTGACTTTTCTCATACTCACTAAGCTTATTGCGTAACACTCCGTACTTTTAGTTTAATAGGTGAATGAATCAAAGATCTTTTTGCAGAGGGCAGTTAAAGTAGATTCAAAAACTTCCACAAGATGACTACAGAAGTCTAATCTCCTTCCTCAAAAAGAAACACACCGTGTTTTTTAACCATATTTTCTATACTACTACTTAGGCTAAGTAACTTGAGTAATGGAGGATAAAAACAAAGAGGTGGGAAAGGTGATAGATAACATTTCAATGAATCACTTCTTAAGTTTCATCCCTGCCTTTTTATAACATGTATTCTGCAGAACTGAATCTATTTAGATAAGGAACAGTGTAATAATCAATAGAATAAGAGTAGTTCTGAAGTTAAAAGGCTACAAAGAAAAGCTTTGATCGCATATAAACATTTCCATTGAAACCATCTGTGATCCAATTTTTCTAATGGCTTCATGTGTTATAATTATTTTGTATATTTCTGTTATTAATTCTCTTCTCATTCCCATAGAAAACGTGGAACAGTAGACTTCTGGTTAGACTCTCACTGGTTCGATATGAATGCTGAGAATGTGAATAACCTGACTTCAGCGATCATTCCTACAAATCTACTGCGGTCATTTAAAACTACTTTAGATGCTAGTGTTAATTCCTGTGCAGAAGAAGAAACAAGAGAACTACAATTTTCTTGAACAGGCCAGTACTTCTTCTTTTTTGTGTATCTTCATTATTCTGCATGTTTTGAGAAGTTTACTCCCCTCCTATAACCCCCCCCCTATAGATAATTAATATACACATACTTGGTTAGCCCTATACAATAACAAATTCACATATCCCCTTCTCGCTTTCTGGCCAGTCAGCAATGTGTAGTGAGAAGACCTCCTTTTAAAACACTGTTTTCTATTCAAAGCTACTACCTATCCCTTTCAAATAACTTTCTACTTTGAATAAAATGTTTTCTCAGCATTTAAAAAAAAAGTATACCTGAATTGATAAAATAACTGATAGAAATTCAAACTTACCTTCCCCTGTGTCCATGTATGTGCCTTAACCTCATTCAGTAATCCTAAATAATACGGATGATCCTTTATTGATACTTTTTCGCATATTTTCGAATTCCTTAATATTTCGTGCTTATATTTGTGTTTCCAATTTAAAGGCAAATTTAAAACTGCACACAACAACAAACAACTTCACAATGTGTTTTTCGAGAAAGGAAAGTATTCAACACACTGTTACACTATTATCATGGTCCCAACCATAACAATAATTGTTGTTCTTGAGGAATAAAAAGGACTAACTCTGCAAGTTTCTGTTGACTTCTACTTTAAAATCTGCATAGAGTGACTGTTAAATATCACTAGTACAAAGTTGGTCATTGTATAACTAACTCATAGCTAATCTACACATTTAATTCACATTCAATGAAGCCACTGAAGACACTAGTTGAAGTAACACTGGAAACAAAGAAACTCTAAGTAAACCCCCAATAATAAAGTTGTAACTCTTTTGGAGACTTCATTATTATTATACATTGAGGAAATCGTCGAATGACATTACGCGCCAGGCCCTCTAGTGGGATCACAATGGGTGGGTCGTCCTAGAGTGACATAGAGATCACGTGAGGAAGAGATAAGAGATTGTGGGCAATAGTGGACCTAGTTGAAGAGGTCGCAGAAAATGGAAGAAAGCGGAAATGTGTTGTTGAAGCCCTATGTTCCACTCGGAACCCAAGGGAATAAATATTATTATTATTAGTTAGGATTATATATTTTCAATAGAGAAAACAACTCCCTGATTCGAGATTAAGCGCTAACATTTGAAACTTATTAGGCGTTATTTCTGATTTCTAAAAGTTGTGAATTGTAGCACAAACCTCAAGTTCACTCAAGCTACGAACGCATCAACCCAGTGTAGAACAAAACAACTTATTAAGAATATAAGCTTAGCTTTCATATCGGAGTTCTCTTTAGTCAAAGTAATCGTTTTAAATAGCAACTAGAAGCGATCCAACTACAAAATCCCACTGGGAATCCTTATACAAACTAGAATATTCATAACACTTTATGACATTACTAACAACAAAAACAACATAAGAAGGTTGGTGGAAAACTTTATAGTATAACGACTGTATTATATACAAGAATCCTTTATATATATATGCTTAAGTTAAAGAAAAATGTTGTAACTCAATATACACATGAATAAGTATTTCACTCATTATCCAAATTCAAGAGTAATTGCATAAAACCCTGCTATTCACTAGACGTTTAAGCGTAGTCAAAATGAAGGAAGAACACATACATCCATTCATTTAACTAGCTTTATATGATAGGATTCTGTTAAATATTCAGCCATAAAGAAATTGACATTCAACCTAAAGAGACTTTCCTTCAGAAGGCATTCAGAGTGAGTACCATTCTGAAATCGGCAGTACCTTAATTACGGCAAGAAATAACTGATTTGTTCATATTCTTAAACCAGTCAACTAATTTATCCTGCTACCAACAGACAGTCTAAATTGGCAGAATTTCCCAGCGTAACACCTATGCGTACAACAAACACGAAAATACCAATCTCACAATTATAATTCATCGTAGAGCTTGGTTTGAACAAAAACTGCAAATGCATAAAGTTGAAATGCAATCCAACTTCTAAAAGATACTTGCACTTCCATATCAAAAGCTTTTGTCATAAAGTTAGGACAATATAGAACATATTTTTATAAGATGTTCATCATTTGTAGAACTGTAATCTAACTTAAAAATATTATTCTTTTAAATCCCCTAATAAAAAATATCAGAAGGATTACTTTGTTGCGTCAACAATCCGTAAAAAATAAATGAATCCTAATTTCAGACAGCAAATCTGAATATAATAGAAGTTCTATAATCGATTTTTATCAGTAATGAATAGAGATTGAAAATAAATATGAATGTGATCACTAAAATGGCACTAATATTGTGGTGGTGTGATACAGTCAATGGGCTCCAAGGGAATACTATTCTCATTGCATATGTTGGTGTTAAAGGTCGAATACTATTTCCACAGTTCAATACTGCAAAAGCAACAGAATACGATATATCTATTTGAACATTCTGTTTCATGTTGTTTAATGTAAACCAAAATCACATGATCAGTGATTGGCTAAAGAATATAAACTGCATATATATATATATATATATATATATATATATATATATATAAGTAGCGGTTTGATCGATGGAAAACACACCTTGGCTTCTGTATCTTGCCTTCTGTTGTTACAATGTGATGAGAAACTGTGTGAACTAGGTAAAGACATTAGGAGAAGCATTAAAATGGTGATAGTTCTCTAAAGAAAGCACATCATAGCCATGCTACAAAATACATGTAGTACTACACCAATAGCCAGTACACAGGCGAAAGATAAACTTCTATTGATCGTGTGTTCCTGTAGAATAAAACAATTGGATCATGTGTTGTGATGGGGCTGCCTAATACCTTGTACAAATAAAGTGTGCTAGGACTTATAGACAAACTTATCACACATTATTTGGTTGACAGTGATTACGACGTCTAAGTACCTATCAGACATAAGCTACAGAAATTCTAGCAATAAAATGCTTGCACTGTATTTTGAAATCCTTAGACACATAGCTGGGCAGTACAATTTGTTCAAAAGTGATTCCTTGATCCGCTTCACTTCACTGGTTAATAGTGTTGTTTATTTGTCGGTGGCACAGTGGTTAGGACTCTCACCAACCATGCACATGGTCCGAGGTTCGATCCTCTACCGACGCACACCTGATATCTATGGTCGGCCTGCAAAATTTGGGCTACCGATATCACATGCTGAAAATTCCATACTTGTACCAAAAATACAGTGTAGCATCAAGCTGTAAACAAATAAAAAATAGTAATAATTATCTGGGGCTTAACAAAATCTCTTAATAATACGCAACTTTTTGTATTAAAGGCGGAATTTTTAATTCCTTCTTCTTTAACCTATTCTACTATAAATTATTTCTACTAATTTCTTAAATCTTCGACTGCACTTACTGTGTGGTATGCAAAAATATGCAGATTCTGTCCCAACACACTTTATTGACCAACGGATGAATAGACACTAACTGCGATCAATGAAAAAAGTAAATTATCTGGAATGTTTATTTTGTGATGACAGTAATAAACAAATGAAATACACAAAATTTTGCACTCAGGATATAAATATTATCTTGGCATGAATTCCAGTTAACTAAAAAAGAAAAACACCGACTCTGAAATGGCACTTTAATCCTTGTATTCAGTATATTGCAGAGGTTTGACAAACTGACAGAAGACTTTATATATCTGAGGCCATAATTCGTTTGTACGCCGTCCATGGAACATATGCAAAATGTTTTGTTCTCTAAATCAGCCATGCAAAATTAAACAAAGATAAATATTAACAAAAATAAGTGGTAAGTTGACTTAAGATATATTCCATCTATCAAAGCCTAAGTTAACACAATGTCTGTCTGTCTGTTTTCGACATAGAACTTTGCAAATATGTGCGGCAGTTCAAGTCGCCACACTTCCTCCTTGTAGCACACAAAGCAAGAGAAGAAAGTACAAGAAAAGCTTAATAGAGACAGTAAGCAGAGAAGTGAGACAAAGAAAGAGTATTAGCGAAGAACAAATCAGTTTCATTGGGAATCATAAGTCACAGTGAGTGGATGCATCTGCGCCATTGAGAGCGATTTTGAGCCATGGCACCAATTGTTTCCAACCATTGGTTGTTACCGTCCTGAGGACCCCAACCAATCAGGAAGTCTACACCTTCCTACGTGGCTTAGACTAACTGCTGAAGATTTCACTGACTGGTGCCATGTTTTGGTTTGACCTCCGCTAGCTTTTTTCCAGCCTGACCCTATATCCGCTAACATTGCTCGTCGAGGAAGGCGATGACTAGGCATACGTAACACATGTCCTAACCATCTCAGTCGATGTAACTTCACAACTTCGTCGATTGATTTCCCCTCCTTACCTAGCACTCAACCGATGCCTAACCTCAATATTGCTCACCTTATTATGCCACTTCACACGGGAGATAGAACGCAGGCATCTATGATCAAAGACAGTTAATCTTTTCATGTCCTCCACTCTCAGTGGCCAGCCATTAAGGACGACTGAGAGGACTGATGACCAGTACACCCGCCCTTTGGTCGATAGTCGAATATCTCGTCTACGCCAGAGACAGCGTAAACTGGCTGGCATATGCGAAACTAGCCCCCTGTATCCGTGCCGAGATTTCATCAGAGATCAACCCGTTGGCGCTGGCTGATGGTACTTCCCAAATAAGTGAAGTAGTCAACGTGCTCTACCACTTCACTCCCTATTTCTAATCTAGGAGTCGGTGTAGTGCAGTCCTGTAACATCATCTTGCATTTGGCGGGAGCGAATCGCATGCCAAACAAACGTAGATTGCACCTCAAGGTCTTCAGAAGACTCTGCATTTTGTCAGCGTCCTCGCCTAGAAGGACTACATCGTCTGCATATTCTAAGTCAACGAGATTATTCTCAACCTGGTAGCAAGTCAATCCCTGAGTCGCTGAAGTCACTTACGGTTAATTCCATTAGTACATCTATGATGAAGTTGAATAGAAAAGGGGATAATGGGCATCCTTGACGGACACCACTAGTCACCAGTTCAGATGAAAACTCACTGTAAACCCTCACCTGGCTGTATGAGTACGAGTAGAGTGCCTTAATCAGTGCAATGTATTTTCTCGGCATATCCTTTACAGCCAAGCATCGCCAGAGAACCTCTCGGTCGATAGAATCGAACTCCGCCTTTAGGTCAAGGAATATAATGATTGTTGGACGCCAGTAGGGATGCCTATGTTCTAGAATCTGTCGGAGAGTGAAGATATGATCAATACACCCTCTTCCTGGTCTAAAGCCTGCCTGGCTCTCTCGTGTTTGTGCCTCCCGAGCCCCACTTAGTCTACGCATGATTATTGAGCCTAGGACTTTAGATACTATATTAGTCAAGCTAATCCCTTTGTGATTATCACAGGAAGACTTGTCTCCCTTCTTGTATATGGGGATAATGAGTGACTTACGCCAACCCGATGGGACTTCCTCTGATTCCTAGACGCTGCTTAGAACCTCAGTTAATGCAGACAGTAAACACAATGGGTGTAACTCATGTTCTAATAAAACAAACCTCAGTCAGATAACAGTACTCTGGTGACACCCATTCATGTACCAGACAGAGAAATTCAAGCACCAAATGAAGGCTGATGATGTTACCTACTTGTTAAAACCAAAATACAAGTTTCAAAAGGGTTGAAACAATACCACAAGGTAAACTGACTTATAAATAAATAAGATTTAAATCTCAATATTCCCAAATGTAACTCCTCTCTGAGTATTCCTGGCCAGTTAGTATCTTCTGACTGTAATTTACACCTGGTAAAAATAATGAGTAACCGTATCCAAGTAGGCTTAAAAATAAGAAACTCATTCTCCTAAAATTATAAAGTATCATTCAAGTTGTGAAACAATCCCCTAAAACCTCTGCATTTATTCCTCTATGTGGATATCTTAAATTTTTGAACCACTAATTTCATTAGGCATTCTATTTTAACATATGGAGATTTTCAACATGTCCTGTGTCTGAGAAACGCTATTAAAACAAACCGTGTTGGTGGGTAGGAAAGTTTCCCAAAATCATCAGGATAATCCGAATAGATGTTGTCATGACCAAAATTAATTTGGAGTTGGCATATTTACATAAATAAAATTGATATATCACGTTAGTGATCATTACATTGAAATCATGGTTAACCATCGAATGGTAACAAAATAGGTTATTTAACATGGAAAATCATTCATTCAATGCATAAATATTAGAAACGGGTGTAAAATTAATAAGATTAAGGAACGAATTTTTTTTAAACGCCTAACAGGGTGAGAAGTTGAATGAAATATTGTTTTATGTTGTAGAAAACTATTGTACAGCTTAATAATAAACTAGTTGAAAACAGCCTCTCCACTGAATGATAGGATCATATTCAAATAACTCACACTAGTTAGCAAGGAAAGAAACATACCTATAAAAATCTAGCAACGGTAGAGTAGAAAGTTGATAGACATCCAAACGTTTACGAACAGCTACTGGATCATCATCTTCTCTTCGCACTAGAGGTTCTCCAGTCACGTCATCAAATCCCTGTACAAAAATTAAAACACTTTTGAATCTGATAAATGATTAGATAGTAATTATTTGTTGTGCGATTCGGTGGGGATTGGTTAGACTCAACCGCGAAACTTACGTTGTCCTTCTAGATAGCATCTACAGCGCAAGTTTTTTTTCATAATGAAACCTGTCCTCAAAGATGTTATCTAGAACTAGAACTGAAGCTTTGCAGTTAAATCAACCAACTCAGAGGACACAACTAAATCAACATCATTTTCCTGAGCTACAAATTTTCTTTATTATTTCCGAGGTAAAACGTTCAACTGCGAACCTATAAGTCCAATTCATAGTTTGCCGTTTTCATCATCGGTAACCAGATAGAATCACAAACTCTCAACCAATAAACATGACTTGGAACATAATCTATTGGACAAATAAAAACCTACAATTTGTGGGTTGTATTAAATTTACATTACTTGATATTATATAATCAAAACTCAAACTTAAACCACATCAATATGAAATAAGTAAGCATCAAGGATTAAGATGTCTGCTATACATGGAGAGTTTAAGATTAACTCTATTTCCAGATCAATCACAAAGCTACCAATCTCATACGCCTCACGTTTCCATTTAATAAAACTGCATAGAATTTGTGTTTTCTTTTAACTGCGATACCGACAACAGATATTTAAAGAACATTAAAAATTGAGTCATAACTAAAATCTCTGAGATACATTTTTAGTATATATAATAATATAAAATTTACGACTAGTGATGAGTAATTACTTTTCCAGTAAACAATAACTTGATCAGTATTCTGTAATATCACTAATTTTGACCTTGTAACTCTATGAATAAGAAATTGAGTTGAATTAATCAGAGAAAAGGAGCAATTCGATTACAGTTACAGTAATCTTAAAAAAGACAAGAGTGCATTTATGAGAAAACATATAGTCATCGAAAAAAGAAGTATGCTAGTCCAAGTTGCAGCAATTCAAAACAAAAACTGTGTCACAGTGAACAAACGTGAATGTATGAAGGCAGTCTTAAAGTCAATAAATAGGTAGTACTCAGAAGAAAGCATGTTTCTGCTCAGTTTAATTAGGTTTAAATAACTCTAGACATAGTAAACCCGTTTGAAGAAAATACAAATTCGGAATAGTGTCAGTGCATTGCTTACTGTAAATGAAGAAGAATAACTGACAGTGAATGAAGCCAAAAGTGGATATATGTATCAGTTGTTTTGTTTCGTTCCACTTGGCTTCACCTTCGCTTGTCATTCACCAGCCTACAGAATGACCCAATGTTAAGATATAATACTATGAAATACATAAGGTATTAATATCAGTAAGAAGTTTGAGTATTATGGATTGTGAACACAAAATACCAGCAAGATTAAAAAGGGTTGCTAGAAATCTTATAAAAATGAGTGATGAACCAACATACTAGGTTCAGCAAACCTTAAGTTGAGTAGGGACATGCTGAAAACTGGAAAACTTATGTATTGTTTTCAAGAAATAACTTTTCTAACTGCACTCAAAACAATTATCATTGTTTGTTTCTCAATCATAGAAATGAATGTAAGATTAGATATTGGGAGTTTACCCACAACATATATTTTCATTACTCTCCTTCGAGTCTATACAAAGATCAAGGAGAAATTAAAATATTTTGTGTACATACACCAGTTGCAAAACAATCTTTAAAGCATATTTCATTTGGAAGCCTTGAAGGAAACTATGAGTTTCCCACAGTACTAGCAGCTTATTTGAAAAGTCTGAGAAAAGACAAAAACTAGAACACACTAGAAGCATATGTCAATAAACCAGTTACAGTTAAAAGTCTTTAATATCACGGCTATATATTAATGGTATACTACTGAAAATTAGGTTGTCCTGTCATACATTTGTGGATAATGATAAACCCTGGAGAGTTTTGTATGGTCAAAGCAATAGCCTGTTCATACAAGAAGACTTAAACAAACCAGGGAAATACTGCAATGGTTGGAACACATGTTTTGTAGGTTTCACCAGGCCAGAAACGTCGCTTTGAAAGCGGTTATATTTATAGTTTAAACCATTTACACTGTTTTAAGATTCTGAGGGCGAAGTTGTACTGCTGTAAGGAGATACGCTTCGTGATCACTGAGGCAAATATGACGTCTTCCGTCTCTGAGAAGAGATTAGAAATGGTAGCTCTTAAAAATTGTACATCCTGAATCGCCCCATGATCTTAGTTCTTCTATACAGACAAAATTCCATTAATCATCTTCATACAGATTGCAAACCGTCCAAAACACTTGCCACCTGGACTCTTTTGTCACGCCTATTCTCTTCTCTTTCGGGTACTTCACCTTTTCTTAACTGTGTGACCACTTTCAGTGACTTCACACAAAGCAACATTTCACCTAGTCTATTAAAACCACACTGACAGACTCGTACCAGAACTTTACACGTCCAGGTCCTATGCATCACTAGCATATCAGAAACTGGATATGTGCTCTGTCTGGGAAACACTAAAAGAAGACTCAAGTGTGGTCATTCAACTAACCTCACCAGGATGACACAGTGAGTCTACAAATATTAGCTGTACCTATATTTTTTTATTACAGCTTGATTTCACACCGTATTTTGGTACAAGTGTGGAATTTTCAGCGTGGATATCGGTAGCCCGAAATTCGCAGGCCGACTATAGATATCAAGTGTGCGTCGGCGTGGGCTCGAACCCCGGACCATGTGCATGGTCGACGAGAGTCCTAACCACTGTGCCACCGACGCACAGGAGATTCTGGGGCTAGTTAGCGTGGACATGTGACAGGCGTTAGAGAAACTGTCTACTCGACTGGATGTCGGAAGACAGTCATGTTATCTAGTTGAAAATATTCTCAATAATGATTGAAGATCGTGATTTACGTTGATGCCTTCCACGAATTTCCACTTACGCACCAGATGACTGCAATTTGACCGAAGTAAATGATGAATTTAACCTACAGTTATCTAGTTTGTTGTCAAAAGCGAAACGGACAGATAATTATCCTTAATGGTCAAGTAGCGAAAGTGAAGTGTTTTCAGAAATACACTGGGAGTACTGAAAGTTTCTCACACTTATTAACTGAAAGTGGTGATTCTCTTACGATTTTGCTCATATTAATATTCATTTCTGGTTAGCACTAAGTTCAATCATAAAGAGATAATGTCTTACCTGAAGACCGTCAAAAACAAGCCAACTTTGGACACAAACGGACCATTTTGCTGAGTTGTCAATCGAAAAGATCAGTGAAAGATTGTTATTTCTTCTGCAACACCTGCATGCAATTCATCATACAGAAGTCAATGGATTGACGTAGAAGACAAACAGTTACGAAGTCCTTTTGCGTTCATCTTCTTGATGGGTAAATGGAGTCTATAGGCAAGCAATAGATAACTAATAACGCACGTATATGACACCAATACTTATTGCGAAAGGGCTTGGCATCATATCCAGTCCGTTATAGTGGTGAAGAGCATTGATCAACTACCGCCAACGGACAGTAAATGCTAGTGGATATCGGCAGTTTCTTCAAAATGATAGATGCAAGAAGACCCATTCCAGTGGTCTCTGGAAACAGTGAGGAGCAGGAAGCCGATCAAACGACAACCAACAGTGGTGGACGACATGAACAATGAAAACAGTAAGAACATCAGAAATAGGCAGTACCCGCAGACTATATAGATTCATTTAAAAAACGGGTCTTTTTAAAATCTTTGGTGGAAGAACTTTCAAGGACGGCATTTCAATTACGTCTCAGAAGAGACAATTGGAAAGCTGGAGATAACAATGAAGAACAATTTTATGAGCCTATAGGTACACCAGCATCCAGCCTCCACTTGAATCTGTAAAGTGAAACTAATGTGGCGAAAGCTGCCTCTTATCTAAAAAGAATCAGTGCGACAGGAGGTAATGATTGGACCACAGGTCAGTTATTGACTACGTTTACCACAGTAGTAGCTAATGAGCAGAATCCCGACATATCCCATCCAACTAGTGAAGATAATTGATCATTCCAGTTTAAGAGAGGGGAGCCAACTCTTCCTGTGACAGTCAAATCAACAACAGCTGGATTAACGTAGAATCTAAGACTCTAGATCCCGTAGTATTACGAAGACTAAGTAAGACTGGAGTTAAACAGGCCTAAGAAAACCAGGAAGGCTTTAGTCCCAAAAGAGAATATATTCGACAATATGCGCACTTACTGGTGTCCAATAATTGCAATACCTCTTGAACTGAAGACAGTATTTGATTCTACTGACCGAGAGGTACTGTGATGATATCATGTCAGAAGAAAGCGAACAAGAAGTATATTCTACTAATCAAACCGCTCTAAATGAACCCACACAGCCGTGTGAGAGCATATTGACAGTTGTGATACCAACCAGTGATTTCCATCAGGGGTCCCCAATGTCACCACATCTAATTGCTTTCATATTATATCTACTGCTAGATGTATCTATGATCAGCTTAGGGATTTAACTGATACCAGGAAGGCCTGGTTGAATTGGTGTTATAGTATTATATCAGGTCTAAAGGCATATTCTCGTTTCTGATAGATAGTTTAAAAACTAGTAATGAATGAGCATAAGCATCTGTGGTTAGGTAAATATAAAACACCAACCTTGCGTTTTGGAGGGTTGAAGCTGTCGTTATATGTCCTACCACTTGGAAGGTGAATGTATCTACCGCTTATTCTGTTGATAATTTCTTCAAACGGCACGTCCAAACAGAGCACACAAGCAATTGGGAACTGCTTTTGAATACTCTTGGCTTGTTCAACAGTTCTGGGAAAGCCATCGATAAGCAAATTTCTGTTTGTATATTCCTGACACATTGATACGATCATTTTAACTACCAAGTTATCAGGAACAAGTTGGCCCACTCGTATAAACTCGCTCGCCTGAATTCCGATATCTGAACTGATCAAAATTTAGGCATAGATCTCTATACCTGTTTTGGAAGATACGTGATTCCTCAATACATCACCAGAGCTAATGTATTCCAAAGGAAAATCTTTTTGTAAACGCGCAGATATTGTTGCTTTCCCAGAACCTGGAGGTCCAATGATTATGGCTCTTACATGGTTAGCAAGCACTTGAGAAATCCTCATTCATGTATTTAAAACTGTCTAAATTTGAAGTTCTGCAGAGCTTATTCGGGTGCGCGATAACGAGAAACCACAAGACCTAACAATCTATAGAATAACCTTGAATAACCAATTCACGTTGCTGAATTGAACAAATCAATTCAATTCCAATATCCAATATCGTTTTTACGAGCTAGTATAAACCAATTTGATTTCTTTGTGCTCGCTTCTTGATTGTGAGGTATAGGTTCTTGATCTTCGGTAAACTTCTGCGTAGCTTGTCCCGCCACTCGACTGTCGTAGCTTTGGTTGACTCCAAAGGGAGTAGTGCTGGGATTAATTATATGTGGTTTGTAGTATGAGGTATGTTAAGACTGTTACTACTGTGATTGGAGTTGATCCTTTCGCCAGTTAGTCCTTCGGTATTGTCGACAAGAGAAAAGAGATAGTAATAATAATAATAATAATAGTAATAATAATAATAAATATAATTAGTGAAGCTATTCAGACTAAGAGACAGAAACGAAAATAGGAAACGTAACAACAGTCAGCTCATTAAGTTTGAAGAATAATATATATATCGGTAATAGTAATAATAATAATAGTAATTATAATATTAATAAGTTGTCAGGAGAGTAAGACGGGAGAGAATGTAAAGAAGTAAAATGACGAGTTTAATTATCTACCCTGATTGGTAAATGCGATTTTAAGGAGATAGGCCATTTGGATGCAGTCCTTGTATCGCTGCATGGTTGTCCAGCCTTCGCTTAAAGGCGTCCAAAGACGGTGCCATAGCTACATCTGCCGGTAAGGAATTCCAGGGACGACAAACCCGCAGTGAAAAGAAGTGGGAGCGCACCCGGGTCCTTGCCCTCTGGTGAGCTATCCTTCTGGGATTTCCACGTGGAAGCCTATACCTACTCAATGGCAGAACACCTTTGTTTGGGTGATTCTGGTCATTTGTTATTTTGTAGGCAGTAATCAAATCCCCCCTAAGCCGACGGTAACTAAGTGTGAACAGGCCTAATTTCTTCAGCCTTTCATCATATGGTTTGTTTCGGAGACCAACCACTCCTTTTGTTGCCCGTCGTTGGACTCTTTCCAAGAGGTTGGCATCTCTTCTCAGCATTGGGGGTGCAATAATATTATGCACCTCAAGGTGTGGCCTGACGTATGTTTTGTACAACATTAGAAAGAGCTCAGGAGTGAGTGCACCTAACTGTCTATGCGTAAAGTGTATGACCGCATATGCCCTCGCTACATCCCCTGTGTAATTTACGCTTGTGTCCATTTTTTCCGTTAGAACTAGACCTAAGTCGCGTTCCGACGTTGTGCAGGACAAGCTTTCATTGCACAGGGTGTAACTTGCATTCTGCAGTCTACAGGTGCGCAACTTCACTACTTTGCACTTTTTCAAGTTGAAAGTCATGCCACTGGCCACCGCCCAGTCTTCCAGAAGGTTTAGGTCTTCCTGTAGCCTATCTGAGTCCTCCGGACACTTTATCGCCCTCCATATTTTTACGTCGTCAGCGTACAGGAGAGTCGGGCAGCTCAGACGGCGTGGTAGATCATTGATGAAAATCAAAAACATCAGTGGTCCTAGGATAGAACCCTGCGACACTCCTGATGACGATCTGTGCCAAGATGATCGGACTCGGTTAACCTTAGTGCAAAATTGCCTGTCGGCTAGGTAGTCCTTCAACCATGACAGAAGTGGCTCACCTATGCCTGCCTGGCTTATTTTATGTAGGAGAAGGTCATGGTGAACAGTGTCAAATGCCTTCTCAAAGTCTAGGAAGACCACATGGACTGGTACGTTCAAGTCCCAGCATGATGTCCAGTCGTCCCAAGCTGACAGTAGGTTAGTGACGCAGGATCTGCCTTTTCTGAAACCATGTTGGGCTTCATGCAGTATATTAGTCCTATCGAAATATTCCCTGATGTGGTCGTCAATAATACTTTCCAGTACTTTTGATACCACTGGGAGTAGAGCTACTGGTCTATAGCTAGCAGCGTTTTGCCTGTCCCCACCCTTGAAGATTGGAGAAAGGATGGCTCTTTTCCACTCCCTTGGCAGGGTCCCCGAATCCATTGAGTGTTGGAACAAGTCGCACAGGGGTCTACAGAGAGCCTCGGCGCACTGTTTCAGAACAGATGGCCTGATGTCATCACAACCTGGGGACTTCCCAGGTATGAGTCGCTGTAGCTTCCTTAGTACTATTGCGGGGTTTATTTGGGGAGTAGTCGCTAGGTCTTCCTCCTCTGAAATAGTGGTGCCACCATTTTGGTCCGTAACTGTAATATCCACATTGCTGTTTAGCTGTTTAGCGAAGGCTGAACTGAATGTTTCAGCCATCTCCAGACTAGTGAGATATTGACCGTTTGGGCCTACTAAGGCGCATGCCCCTTGGTTTGTCGGTTTTCTTTCCGACATGAATCGGTACAAGTTTTTAGGGTTTGATAGGAGTTTTTTAGCAAGGTTAGCCTGGAATGACCTTCTGTCCCTCCTGACTCTTGCATTACACCGGTTCCTGAGTTCGAGGTATGCATCATGGTCGGTCTGACTCTTAGATACACGCCACGTAAACCAAGCCTTCCGCTTTGCTTGCAGAATACGTTGCGTGCCTCTCTTCAACCATGACGTCTTTCTCTTAGGCTGTGTTGTGACTAAAGGGACGGTATCCGAGATTGCTGTATGGATAATCTTTTTTACCACTTCCCAGTGTTCATCCACAGATAGGTCGTCCCATGCTAAGGGCCAGTCTGCGTCGGACAAGAGCCTCCGCATTTCAGCATAGTCAGCCTTGCTGTAGCACAGACATGGTCGCGTAACATCCCATTGCAAACGCTCACGGAGGACAAGATCGAAACCTATGACTGCATGGTCACTGCTTCCCAGAGGAGTCATGATCTGGACCTTTTCGACGAGTAGCTGGTCACTAGTTAGAATATAATCTAGTTTTGATGACTTTCCACTAGGGCCCCACCTAGTGTCGTCTCCAACATTCTCAGTCAGTCCCGTGTTTCGAATAGTTTGCAGTAGGTTTCGGCCATTGTTGTTTACTCATTAATGGTGTATGGGGTTTTAAGGGGATAGGACATTTGGATGAACTCGTTTTGCTGCTGCATGATTGTCTAGCCATCGTTTAGAGCTGTCCACAGACGGTTACGTAGCTACATCTTTAAGTAAGGAGTTCCAGAGACGGCAAACTCGCAGTGGAAAGAAGTGGGGGCACACCTGGTTCCTTGCCGTCTAGTGAGCTATCTTTCTGGGGTTTCCACGAGGGAGCTCGTACCTACTTAATGACAAATCACTTTGTTTGAGTGATTCTGGTCATTTGTTATCTCATATGCAGTAATCAAGTCGCCCCCCCCCTAAGCCAATGCTAGCTAAGTGTAAAAAGGCCTAATTTATTTGGCCTCTCATCATAAGGTTTGTTTTGTAGACCCATCACCCCCCGTGTTGCCCGTCTTTGGATTCTGTCCAAGAGGTTCGCATGTCTTCTAAGCAGTGGGGGTGCAATGATATTATTCACTTCGGGGTGTGGTCTCACATATGTTCTGTTCAACCTTAGAAAGACCTCAGGAGTGAGTGCACCTAACAGCCTATGTGAAAAGTGTATGTTTGAACATGCCTTCGGAACATCACCCGTGTCATTTCCGCTTGTGTCAAATTTTTCCGTTAGAACTAGCCCCAAGTCACGCCCCAAAGTTATGCAGAACAAGCTTTCGTTACACAGTGTGTAACTTGGATTTTGCAGCCTATATGTGCGTAATTTCACTACTTATCACCTTTCCAGGTTGAAAGTTATATTACTGACCACCTCTCAATCTTCCAGAAGCTCCAGGCCTGTTTTCAGCCTATCTGAGTCTTCCGAACACTTTATTGCTCTCCATATCGTTAAAGCCAAGAGTCCGGCAGCTTAGACGGCACGCTAAGTCATTGGTAAAAAAAAGACGTTTAAGACGTTTACCCTCTGGTTCGTTTTCACTCTACACGAATCTGTACAGGCTTTTGGGGTTCGCCATGCGTTTTTGGCAAGGTTAGTCTGGAATGACTTCCTGTCACTCCTGACTCAAACGTTGCACCGGTTCCTGATTTCCAGGTATGCACCGTAATCTATTTGACGCATGAAGGTTCACCACGTAGACCAAGGCTTCCACCTTGCTTGAGGAATAAGTTGTGCACCTCTTTTCAGTCATGAGGATCTCTTCTCCGACAGTGGTGTAACCAGACGGACGGTGTCTGAGATTGTTGTGGGAATAATCTCTTTAACATTTCACAGTGTTCATCCACAGATAACTAACCTCATTCTATGGGTCACTCTGAGTTGGACAATGCCGTTGCATTTCAGCGCAGTCCGCCTTGTTATAGCACAGATATGGTCGTATAGCGTTCCCCTGCAAGCGCTCATGGAGAACGATATCAAACCCCATGACTGCGTGGTCACCGCTTCCTAGAGCGTCACGATTTGGACATTTTTGACGAGCAGTTGGTCATTAGTTAGAATATAATCTAGTTTCGATGACTGCCATTCTTAGTCCCACATCGAGGTAGTGTCACTGAGGCTCCGGGACGTATTTAGACCTCAGTCTGCTGCCTCCCTATGGTTCGGGGTCTGCTTCCGCAGGATCGGACGTGTCCTCCAAATTTACCCTTGGTGCTGTACCACGGTTGAAGTACCGGAGTCAACTGTTTCTGAGAGTTGAATTTTACACTTAGCAGCCTTGGGAGCTAATCAATGTAGCTGCTAATTTTTATTAATCCTGCCAGCAACGTAGTTGGATTCATGTAGGAAGATAAGTAGATTTTGCTTAAAAACTTGAACCATCTCTTTCAAAAGTCCTGTAGGTCTAACGCCCGGCGTACTGAACCGACGCCTACCGGTTAGACAAAAATGGGTAAAACCATTAAAAATCTGTGAAGTAATGAGTGTACATTAGTTAATACACAAGAGTTTCCTCAGTTCACTCATCACTAAACACTTCAGCTGGTGACTTTTAACTACTATTTGCTCATTATTCCCACTGTTTAGCCCCTATCTTCCCATCTTTCCGTACATCTAATTACAAATTTTCCGAAAATGAAACATGTCATGACATACAGCTATAACATACAGGAAAACCTCTGTTGCCATTTACGTTATTA